TTTACATATACGCCTACGCAGTTCGTATGCAGTGACTGCGAAGTGTTATAGTGCCCATTGAGCAGAGATTAGCTGTCCGCTTAAACGGATAACTAGACGACATGCTTCCATTAATATGTGCACGTACGCTACTTGTTACCTTGCATAACAGACGTTCATCGTGAGCATGAACGCATTTTTATAGTATTGCTGCGGGAGTTCTATGAGCTGTTATTAATATAGTCATTCTGAAATGTTCGTAGAGAAAGAGGACGGAATGTTGCTGCTGGGGGCTTGAAGTTGACTACTATTATTGTTAGTGGTGTTTATTGGTGTGCGGATAGCATTAAGGGTCATTGCGTTTATCGGTGATGAGATGTAAACGGACAAAAAGATGATGTTCGTCTTATTTTTCACGTTTTTAGGAGTTATCGTTAATGGTCAATGGGCAGGGTCGTAGCGAACTATCTGTTCACTGTATGTAACTCTGTCTAGTAACTGGTGCATATTCAATGAAATTCGCAAGGTACACTATAATAGAGGGATGTACCACTATTATAAAATCCAAATGAAGAATAGCATATCTCATGGAGACCTTCCCGTGTATATAAATCACGTACAGGCTGTGTGCAAGAAAAAAGGGGCTTATACATGACGATGGATACGAGATAAAAGCGTGGAAGGGGAGTATATTTAGAGAAGGAAACTCAGTAGTACATGAAATGTTTAATTTACTATGCAGTCCTACCGACCTAGTATACTAAGAATTATATATTATATCTGTGGTACGTGGAATAGCAATTTAGTGGGATTATTACAAAAGTTGACTGTTTATTATTGCTAATTGCTCAAATCTACAGGTATACTACACCATCTGTTTTTGCCGTTATTTATGATATCCTGTATATTAACTATATGAGCTAGTGGCGAGGCGATCTCGCAAATGTGGCTTCTTAGTGGGGGCATAGTGAACGATGCTTCTTTAGAACGTGAAAGGGTACAAAGTAGACAACAAAAAAAAAGATCACGCCCATATAAGGGCGTGATCTTTTTTGTGCCGGTGGATTTTTCCTCGTCTATGAAATCTATAACGTGAGACTGTCAGTTATACCGATCGGGCAGCCCCAACATACTAAACCGGACCCGTTGTAAGCTAGCGTGAACCCAGTCATAATATTTGCAACGGGGATATCCGTAAAATCTTTATGTTATAACTGCTACACTAAATATCATATTCCTCTAAGACCATTGCTATAGCGCGTACTCGAACGTACTGTGTCGGCGATTGGCAAAAACAAACTATTCACACTCCAAACAGAACATTAAAACTGAAAGCGGACTGGCTGGAATCGATGTAGAAAATGCTAAAAAAAGTTTATATATATATTGAATTGAATATTTACTAATATTTTTATTTGCACAAATGGGGCTGGCATATGAGACAGGGATTATGCAGTTATGTTATATACATTAATTAAGGACTATACACAGAATGGGGTAAACGTAGCTTCAAGGTTAAACACAACTGAAACATACAAATAGGAAGATATTAAAACTGCAGTTGAAAAAAAAACAGGTCTGCAATAGCCGTATCAACTGGAAACCTATTTTCCAATGCGAATCTTCCTTTTTCCTATATCTAGACCTATACGTGTATACTTTGCAAGCGTAGCTTTTCTCCACCCCGTAAGTGTGTCAGTCTAAGATAATCCCGCAGGTGACAAAACAGATTTTGATCATTCTAGTAAACCCGCTGACTAAAAAACCCTGCATTTGAGAAAATGTATTTTCGTGTTTAAGAGTGTAGAACTATTTCGAATATTTATAATATGCATAATGTACATTGTGTTTTTTTTTATCTCATAACATCTGTCGAGTAATGTGGGCCATTGGCCAATTTGAATCGGCAACCTCCTGCCTGTCTAATATTTGGCATACAATTAGCAAGTGGAAAAGGTAAGTATATACATCAGAGACATTGTGTGATCTCTGGTTGCTAAAAAGTAGACTGCCTGCAAGAGTAAAAAAGCTGCAACAGGCTGGTGAAGGATGAGGTAAGCTTAGAAGCATCAGTGGTAGTTCCGTAGATGACTTATGATATCAGCGGGTTATCTATGGCAGTATGAGCGGAATCAATATGAGCTAATGGGACGCGTACGACTCATCTGATTTGAGCCGTTTCTTCCTTTTGGTGTCTCTTTGAACACTGCCTGGTTATGTTCTCTTTTTTGTACTAAGCCTTTATGGACTTTTAAGGTTGCGACCACCACCAGGATCCACAGCAGCGGCCTACCATCTATTGTCGCCAAATGGATTTAGCAGTGGCGTTTCTAGTTGATAATAAACCGGCTCTTCCTTCATCCATCCAATGCCTTCTTCCATCATAAGACCGTTCGCGCACTCTCGTTCACCTGGCCGGATAACCGCGAGTAGTCTTTCTCAGCGGCAAGAAATTTTGTAATGAAGTCGGGTGCGAATTTGCATACTGATGTTTCTCTGTCGGCGTGTCTGCTGTACGTTCCTTTATGGTTGTTTAATACATATGAAGTTTGAATCTGCGCGGCTAACAGAACGCTCGACAATTTACTGACTACCAAACTGGCTGGCTACCTACACAGTATATAAATACCTTTAGTCTCTCTGCCAACGCTTAGATAAGGGTAGAGAGGAAAGGCATTATTGGCCAACTGCACCCGGCCAGTAAGAATCATGTCAATGTTGCTGCATTTGCTGGTCAGTGATTGGTGCAGGTACTTGATAGTCACTATCGCTTGGATATGAGATATCCAGATGTTCCCATGTCTTGGGACGTTGTTCTTAACTCACATTGTCGTTGTTGCCGTGACTGGTACTGTTGCAGATGATCTCTTATAGATTTTCGTAATTGTACAAACATGCATTTTCTTTGGCTAATTTAATCTATGCTCAATATTGATGTTGCGTCATATACCGTTACTGTCGGTGCTGCCATCTTGCTAATGGACTCTTTGATGAGGTACTGCTGACGCTTCTCAGTCGTCCTGTCCACGCGGATTCAAGCCCAGACCATGACGTGTCTCTCGCGTTTATCAGTTGAACACATTACCCACTGTGCCATCACGAGAATATCAGTTTTTATGCCTATCACTGATTAAACCTATAGGTACTCAGCCAATGTATGCTCGGATGACCTGCAGCTCATAGACGCAATCAAGGTCCTAAAGCGACGTCTATAAGGCATGAAGAGCAGAGAAATGCGTCATACTATACAAAGAGGTGAAGCAGGGTAACCGCCTTCTTTCTTTATCTAGATGACAATTGCCAAAAAAAAAAAATCGCGCCTAAAGCAGCGCTTCTATCGACCTTCTTGTGGCATCGGCGGCAGCCATTGTACTCACACAGATTCGTTACCTGAAAATGACACCACGTATATTTCTCAGAGCACTGTAGTTGTCATAGGAAAATATATATGGGTCTGGATGCTTTCTATTTTATTTCGTAGTTAGTGATTAGGTATTAGTTCGAAACGATGGAAAATTGAAAAGTTTGCCTTAAAGAATTTGGATCCAGTCTATCGGTAACTGAGAGCTTTTACCGAGTTTAAATTGATTTAAATGGTTCGTATGGGTACTCAGTTAGTTATTAATAACCAATAAAAACCGTTAATAACCAATAAAAATACCGTACCGGGTAATACAGCAAACAGCGGAACGCGTTTAAGTGATAATTCAGAATTTGGTTTAAGCAAACAGAATATTGAGGGAGGTTATCCATTTGAGGGGAGACAAGTTTTTGGCATCTAGTCAGTCTCAAATAAAATTCAACTATTAAGTAAATGTTAGTAAATTAATAATTAAACAATAAATGTCTCCGTTACAACCGATATGATCAAGTGGCCCCACTTCGTATCAGAAGTGACAGCTGCCTATATTCGGCTGTGTTATACGAGACTGTATTTTGGTTGTTCAAGTCTCACGAAACGTCAGGACCTTCTGACTTATTGGAGCAGTAAGAAAAAAATAAAGTTTATATTCTAATTGTGGTCAAATCCTTTAGCTTCCTCGCACGAACTGACCGAGAATGATTAACCTAAATTGAATAAAGAAAGCACGGCAAATCGACCGTCAATTTGTATCTAATGTTTTACCTTTGCAAGCTTTCAAAACAAGAGAGTTGTACGGTCCTTTGTATGTCCTCGTTTGGTTAAAAAGCCAGCCAGACGTCGAAAGCAGAACCAATTAGACGCGCAGAGAAGTTACTGCTTATATTCAGATTGTGAGCAGACGCTGTTTGCTGTCATTATTGTAATAGTTTGACATTTCTCCCGCTGACAGTTTATAACAGCCGTTGGACATATGAAATGTTATTGCAAAATGCATGGGTCTCGCAGCCCGCTAACTTAGCTTAACTTGAAACTCTTCGCGTTTTTGATGCGTCTTATCGTTAGCGTTTTTTCAACCGGTCTGATACGGCGAAATAGATAGTGTCTAATAAAAACACCGAGTCTTTTTGATTTCTTATTAATTCTGGGAATATATATTAATAAGAAAGCTTGAGAAAGCGAAGGGACGACGGTCGTCCCGAAGTATATTTTATATAGTTGTCTACGACGACTGGCAACGTCTGAACCACATTATATTGTTTTCGTGATACTAGAACAAACTGAATAGAGAGAAGTAGTGATTTTCGCTTGTTGTATTTACAGGATTATGGTAAGGAACAAATTTAAACAGATAAAAGATATAAAATGGGGGGCTATTTTATATAATTATAACGACCGTGCATGTATTATAGAGTCTTATTTGTGTCAATTCATTTCAAATATTTGCTCAAAACTTTCTTGGTATTAAATTGTCAAAGAAAACAAAAAACTTCTTTAGTAACGGGCTTAGTCTAACGCATATAGTAAAATAGCGAATTTCGTGTATTCCTTTGAAGGGATGCCCTTGTGGATCGCGATTCTTTTACGCAGTTGTATCTTTGTTCTGTGAAGGCAGCATCTATTGTGTAGCTAATGCGGTACTTTTCGTCTCTGTTTACAGAATTTGATGGATCTACCGCCAGATAAAGCAAAGCTCCTGAGGAGTTACGATCATCAAAAGAAATGGGAAATCGTTTGTGATCAGGTTAGTGTCATATTATTTACATTCGTTAATTCCAACTATATAACTCCGATTATTAAAGTGTCTTGGTCCACGCCGGCAAGTTGACTGCGATTCCAAGATTTCATTCCGAGAAAAACTTATGATTTTTTAGCCACCGATATAGTAAATGCAGCTTGGCGTTAAGGGCCACTATTTGCCATCGCTGAATGAAAAGGACAAATTTTCGCTGAAGTTTAAATGAGCACGAGCTCAAAGCTACAACCGTACAAATATATACAAAGGACAATTTAACATTAAGAATAAAGAGTGTTCATTTGAATAAATGACGCAAAAGGTTAAAAAGAAAAGCTATGGTGGATCTAGATTATAGTACATAAGATTGTAAATATTCCATTAAATGAACCTAACATTTTTAGATGAATTACCCACCTAAGAAATAGGCCACTGAAACTATTCCCCAATTAATGCCACTTAGTTTAGATTGCTATTATAATTAAATAGTGGTTGGTTTCACCAAGACTGAGAAGGGCTCTGCAGTTTCATACGACATACCGTAACCAAACATTCCTTATACGCCTTATGGAAAAGGAGCAGCAACAGGAGAGACTTCTGTGATCATTTTAGCTCATCCTTGCAATCAATTTAACTTATCAAACACGCCGAACCTTTATCCGGGCTTATGCACATGGTGGGAGTAGATCTTTTGGCAGTCTGCAAAAAGTCACTTGAAAGAACAGCGGTTTTTGATATAGTGAACATAGAAATAGGTAAAGGCTCTCCAGCTCACAAATGGCTAACCTGTACAACCGGATGGTTCACAAGATCCTCTGAATACATATATATATATATAATTTTTTCTCAATTTACACTATTTTCCTGTAGAGCTCTAAGGTACGTTTATGAATTTCCGTAGGAGAAAATGAGCGCCAAACAGGCCCCGTCATTCTACCTTTCGAAGCTCTCGACCTATCTTGATCCAAAGGCGCCACGCTCAACTAAGGTAACATCAAGCTCAAATTCAGGGTCATCTGGCTCCTGTTCCGATGGCCCAAGTTGCTCAGGGGGTAACTCGGGGAGTGGCTGTCTCGACTCTTCAATGGCCGCACCCTTCGCCGATGCTTTCTACTCTTTTTTCCACGCTCAGGTATAAGCCTCTTCCTCGCTTCAGTCCTGTCCTTTGACTCACACGACTATGTTAACCACACGAAGATCAGAGTAGCAGAGTCAAGAATTTCGGTAAACGTTTCCCCATCAGACATTTGATGATCAGTGGGAAATTAGCGAAAAAGAACAATGATTGTGACTGTAGCACTGAGGGGCATCTATTCATCTGTTAATTTCGGAAACAGCAAACAGGATGACGCAGTTTTGTTGAATTTATCTTATCATGGCTTGTCTTTTGGCAGTAGCACTAACCGTTTGAATTAAACCGTTCCCTCCTATAAACACATGCCATTACAATTACGGATAAACAATTAATGTGTCCGTAACGTCAAATATCTGCTGTGAGCAGTTAGTGATACACATTCATTAACCAAATCGTAGTTTTTCGGGAAGACGCTAAAAATAACTCACAAGCGGCTGATTTTTTCGCACGCTACGCCACTGGACGTCCTCAATCACCGACTGATTGGTCGGATCGCTAATTCGACTCTGTCCAATCGGATACTGATTCGATTTATTTGATGCTTCTAATCGACGATCCACGCATATCCCTGATCTTACCAGTACCGAACCATGTACTACACTTTAGGCAATGAATGCTTTGTACCCATGATGCAGTTCGCACCGGAAAATCTGGTAAGATAAAATGGCAGGTACTTCGCTGCTGGCCTGCTGATTTTGATTCGACTCATCTGAGTGTGTAAAAAATACGCTAAAAATCCCATCGAATGATACCTAAGGTGGCGTATCCGCAATGTCTTGCCGAATATGCCACAATTGGCTTGCACTTGCTTCTCTTACCTTATCTGAACTTCTGCGATCGACCTTTGTCATTTGAACAAGTTGAATGGCTGTGAGATAACTAGCACGTGTGCTAAAATGGGTCTATAAAATATCACTGGGATTTTAATTGCTCTTTTTCCTCAATTGAATCGTCTTTTTTCGGTAAATTCATAACTGGGTCATTTTCGTAACGTGTTTAGCTTCCATAAAATGTTTACGGAATAACTTAGTAACAATAAGTGGTTAACTAACAATGAAATAATTTCAATGGTTTACCTTTGGGTCGTAGTGAATTAATTGCTTTTAGCTTTTGTTTCCTACGCACTCTTTGAGTTCGATTGCGAACTGCTTTTTATATATAACGCTACGGATGATCATTGCGGTGAGGCATAACTCCTTAGGGCTTGAATATATGACTGGCAAATAAACATTTCTAATGAAATTTCTGGGCCCTAGTTGAATATCATCCCAATACTCGATCTAGTTCTCCAATGATAATTCAACTGAATAGTTCCCGTTGCATTAACGAGTCCATTGAATCTACAGCTCGTGGCTGCAGTACCGGTAGCGCCATCTATTTGTACTGGAGGTGCAATACCGCCTTTGAGAACGATCTGCACAAGGATGATTTTCTGTCGTGCAATAGCGATCGTTTTCGTTTATGTATCTAATCACCTGAAAATGTGTCTGATTGAGTAACGAAGTAAACAATTTGCAAAGACCGCGTTGCCTAAGCCCGAGTATATGCCATGCTTTTCCCGGACTTCAATGCCTATTTATCCATATCGTTTGCGTGATGATCCCAACAGTTTGGTCAACTTCTGCTAAACCTAAACCTGCTTTTCCCTTTTACGTTGTCCTTCTCTTCGAAGTCTGCCTGCCTGCCTGTCTGTCTGCCTGCCTGCGCGTTTTTGCTTGTCTCTCTATGCTTGCAATGGGTATGCGATTCACGGCTAGGCTTTACTCTATTGAATGGTCTAAGTTAATGGAGCTAATGGAAAGTAGGAATGTGTTTCTATCTGTAAAGGGTGTTTGGCGTATTTGATAGGCATACTAATAACAGGTAGAGGTTAAACCGATCGCGCTCTTTCGCCATCGAGCGGCAGCTACCTACAGGTGCAAGGTTTAGGTCTAAGAAGTTCCAAGTTTCTAGAAAGGAATTATTTATTATTAAAAATGTGTTTTTTTTTTTTTTTCGATTTTTCTATAACGCGTTCTAGCGACGGAGAACACTGGGTAATTCGAAGTCCACACAGGTCCTTCGGGATTTGGAGATCTCACTTCGGACAAATAACATAGAGTAAGAACGGGCACATTTTATTGTCTTTAATTTATCACTGATTCAACATCCATAGTTTACATTTGCTATACAGTGAATAATATTAAAATCAATTTGACTGTTATATTCATTAGTAAGCATACGCGCAGTATCCTTTAGACTTCCATAATATTTAGCTATCGTTGTCTCCTAGTTGTTACTGCTCGAAAAAGGATATTGATCTGTGACCTGGGAGGGACATGACCATACAGCGTCGTTAGAGTAACGCCTAATTAGTATATAAAAATATGACTATTTATGACAATTTTTCCAAATTGGGCCTGTGACCACTGTGGATGTTTTTGATATACGAATACATAAGACATGAATAAATGCAAATAATATCAAAAAGCCACCGGGTAACGCATGCATATTTCAGATGGGTTCGCGAGTTCCTTAACGAAGAAAACAAGGGCCTGGAAGTTCTGATCGAGTACCTGAGTTTTCAACTCGAGATTCTCAAGTAAGCCATCAAGACTATCATTACTCGTTGTCTTCTTTCGTTTCTAGTAAATTGAAACCTCTACCTCTCTGCTATTTCCTTATTCTGAGCCGACTCATATTCGTTCTACGTATTTGCCTTAAACTGCTTTTCAATGGGTCATTGGATTATTTCACAATTGTTCAGCGATGTAGTACCATTTTTCTAAAGGCCTGCCCTAAATCAAACGATCCAAAAATGCGGATGATGGGTTCACCTTACAGGGTTATGTTTGAGTAAGGCTTCTGCTGATGCATCATCAATAGCGCGTATTTTACTCTTTTAATCTTAACATGCGTCTGCGAATGGTGGCAGTTATAAGGCTGCGTCAGTTATAATAAATGCGTCGTAGACTTTTAGCAAGTTCTCGCTCATGTACAGTGTCGTTGTGTACTGATGTATTGATTGTATATATTTTACATGTAGTGTTACGTATAGTCAGGATTGAGTATTGTCGACGACATTGATTAAAGACGCAATCAGTATTTAGCACTCAGATCAATCTTTTGTCAACTTGGATGATGCGAAGCGACACACAGCATGCCGAAAACCCAAAGGTTTATTTATGTCGGGCATGTGAGTAACAACACCTGATTGATCATATAATAGCAGTTGCATAATAATTTGCTTTTGTTGTCATTAAATTCGTCGACAACAAGGAGCGAATGATAATACTGCACCGCTTCGGTAGGTTGTACTGTTATTCTTTTGATTACTTTCCAAGAGAATATATATATATATATATATATATATATATATATATATATATATATATATATATATATATCGCAAGGACCTATCAGCATTTTGGATTCGATCGCTTGAATCTGGTCGTGATCAGATCGTTCCCAACATCCTAAGTGGACGCTACAGCGGGCTTGAATCTAACATCAATCTTTTGCCCGACATGGTATTTATAAATAAATCTTACATTGTGTGTAGCTTATACAAAGCTGAAACAAGTATTTTGAAGCCACTTAGGATGATGGGTTGTTTGTCCGCATGAATTTTAACCTAACTGAAGTTAGGCAGTTTGGCGTGAATAGGACGTGATTGCTTTGACGTTCATACCTAACCTAAATTCATTATGATTTTTTTTCTTATTTGTGCACATTGTCCATTGTTTTTGAACTACTTAGTAGTACACATATGTACTCACTTGACAATTATAATGAATAATGGACTAATCTGTTAGAACCCGTCTTAATGGTATGAAGAGCCTGTGCTCTAGGTAATTCGGTCAAGCAGCTGTACCGTATGTATAATCATATTACCTAACATGGGACAGCGGCTATTTGTAGAACGTATATCTCTCATAAATCGAATATACCAAGTTAGATGTTAGCTCAATAAGAAAGAATCATATCTTGCAGTGTACTCCTTCAGCCTGCATCGAACAGTGTCCTCCTAGCTAACAATCCACGGTCAAGGCATACTGCGTAACACTGGCTGTCAGGTGATGGCTGTTTTATGTGACGCTGACCGGAAGTTCATTTTTGTTGGCAGCCTGATGATCAAAGGCTCTTTCCCTCTCTCTCTCTCTCTCTCACGTTAGCAACTTAGTGCTACTGGTAGACTGCGCTTCCATATCAAACCGGTTAAAGTTCGAGTAAAGCCAGATCAGCTGCAACGACGTATACGTCTGGCCAGTCGCTCTACAAAGATGGTTCTTGCACCCTTTTACCCGTTTCTATACAGATACGACAGGAAGTCTGTACCCGCTTTGCCATCTCATTCCCCTATCGCAGTATTTCGATTAGGCGTTAGTCAATGGTAGCCATACAGATCAAGATATTGAAGCCAATATTTTTTCACGAATCATCTCTGTATAGGTTCGAGTTAGGCAAAAGCTGTATAGACGGCCCCAATGCTGTAGGTTCCGGGACAGGATTAGCAGATGAACAGATCGGGATTGGTAGCAGTGGAGGTCACTCGCTTGTGTATTCATCTCCAGCCGTGATCACCTCGCAGAACAGCGCGCCAATGCTCCAGAGAACCAAGTCACTGGGGCCTTATGACGGGTAAATCAATATCACGACGTCTGAGTCATCGGTAAACACAAACACAGGCGCATACATACACTGATAAGAACACGCACATGTGGACATAGATAACTAATAACGTCATGCACACACACACACGCGATATTTGGAGGTATTGGCTATTGTAGAAGGGGCACATTGGTCAGCGTCTGAGTCCAAATAGATCGCAATAACACAAACCACGTTAAAAAAGCATAATCTATCCAACAAATAAAGCTGGGCGATGGTTCGATTTTTTTGAACGTTAGTAGTTCCATTATTCAACATTTGTCATAGGAACTTAGCGCATCGCTTCACGTTGCTCGTGAATGCCTGCAGAGTAAGATTCTCAACTGTACACGACAAGACAGACGCATGCTTGTTCATGAGGTTTCTCCGGCACCGAGCCTCTTTGCCTTTACCGATATAATGATAACTAAATACGAGCAGATGCATAATAACTTCGATGTTCGAACTTGACGATTTAATGATTTTTGACAGAGGTATAAGTTGAAACACTCACTGGTATGTGCAATGCCTATTGAACTTAAATTACCTGGGTCGTTGGGATTTTTGTTTAACTTGTATTTCTCAGTGCTATTTGTTTGTACGTGTCGGTCGAGCGTTTTCAATATTAAATACCTATCTATAGTCTGTTGGCGTCATGACTAGACGCTACCTGCTCAAGTGTTGAAACCGAAATAAGTGTCATCAACTTGTAGCATGCATGGTGATTGTCATTGATGAATATACGTGGCTGTGTTACAATCGGAACTTCGGACGTTCTAATATTGTAGATGTCGTGTATAGTGGATATATATATGTGTGTATATATATATATATATATACATATATGTTACTTGTACATACGTATGTACATAGACCGTAAACGATGAATACGCGTACGACTTTCCTCAGCATGATTAACAGTTTTTGGGATCGGTGCAGAAGTAACACGGTGTTGGGTATAGTATCTGTTAATAATATCTGCAACCCATGTATTCATAGCAGCAACAAAATGTACGGGCCTCAGCGTATGCCGCGATTAGCTAGCGTTGATTTCAGCGCTTTATTAGAAAACCGTTACAAATCAAGCGCGTCGAGTGCCAAACTCGGGTTTCTGTCTGCTCTACGAAAATAGTGCGACACTTACATGAAAATGCATACTGGAAAAATAGTTCGCTTTTCGACCCCCTGATCTTACCTTCGCAGGGAGGATAGTAGCCCCACCAGTTTCTCGATCGTCTTAACTGTTCATGCCAAACCAATATGCTTCATATGGGATGAGGCGCCTGCTGAAAATTACGTCCGCCGTTTCTAGTGACGTACTTTGTTTCAACGAAAATGTTTTCTAATTATATAAAGCTGCATAGCTAAGGCCACTTCGATAGCTCTGTAAGCTAAATAAAGTCAGCAAAGTTTAAGCGAAGCTTCCAGATGGTACCTGGCACATTTTGACGACAGTGCTCCGGCGTTTCTGAACAAAATCATATATACTGTCTGTTTAGATCTATCAAACATAGAAAAACAATGCTGCAAGAAATGAAAGATCCGCTTTTTCTTTTGCCGAGAGTGTGTAGTTCTCGTGTTGTTGACTCAATCAATACTAAAGCACATTTGAGCCAAATGTCGAATAGATTTTGCCGTACAACTGCATCTTCATTAACACAAAGTGATGAGCATAGGTCGAGCGAGGTTGAGGATTCGAGGAACTCTACAATGCGACGCTCGTATCGCCGTAGTCAGCGAGGTTATCGAAGGTATTTTTGAGCAGACGTTCGTCCTGTTTTCGTGCTTTGGCGTATGCTAACAATGGTTGGCTTTCGTTTGGCTTTTGTGCAATCTGGCCATTGAATGGCTTCCGATCAGCCTGGAATAACGATTATACGAATAGTTTAGAATAAAACTAAACGTATGTATGCGCTTAGACACTTACCGGGCGCATCCCTATGCAAAAAAAGATCATTTGCTAAAAATTAGGCAGTGCTGGCGTTAATTGGGATAGCCGTATCTAAGAAATACAAATACTATCGAACGATGTTTCGCTTTAGACGTTATTGGGGTAAACAACGGGTAGGTTAATAACAGGTCATAAAATTAGAGGCGCTTTATAGGTAAAAAAAAAAAATACGTTAGTTATCTCAAAAAAAATCGGATATTTCACACTGTTTTCCATCGTTCCGAACATGTCCAGAGCATACTATATTGTTTCCTTGCGAAGTTTCAATTGAATATCAAGTGCAACAAATTTGAACGATATACATAGATAATTCTTTAATTAGAGATTAGGATTTAGCTAAACAGCGCACTAGAGATAAACAATTGAGTTCTATCCAGCCGCACAAAAAGATACTTTACCCTACAGAACCGTTCGCGTCCGTTGTTTGTAGCGTTTTATCGGCCATTGTTAATTACGCACAACCGCAATTGCTGGATGTAATAATTCGTTATTACGATACACTTTACAGCATAAGGGTGGTTGAGAACAAGCCTTTATCGTTAGTGAAATGGCCCCATATATAACCTGTCTATCGGTAATGTTTAGTCATGCATCGTATCTCATCCATCCTGTCTAGTAGAATCTGAATGAGCCTGCTTCAGCCTGATGCTGTCCTTGTTACTGCATGTATTGTATAAACAGGATCGGGCCGGTGTATGTAGTCGGCTTCGGGGTGACATTTTTTTACCGACGGAGTTTTCCTTACTGGTCTGAACTGCTTTTGCCTGTTATGCCCCGTTGCATGCCAGTCGTCCGTGCTTGGCGAGCTATAACCATCTGAATGATGAACGATCTGAATTTGCTTGTATGTGTTATAATTTGACGTTCGGTTTTCGTCTGCTTATTAATAACTTAACTGGTAACATATTAAAAGAATGTACACCGATTTTTTAATATATTGTAATGTTTATGAATTTTAGAAAAAATAAACGTATAATTGGTATTTGTATTTCTGACCGCATAAGTTCGTAGCTAGTAGCGAGGGTAAAAGGAATAGTATATATAGGTTATAAATATTATATGTCTGTCAGCAGGCGTAATATCGCAAAATCGTTGTACATTTCTATAGATACCTCCGATTTTCGTCTCAAACCGTATTTGTTTCAGAGTAGATTTTTCATTTAGTGGTGAATGATTATCCTAGTCAATCGTTTCCTACGCACAGCTTATCTTACCAATAGAAAACAATTTATCTGATATAGTTCCAATTGAGATTTCGATTCCAAGAAAAGCAAAAAAAACATTAGATAGATTTTCAAAACGTCCCGTATTATCCCGTTTATCGGCGGATGGCTACGGCGGCCCTGGGTAATTTGATGGTTTTCCTGTTAATCTAGCACAACCGGAGGAACCCCCCGCTTGAGACGTCGGCCTACACATAAACAGCTCAGTCGGCTGAATATGGGTGAAGCCGAGGACGACATCCATGTCTGCATTATGTGCATAAGGGCCATCATGAATAATAAGGTAATTACTGATATAAATGGCAACAAAGGATAACGATATTAGCAGGTATAAAGTACTGAATAGCAACGAAATAGAAATATAATCCAGGATCTGTATATCTTTAGTTTTCTTTACCTAAAACAGTTAACGTTTCAGAAACTGTATAGTTATAGAATCGTAATCTACCTTGCCATTTAGCTAACAAATCCATGCAAGTTGAACTAAGGAACATCTGTGGTTGATGCAGTACGTTGGTCGACGTACTTATCAAGCAAAACAGGGCGGAAAAATGCTTTTTCAGCCGAGCTCTATGCCAATTACAATTAATTGATGTGTTTGTTGTGGAAACGCTCTCTGGCAATCCTGTTTCTACTCACGCCTATCGTTAGTATGGCTTTAATATGGTGATCGAGCATACGCAGGCGATCAACTGCATTGCATTGTCTCTCAATCATAAATCACTTCGGACAAAAGCTCTTGTTCTTGAGTTGCTGGCGGCGATCTGTCTCGTGAAAGGAGGACACCCAATTATCCTGAACGCGTTTGACAACTTCAAGGCGGTATGCGGCGAGCAGTATCGATTCCTCACGCTTATGGAGTACTTCAAAGATCTCACTGAGTACAACATCGACTTTATGGTGAGATTTTGTGGCATACTTAAATATAAAATGATAATTATTGATCGAAATGCTACGGTGGATTGCGCTTACTGTGCACACTTATATAAATTCTGAACGGATGCTTTATCAAATTTTGAATAATACAATGCGCTGCAAAATATCAGTTAATATAAACTGGTCTTGTTTAACATGCTAATAAAAATAGCCATATGCCCCTTATTATATCTGTTGTAACACCGATTGACCTCTCGACATGTCCAGGTGGCATGTATGCAATTCATCAACATCGTTGTCCATTCGGTAGAGGATATGAACTTCCGCGTCTATCTGCAGTATGAGTTCACCCAATTAGGGCTCGAAGCGTATCTTGACAAGATTGGCCAGACTGAGTCAGACGAGCTGCAGGTACAAATCAGTGCATACTGGGACAACTTCTTTGACGTTCAGTCTTTGATGGAGGATAGCGAAACGAGGGCTTTGGCCTTGGAACGGGTTAACGAACTCGACCACGAATTAAGCCGTTGCCACGAAGTCGAGAACGAAATTATGGCCAAGATCGTCGAACTCGAAACAGAAAACCTGAAACTGCAGCGAATGAACGAGGAGCTTATGGTCTGTTAAAAACAATTTTAACATGCGGTTCATTTTATTTCTACGTAGCGCCTATCCTCGTTTCTAGTAGTCTATTAGATGCAGATATTCGATAATCGCATTGGTAATAGTCGTACTGGTTTTTATTAAGTATAAGATGTTTTATATATGATGTATTTGGCATATGTATTAAAAAATAGGCTTGGGTACGAAGTGTGTTTTTTTTTTTTATAAATTACCATTTACAGCCTAGTTGCATGTTTTGACTACTAACAATATAATGAATAATAATACACTATATTTGTCTAGTTAGGAATATATATCAGTTTAATGATACCACCATATATACTTACCTCATTACCCAGTACCATTTTAATCAGTACTTCCAAACGATATCTCACTATCGTTTCATTTCTGACATAATTCTGCTATTCAACTGACTTCACTTGCGCCCGTCAATATCCACACTGACTCGCCCATCGACAGGAGATGCGCGAGAAGTCCACTGAGGAAATCAATACCCTCCGTAAGAAAATCAGCGATAAGGACAAAGAGTACACTCAGCGAGCTTCGTTCCTAGAAAATAAACTTCAACAGCTGGAAAACGGTAGCGTGAGTGGAGGTTCATCGACGTCGTCGACGCCTGTACCGCCACCCCCACCGCCTCCGCCGCCGATGCCCCCTGGAGGCGCCGTCATGGCTCCACCGCCTCCTCCGATGCCGACAAAGATTTCTGGCGAGGTCCCACCGCCCCCTCCCCCTCCGATGAATCCGGGAGTTATGCCGATGACTGGAGAGCGAAGTGGACCCCCGCTTCCGGTAGCAGGACTCATGACGATTCGGCACCCTAAAATGAAGACGAAGTACAAGCTCCCCACGCTTAACTGGATTGCGCTAAGACCGACCGAAGTCAATGGTATGTGAGGCCTATTAGGCTTGTTTCGTCAAACAGGTGAAGTGTACCTTTGAGGGTTGAAGCTGATATATCTGATAACTGTAGTGTGTAACCAATGATACTAATTCGTAGAGCATTTATAGAAAATTCTATAGTCTGTGGGCATTGAGCTCATTTTTCAAATTCACTTCAATAGCGGATGAGGGGAGCTGTTTCGAAAATGGTACATGGTACATAAAAAATATACATTTATTTTTAAGGTTTGTGTCTCTTTGATCGTTATGGCATAATTAGAGTTAGTATTCCGAGTGAGTGCAGTGCCTCAGCGACAATGAGTTTAAGGGGTCATGAAAGTTGCGTTCGGTAGTCGTGGTAGAGGTAAATTTGTAATAAAGGAAGAAAAAGCCTCGGGAGCAGATAGAAGTCTTTTCTACTCCCAGTTTTAATGTCCACCGCGTCTGTAATGCGTGGATCTTTTTCGATTGTAAATTCTTAGGAACTGTCTTTAGCAATCTGGACGACGAGAAGCTCTACAACCGATTGAACAGGTTACGCTTGGATAGGTTTGAGGAACAGTTCAAATTAGGTCCCGCCAACGGAGGAGTTGGTACAGATAAAACAGATCGTCCTGATGATACGATTAAGAAATTTCGAGGACCTGAAAAGGTTTCCCAGCTGGATCATAATCGACTTCGTAATATGGCCATATGTCGGCGAAAGCTTGACCTGGCAACCGATGCCGTTGTTCGCCTTGTCAACAATCTCGACTTAAAGACGATGTCCCATGACCAACTCGAGACACTGATGCGTATGGTGCCCAATGAAGCTGAAGTAAGTTCTAATTTAGTACATTAGCGATATGTTTTCAAATTTACATGTCTATTGGATACTCAAATCATTAGATGAATTTGATGGCTCCGATAGGGGTCAGAAGCTAAAGCTTATAACTTAGCATAATACCACAGCTACTGCGGTGAATGTTTATGATGTTATTGCCATGAACGTAATGCGGTTGTATTTTTGTTGATTCCAGTCGAAGGCGCTCAAGCAGTACGAGAAGGATCACAAAAACATTGACGGCCTCACCGATGAAGACAAATTCTTGCTTCAGCTAACGAAAGTCGAGCGGCTTCAGCAGAAGCTCAATATCATGCATTACATGTCCACTTTTCAGGAAACTGTATCTACGATCAGCCCGGTAAGCGCACTGTCCAACACTTGTCGAGATTATATTGGTTAATTAGGCTAGTTAAAGACTAGCTTTTTGTCATCCTGTGTAGAATTTGTTTTCACAGGATTACGCCATAACTATTGACATTTCAGCAAGTACATTCGGTTACACACGCGGCCCGCACAATCAAGTCATCGAAAAAGGTCAGCCAAATGCTCGAGCTCATTTTGATGATCGGTAACATGATGAATGGGGCGAAACGAGGTGCTGCATACGGCTTTAAACTTCAATCCCTCGATATCCTGCCGGACCTGAAATCGGCCGACAAGAAATGTTCGCTACTGCACTTCATCGTTGACGTGCTCAAGGAAGAATTTCCCGAAGCAGCTAGCATCGACCAGGAGCTGCGAATCACCGAGAAAGCTGCTCAGGTGTCACTTGAGAACCTTCTTACCGATCAAACCGAACTCGAGAAGGTACGAAATAAATAGAGACTGCCTGTTTCAGTTGGTATCCTACTATGCTTGAGTGTTCGACATATATGGCTCATAGTAGACGAAATCGTAAAATTATTGACACAAAACAGTAGGTAAAATACTGTTGTATTTATCACCTTCTGCGCGGGCAAATATGCTAGTGCTTAGTGGTTAATTTTATACTCTATTGCAAAGTTGTTGTATTCTTGGCCTTTGAAAATATGTCAAAGACATATTAGCGCAGAACAGTATATTTAGCTAGAGGAATGATTAATATGCGATATCCACACTTGTTTGATCAGGGAATGGAGTTGTGCCGGAGGGAGCTAGCGCTTCGCAAGGAGAAGGATCAAGTCCTACAGGAGTTCCTGTGCCAGAACGACGAAAAGCTTCGTAAGCTGGTCAGCGATATGGCTGTCGCAAAGGAAGCCTATGCAGACTGTGTGAGCTTCTACGGTGAGAGCGCTCGCACCGTCACCACGAACGCGTTCTTCTCTACGCTGCATCGCTTTTTCAAAAATCTAAAGGTCTGTCAATACAACCAATGTTAAGAGCACTTTTCTCACCGTTGGTCGTACCTGAAATATTTCGAATTTCCTGTCCCGTTCTATCGCCTTAGTTCAGCATTACGTTAGACTTCTGGCTGGGTATGTATAGACCCAGTTTTGACCCAGACCACATTATCAAGGGTTCCTTATTTTAGTTGGCAAACACGTTGCTACTGCAGTATCACGTAGTTCCACTTATACTCTCTAGTTACAACTCTTTCATTATGACATTCACAGCAAGCCGAAACCGAAAATGAGCGCCGACGCATGCTCGAAGAGGCCCAACGCCAGAAGTCGTTGTCGAACAATAATAATGTCCAGGATTCGAAACGGAATCAGGACGCTGTCATCAACGAGATCAAATCCCGCACGAAACAGATTAAAGAGAAAAAGCTACTTAAACAAGACGAAGTGTACAACGGTGCTCTTGAAGATATTTTACTCAACCTCAAAAACGAGCCATATGTGCGCGCAGATGCTGTGCGCCGGAGTCAGCGGCGGAAATTGGACAACCCTAACCTAGTTCAGAGTCGAGACGCCGCAACCATGGACGTTTGAGATCGTCAACGTAACACGGCCAGGTTAAGATAAGTGGTTAATAAACAAAGCTGTAAACAATCTAGGAAATCAAGTTGTTAAATTGAGTCGTACAAGTATTAGCCGCCCCCAGAATTGCCCATCGATCTTGGGCTACCTTGAGTTTTCTAGTGTGGCGACGGCCTTTAGGGATGAGCTAGATTTAACTAGTATCTAGCAGAAGTATATCATAGTTAAATGACCCAGCGGTCTATGCCAATATCAATCAACCCATCATCATGCGGGTACTCGAAAATACTGTGCAGATCCTGTATATGGCGAATACAGGTATACGTACCTGCTGAAAAGTCGAGATGAATGTATACTGATTTCTTTACAAGAGAAAATTACAGCGCCTCTTGGGTCATTTAGTTTGTCGAACGGCTTTGGCTTCGGCAGACCGCAACGTAAGGATTTCGATTAAGTATAACGTTGTACTGATACATACGTAAGACGACATCTTAAATAAAGTGACGGCTTGCGATCAAACATAAACCAGATAATTGGCCAGATGCATTTTCCCCTTCGTGGCCAGGACCGACCGAGAGTACATGCGATTCCAGTCATATTATATCTACCTTACAGCTGAGATTCTATAGGAGTTGGTGATATCATACACATGCGCTTTATCGATGTTGATTACAATCTAGGTAAACTATACATAGAAGATTCATTTTTTATGGCAAGATAATATTCTGCCAATGCAAACAACACATTGGGACAAGTAGCAAACAATCTTCCAGAAGCTGTAGAATTTTTCACGTCAAGTTCCTTTTGTCGTGCTAGCTCAAACGAAGAACTGAACATAGAACAAGCGTCAACAGCCAAAGAAGAAAACATGCTAAGGTTAGTAAAAGTAGGCGTTTGGGAAAGTCTTACTGGACATTGATGATTACTTGTAAATCTATTGACTGACAAATAGATTAACGAATGCGGGGAAGTTAGGTCGAAGAAGCTAATTTAAATAGACATGACGAAATGAAGAGATTATAGACATTTATAACAGGACAAGTCGATTGGACGACGCAGTTGATTTGTTAAAATTATGTTTTTCCCATAGCGGTTCGTTTTGCTATGACAAACTACCTGATTTTTTCTTCTGTTAAAGGAACAGTGGCCATGCAGCGCACGCTTATGATGTCATTTACCCTAGAGAAACATATGGGAACACACGTATTTTTAAGTTGGATTTAATTTTTGGAAAACTAGTCCATATATATATACGTATGCGCGACGTAGTAGGCAAATAAACGAGGTATAACGATTGTATGACAAAATAGCTTGTGCAGTATTGTTAGATTGGGTGAGAAGGATGCGACATAATATGGAAACCGAAAGCCGCTAAGAACAAAGAACGTTCTTCGCCGCAATTTTGCCATAATGATGCTAAAACAACCTGAACAAGAATTTTATATTGTAACTATATGTACAGTAAGAGCGATTATAAATTTAAGGTAATTTTATACTTAATTAATAAATTTCACCATATACAAGAAAATCTCTGGTGTGTTTGCTTGTTTGCCTAAAAATTTTAGCATAGCGTGACAAAATTTATGTGTGTGCAGTATTTTTTCGTATACTGAATAAGTGAACTGCGCAGTCAGAAGTGACCGGATTTCGTCGGAAACATTTTCGGGTACCTACGAGAGAGTTCTTTTGAGTGTTGCGTCCGATGCTACAGAATTTACTTCGGACGGCTGCCCCGTATCGTACCATAAAGCTAATCTTGTTTAAGCCATGTTTCGACTTTAAACTACCTTCTTAAGTGTCCCTGAGTTTAATAGACAAATAAGTTACCACTACGCCATCACAGGAATATCGCAAAGGCCCTGTCATAAATGCACAAATATGACGGCTTTCGGGTGACCTGTAGTCCCCTCGATCCTTCACTAAGTAATTCTACTTTCACTATGTATCGGTTACACGTCATCCTGTCTCTTTCACAACACGTAACTAACTTTCATGAGAACTAAACCGTAAAAACGTAAATGCATTACATCCTAGCTATAAATCAAAGGGTATTTTCGTAATGTGTATTGGACGCAAACAGTCAAAAAGAATATACATTTAAGTAATTTGAAAACGGATGCTGTTGAAAGATCGAGAACGCCTTAGTTTTCAGTCGGGCACCGAAATAACAGTTAAGCGCTGATGATGGCCTGAATGACAACAAACATCTGCGTAGTCCTGTATTCTCCTGTTACATGACCTTTATATATATATAGGGTGGACGCAGCCAAACGGATATTAATGAACTCGATATTTACAACTTAGCAAAATGATAACCGGGGACAATTTGTCTAATGGCATGGACCTCGTTGAGTTCTTAGAAGATGCCACACCCTTGTAGTCACTAGCAAAATTCAGTCTTCTGAAGAAGCTTTCGTTACGAAGCCCCTGTTACTTACCTTCAAAAGACTAATAAGGCTCATGTCATTAATATAGAAAACGTGGCGTTACCGTATCAATGGAAATATTTCATTAGGTCTGGTAAGAAAGTAAGCGTTCGTTTGTGTCGAGCCGGTTTACCATGAATAGGCCAAGTCACTCTCGGCATTTGAGCAATTAGTGATACAGTCAACAACCCACTTCAAACTGTGACTGGCCAGAGAATAAAAGATTAATAATAGATTAGCGTGGACTTTCAATTTTTTAGAAAAGTCATTTTTTGTGCGATAAGTATTCGAGATTTTGGAGTATAGGTGATTGTTAACGTATTCCATAGCGTTAGTATACGAATTTCATGAGCTCGTAGCCAGTTGATAATTTTTATTTGCTTTAATAACCTAACCGGGCGGGATAAACTGCGCTGAAAAAATAGACGAAGTATGCAAGAATCGTAGAGTGAAGGCCATATTGTGACGTTATATTAAAAAATGCATTTTTGCTGCAAAGGGTCCTGGTCACATAAAAATCTCGCTTTAACTTTTCTACTAAGGTGTATATATAAGCTGTCTTCATTTACACGAATCGTTTAGTTCTGTGTCGTTATCGGGGCTTGACGCAGCGAGCCCTAACCTCTTTCAGCAGGAGGTTTGACATTTCAAGCCACAGTATCGACAGAACTATATATACCTTTGGTCATAGAATAAAGACAGGGTCGCTGTTTTGAGTCCCGCTGAAGACATAAGTGCCACTCAATTTGTATAAATAAAAAATATTGTTTACATCGACTTGTGTTAATTTGCTATGTTCGGAATTTTTTGCTTGCTTTAAGGATGGAGAATGAAAGTACCATGTATATTTAGCATTCAGCCCACACACGAAAGAAACTTTCAGATTAGGCCAGTTGTATCTATGTACAAATGTTTTGCCTTAGCTAAGATTAGTTGTTACCTTAAAAGCAACAATTCAGCTATGCTTTTTTCTTTCCATTTCCAACGAGAGTGGCCGCGAGCGTGCTAGTGCGCTCTTGAAAACCGGGTATGGTGAGCCACTTCCCAGTACTAAGGGCGCGTATGTCCCTAGGTCAGGATGTAAAGCCTTGAAACTGTTTCGGTATTGCTTTAATTGACAATAACAATCTGGCCATTTGGCATGCTTACATACTATTTTCTGTTTATATGCTGATTCCCTATAGCTAACGCTACACGGACGATCCCTGACACTTTCTATGGAAATCTAGCATCTCACTCAGTGAGCATCGGCCTCATATATATCTCCTACCGTACGATTATTAAACTACCATAATATATATTTAGAATACGCGAGCCTTGAGCGCTGGGTATTCATCAGTAAACCGGCCGTAAACCGTCACACGTCAGCAGACGGTGCTATTACATCGAACGCCTACTGCGTCTATTTAATTCATAACAATATTTCAAAATGACTGATATATGAACGTAGCTACGTTAGCTCCATATCCCTCTCAGACACTACAGTGCCGCACGTCAGCTAAAACAATAGTTGCGCTTTAGTATATTTACATACAGCTTTGCGCCTCTATGTGTTTCTTCCTTTACGCTTTTAGGACATTTTACAAGGTTCATGATCTCGAAAAACTGGAACATTAGGTCGAAAATGAAGCATAATACAACTGTGCCTATTGTGTCCTAATGCAGTAATATATTCGTGATCGTTTTCATATGACAACACCTTTATCGTACTCAAATAGAATGCGAGTAGCAAACTATTGTCTTTAGCCGTCAGAGGAAACGGGGGACTTGGTTCCAATTTGCACTGAGCCTGCTACCTTTTAAATTACATTATTATGAACAGCACCTTTTAAATTAGCTGAATATATGTTACCTGCTATACCTTATTATCTTCCAGTGATTTTCTATATAGAAAATCTGAATTCAGAATGTATGAGAAAATTCTTTCTAAAAATAATTAGCAGTATAAACATCGTTTATATTTTCGTACAGTGTAACTATTCTATATAAAACATACAAAAGGGTGAGACAGTATTAAATTTATATTTTCCACGCACAAGGCAGTACCTGAGACGTGCCGGCTAAAGGGGTTAATCAGCTTGGAGGCAAACGGCCCAACCAATAAATAACAAATTGATTTGATCCATAAGTCTGTCAAATGAACAATTTGAAAGTTGTACCTATATCTGTATGGCTTACTAATTAATACAGGTGTGATAAGTGCACCTTTCCCTATGCTTTTAAGTTACTCTAAGGATGTTACCGATCTACTACAAAAACAGTATTATCAACATATCTTGCTTTTAAATAAATATCTGCCTTATCCGATCTCGTAGATCTGACCGTTTTCAGCGTCAACGAATCTTGGTTAATGCGAGCTCCGCTAAACTGTAACCGCAATTGGTTTTTGTTTCAAAGATTAAACGGACCGGACCTATTTACAAGTGGAAAGCATACAAATCCAAAAACAGGGTTAAGTTCTCAATCCAAAACTGTTGAGTCCCATTTCATTTTGCTCCGGTAATCTCTGACGTTGCTAAACGTCTCTGGGACACCCAAGTGTAAACGGTCATTTAAGAAGTTCTTTTACGAAATTTAACTAGCGGTTTGGGTTTACGTCGCGTTATGGCCTAGTTATGAAAACTCAAGCAATTTTTCAGTGATATAAAACAATTGGCTTAATGAACCTAAACTTACTCTATTTTTCTACCATATTTAGTCTACACGAATCAAAATCATTATGAACAAACGCGCAATATACCGCAAATGCTTACAAATTATATTCACACAATTATATTCAAAATATATTACACCCGAACGCACTGCAATTTAATGAAATTAATTTTATTGTTATCCGAATCAATTATCGGCAGAATGCTCCAAAATCTTATTCATATAATAGTGACCTTCTTTTGAAAAATTCTATAGACCATCTTCTCAGAAAACACACAAATGAATATAGTAGCTTTCGTATCACAAACAGACTGCGTCGACCAAAATGATTTATGTTAATTACTGCGTATACCAACAATTAAACGAAGACAAAGTGATTCTCTTCAATGTCCGCTAGATATGACAGTTACCGGCGTCCGCATCCATTCGGTAGCTCACTACCGTATCGAAGAAGTGTATGTTTAAGCAGCTATTACGCATCCCGTTGGAGCATCCGCTTGTTTCCCTTTTAATGTTATTTTCCTGCTAGCGGAGCACACCTGCCCCTTCTTTAACGACATTCGCCTCGCTCGACGCCAGACTCTTACTCAACTCTCAAACGCTAACGCTTTATTATCAAGAGCCAGGTTCAATCTGGGCTTACTTTAAAAATACTCTTTTCTAGCAGAGGTCAATGGTGATACGGTGTAGTACAGTTTATCCGTCCAACGTAGTGTATGCGGTACCTCCAAGACTACAAACTGTATTGGATGAGGTGATACATCAGGGATACGAAATCGATCACCAGTCTTTCAACTGCTAGCTCTTGTCGAGATTTAAGCGAGGTTATTCAAGATGGCTTTCATGGACAATTTACCGTGTCAAGCTGGCTGGTTGCCTACGAATCACATTCTATTCCATTTTGCCAACGTCTGTTTGTTTCTTTCGTACGCTGTCCCCTCGGATATACAAGGCTTATTGTACCTTCGTGTAGTTCTATTTTTTGCCTCCTTGTTCTTTGCTCTATGGGGCTGGCTTGTGTTATGCGCCCTGGATACGTTTATGTGGAATGCCATCTTCACCGTCATGAACGCGGTACAAATATACCTTGCGTACCAAATGCTCCCGAGGAAAATTCGCTTTATACCAGTTATCGAACGACTCCACGAGAAGCTGTTTGCCCCTCTGAAGGTTTCAAAAGAAGAATTTAAGCCCGTGTACAATGCCGCCACGGAGGTAATCTATTTTAACGAAGGGGAACTGTTCGAGCTGTCGTATTTTGCCAATGCAGTCTGCTTAGTGATTCGCGGACAAATCGCAATGATCAGCAACAAAAAACCGGTTAAAGAGTACTATCAATATGAGTTTATCAACCCTTCATCGTACTTTGCTCCTGCACCTATTAAAGAGTTAAGCCAAAGTCAAGAAGTCCATTTGACCGCGGTATGTACCAGCACGATCATACTAATCTGGAGACGCGAAGAGCTACACGGTGTGCTAAGTCAAGATCCGCACCTCCAGGTAGTGTTCGATTGCCTTGTGTACCGTCAGATGGCGCAGGAACGAACTAGCACCCCAGTGGGGACTGCGCCACCCCACCAGTCTCGTACCCAATGATTGAAACTGTTGACGACAACATGTCTACAACAGGCAGCTTACAATACGATCGGCAGTTGGACATCTATTAGAACATGGTACCGAATTCGAAATCAGGTAAAATTACCATTATAATCGTATGTAGACAACCAGTATAATGGGCTTATGTTTTAGAAAACAATTCAACATTTATCGATCTGACAGAGACCAATACCCGTTATCTCAAGGACGTTTGACCCATTTCTGTTAACCGTTCAGACCGCTCGCGGTTCGTAATTGGGTGTGCTCATACCCGAATTGAGTGTCTACTTACGACAGTTTCAACGCGTAACTTTTTTTATATGGAACGATAAGGATAAGCGATAAGGACGCGTAGATCTTAATAGGACCAGGTCACGGTAACCGCGATAATGATATCTTCTCCGTTTTAGCAGCGCGCAAGCGGCGTCTTGGCATACCTATCTTCAATGAAAAGGCTTACACGCAATTAGATACAGCTCGCCCAGGTTCACCATTAACATCGAACGAAACGTGTCTGCCAGTGACGTTTCTAGTTAGCGTATAATTTTTGAGTTGTCATAAGTTTCGGGCATGTTCGGAATATAGAACAATACAAACAGTAGATGATTCACTGAATGCGAGAGATTTCAGTTAGTTAAGGATAAGGAGGAACTGTGGAAGATCGAAAACACGCTGCAAATCGAATATCTCGCCAGTCGTTAACCGGACGGATGCCTAAAACTGTAGACAACGCCTTGCGGGCATATGTGCAATAGGCATTCCCAAATAGTCCTTTGATTAGAATGTTACTTTTTCACAAGGGCTTGATGTGTAGATCCCGTTTACGGTCATTGGACCTCACTTCTAGAGGTGATGGTAGCATAGGGCTTTAAGCCACTCTTTTAATTGAATTACAAAACGTTACATTTTATGACGAAACCGAAAGATTCGACTATACCTAGAAAATGCTGGTTCGTGACTGTGTATATGACTGCTTCTATGGGAGATTTTTATAAAAACTCTAAATGCTTCCATAACTTGTTAATTGAGTACAATATATGCCAGGGGTTCTAGCAGCTCGAGAAAGGGTACCTTCACTGAATCATATTTTCATTCCGATTAATATAAGTTGGAAGCCATTGTAAATTTTGTATAAATTTCTTTCCGTAGGGAATATTAATAAATTAAAATTTCGATTTCATCAATATTTTCTCATTTATTCTATTGTACTGACTTGCAATAGCTTTACATAGTTACCTGTGCTGTAACTACTGTTACAGCGTTTTTGACTTGGAAATAAAACGATATGGAAAAGCAATCGCGCTTCGACTTTCCGGTTAGTAGCAGCAGCTTAGAAAAGGTGACCGAAAAGTCTGCGTAAAAAGCACCGATCTGACTTTTTAGACAACGCTATATTGCATGAATATTTGCTGAGCTGAAATTCTGTGCAGCAACTCAAACGGGTACGCTAATCGTTACTATGCTATTTTATTTATTCAATTTTCTCTCTCTCTCTCTCTCTAATATATATATACACATATATTAGAGTGAAGGAGAGAGAGCTTAAATCGCATCTAAAATGTTACTTAAATATTGCTCCGAACGATTAGCCTGTAATTCAGCGCTCAACGAAATATATTTACACGCAGTTTTGAACCCAGAACATTACCTCACGAAACTGGACAGGCACATCATCCCACGGCAAGAGACTTCATCGAATATATTTTACGTATCCTAAAAGTGAGTTCAATTTGTTTACAGCCGTCTCACAGCCTATAATTCTGCATTGTTCAGCATACCTCTAAGTTGAAATTGAGTTCATTTTGACTGGGTACTTAACTTTCACACTCTAGACCCGTCTTCTTTCTTGATTTCTGTAGAACTAGTATAGTAAAAACACGTATAACGTTGTCATGTGAGTATTTCAACGCTGTTTTTTTTATCATTAACTTTATTTACATAGTATATATACATCTTATGAACTGAGCGGGTGGAACATTGAGACAACAATTTTATTTCCTTCCCCACAGCGTAGCAAGTGAACCAGTATCCTTTGTAAAAGTTGAGGCTGTTCACATTGATTACAGGACAAATCACGGATCGTAACCAGCCAAGGTTTCAATTTATATACTGTAAAGGGATCATTCGATTTCTCAACGTTGTCTAGGATACATAAAGCGCAACCTATTAGAATTTTGCATTTGGGCCTAATAGCCATCTGTAGTAATAGGGAACAAATGGTTTCTATTATAGGTAAACTAAACTTTTTTTTGTATTTCACCCCATTAATAAGTGATTATAACCCATTGCTCGTTTGGTCGTACCGGATTTATATCGTGCACATACGGTTGTACAGCATGAGAAAACGCTCCTACGACAAGGATCGAAGTGGCAAGAGCAAATGTAGTTTTCCTTTGCTTAAAGAACCATAAAAAAATAAGAGAACGTAAAAATTATCGGTAACCACTATAACCCGTTCATGCTCATGCAATATTCTTCGTCTCTACCAACTTATGTATGTATATGGCCAACAAACAGTATCTAATTACCAGAATCTATCCTGAGTGCCCAAATATCGTATACCACGATAAAAAAATCTGAATTATGGCATGGACCGTAAGTTGAAGCCATCTTCTGAAATTTCTTATTTGATTCGTAACCGGAAAAAGCACCTTCCCCATCACTACGGCATTTTTGAAGAGCACCATTCGTTCGCCCAGATAATTTGCAGTGAAGTCATCGCTCCCGATGAGAAATGAGCAAACTTGTTAGGACCTCCTAGTACTTCAATAACACGTCTTGCTACAGCTATGTGGTGCGGGTCTGTATTCGCATGTCCACACCGGCTAATGTAGAATATCTTTATTTATATCACAAGTTGAATGTATAGTTTATAATGCATATAGGCGACGCTACATATGAACAATAAAAAAGTAATGTACTTGCTGCTGACGTGTAAGTAAACACTATATTTGTATGTATAATATAATATTGTATTATATACCTCTAAATAATAGTAGTTAGCAAATATATCCTATGTATACATAAACTATGTTTTATTTAACCACGTCTTTCCACCCAAATCGGGTTAGTATTCACAAGAGTGATTCGATTGGTAATTATTTCTATTGATGTAACAGTATTACATCACTACTAAGCTTATCAAACGTTTTATCTCTGATGGGCCATACGTATGTATTTGATATCACGCTGACACAAAGTGTCCTGATCAACAGTCGACGTGTGGCCTTGATTTACAGAACCGCTGGCGCCTTCTTTGTTCACGGACAGGAAATCCTGACGATCCTTGCTTTTTGCCTATAGGCCTGAGTATTCTTCAATCCTCCGTAGTGACCCTATCCGTTTACCTCTTTGCCTGCCTGCGAGTTTTTCCTTTATTTATCCTAGCGTCTTGCGCCATTTCGTCTAATTTGACGCTATTCTATTCTTGTTTCTAATCCTGTTGTGATGCTGTTGGGGGTCTCGTTTGGTATGGTTCGCGCTGCTCGTACCTACCATCTTCGCAGCAGCAGACGATCCCGTTGAGGTGCTGTAGCAACCGGCATTGTTTATACGGGTGGCGCTGCTGTCGCTGGAGCCAGCTTTGCTTATGGCAGAATTCTCTTGTTGTTCCTTACGTTTTAGGAGCTCAGCTTCAATCGCTGCCTGAATCTTCATACAAGCAGCCTTTTTTTCGAGGTCGACTTTTTCCCATGAGTCGTCCGTTATTCCTGAGAAATAAACCGTATTGTTATTCTTTTGTCACCAATGAGTTTTGTCCGGCAATGAAAAGGGTTTTCAATCATGGAACAATTTTTAAACATCGGCCAATATCCGGCCGATTCTATCCGCATGCTTTATTTGTCTAGTTAAATATCGACAAATATTTTTTACATTAGCAGAGAAAAAATAATTTTTTTATACATTGATTTCTTGAACTACCAGTACGAGAACAGAACAAAATAAACCTAACCAACTCGAGTGGAAAATGTTGACCGCACTATAAGGAATCCTAGACACTGAGCTGATGGCTAAGCCCCTCGCAGTCCTTTCGAACGACTACGTATTCATCAAACACCTGCTTGCATTTCTATGAGCGCGCTTTCCTGACGCCGCCACCATCGTTGATGACATCTCTACCTAAACCATCGTTATCGAAGGCCCGTTGATCGAAAAGGCCGCACGGTAGCAGCAGTAAACAACCAATATACATAGAAGGATACTTATATTGCACGCTTGGGCCTGCTCGAAAACGTGCTGACCCTTATTCGAAATAAGAATGTCCCGACAGGAAAAAAGATCATGAGAATGGGAGTCAGCTGTTACCGCTGCAGTGACGGCTAACACATGTACTCGAAAGTTCTGCCGTCTGTCCCGCTCCCGCCTCATTGTCTATGAAGAAGGTCTTATCATTCACCTTCTGTGATGACGAGCTGTATCCGGCGTCTAAACCCAATTAGGGTATCGGCGAGGTGAGGAAAACACTCAGCTCGCGAACATTTGCTCTAATCGTAATTCGTCAGTTGCGAAATAAAATGCAGAATGGATTACGGAGAGAGAGTCATCCCCAAAAAAGTCCAGAAGTCGCAAGTGTAGTGGAAACATACACGGTCTTTCAATAAAATGCGCACTTGAGCTGAACAAGCAAATTCGCTTCAAATGTAAATTAGAAATCTTCCTGTTTTAGAAATGATATCCTCTCTGTTCGAATAGAGATTGTATAGGTTCGATCTGTCTGGCCCGGTCTGAAAATGGCATACGTGTCTCAAGCAGAAATGTATGCCGTAAGCGAGAAGTTGAATTGAAAATTTAACATTAATAAGCACTGTGTAGATGAGCTGAAAGCTCTTATTGTCACTTTATCGTTGAATAGCGAGGTGTTCCAGACGAGAAAGTTAATAAGCCCGTTTGATCGCTACCAATAGTAGATGAATGACAATTACCGGTAACATTGAGTATGTCAAGAAGCTTCTGATGCTTCGCGCGTTGATGGGCGTATAGCTTGCAGCGTACCGTATATTGACTCAGGCACCACGGGCACTTCACATAGGCCACTCGGACTGAAGCTGCCAGCGTCTTGTAGCTCTGTGGGACTTCCGACATTGGATGATTCTGCTCAATATGTTGTTTTCTTTTCGTGCTTGACTTGTAACTGCAAATTGTCGTCGTAAATGTAAACATTATTAATCAGGACCTTGGTAAATCCATACGTTATTGTTGCTGTTGTTGCTTACGTGAACCATGCTTATAAGGCGCAAAAATGGCAGAAACGTCGGGCGTCCATTCATGCATTTACACTGCAAAAAAAAAATACTATTTACGCACACGACAATGATTCTGCTCACCTTTTATCGCAGTAGGGACAAGGAAACTCGCTGATGACTTTTTCGAACTGGTCTTCCAATGAAGTGCTCTCCGGAGGCAGTTCCGGGTGTTGTTTGGCGTAATGTTGGGCAAGCATGCCACGCTTACGGAAACCACGTCCGCATTGATCACACTGGAAGGACCGAACCTGAATTCCAGCCCCCTCTCGTTTGAGGCGGCACTTTTCCGGCGTCGACAGTGCTGGCTGTGTCGAATCCGGAGGAGCTTTCCTCGTATCCATCTGTAACCGTTGTTGCATATCCAGGCCATGTGACAAACATAGTTTTACAAAGTGTTATATTTAATTAATTCGCATTTACCCAAATATCCTATCTTAACGACTTTGTAATAAATTATTGAAGAAGGTACCACAGCAACGTGGTCGCTTACTCCCTTTGCAGACAGGATTCTGTATCAACGTTATTTTTAGTTAATTACACTTGTCGTTAGTAGATAGATATGTATATCTTGTGTTAGCAAAGGAAAAATTTGTCTGAATAGTTTCTATTTGTTTTTTTTGGAACAACTAAAATTACCTACCGTCTGCGAGCCTTCTTCATCATCCTTCTTAGTGCCGGGTTCTTGCGAGTTCTCTTCAGAATGCATGTTTCGTACATGGTCCAATAATTTGTCCTTTCGACTGAGGATTTTCCCACAGATATCACACTTGAATTTTTTGTCGCCTGCTTCATGTACCCGAATGTGTCGCTTATATTTGTCGGTTTGACAGAAAGTCTTCCCGCAAGTCTCGCAGCGAAATGATTTTGTCGTTGGATAGATGTGATAGAGTCGAATGTGGCGCCTTAGCATTAAGAAATCATTGAGGGTCCGCGGACACTTTGGACACTTGAATCCTTCGGGTGTGCTATGTTCTTTCGAGTGCAGGCGCAGCGTCGTCACATATGAGAAAGACTGCTCACAAAGGAGACATGGATATTCCAGCCGCTTTTTTTTTTCCTTGCCACTAGTCACTGCCACTATAGCTGCCTGCATGTGAATACTGCCTTCGCTCGGTAGCTCAGAGCCAGCTGATGTCACTTCGGCACTTTGCACCTCCCCCCCGTTAAGTCCTAACTGGTTGACCCGTTTCGGCTGCGTTTCCTCCATGATCGACTTTGGCAATTTTTTTTTCAGCGGTGTCATGAATGTTGCCTTCGGACTTTTTGAGCGCGGTGGGCTCTCACCTTGTGAAACTCTTTCAGCGTTGTCGCCACCGTCAGTGTTTACCCTACCGACATTATTTCTTCTATCATTCACACTATTGGGTTCAGTCAGCTCGCACGTTTCACCGTTTGTTGCCACGTCCTCGTTAGGACTCGCACTTTCCTCCGATGGTAGAGGCGAATCGATGTTGTCGATACTAGTTAAATTGCTATCAGCCCGAACATAGTGTTTGTTCTTAATGTTCTTAATAAACCGCTTCTGCTGTGGCAACGGCGGGGGAAGTTCTTCTTGTAGCGACGAGTTGGACGAGTCTGACGTCGTTTCGTCTGAGCGGACGCTTGAGTCAACCGAATGCATCGAAGAGCTCGAGTGCAACGATGAAGTAGTCTCTTCTGGACTTCTGCTTGCTACTTCTTCATTTCGCCTCTGCAAGAATTTCGAAATTTTACTAGGGACCACCTTCGGCTGCTCACTATTATGGAGCAGCCTTTGTTGCACTGGCGCGACAAGATCCCCGGCTCTCGCAGATAGAGCTGTCTGGCATGGGACGCGCTCTTTTTCACGAGCATCGGTTCGTTTCTTTTTGCACGGATAATACATTGTAGCCTCGTCGATTACTTCATCCGTGTCGTCCAAATGGTCAACGGCGTCGTACCGCCTTTGCTGGTGTTGATGATGGTTATGATTCGAATTCTCCTCAGAATTTTGATCTGAGGATGCGGCTGACGTTGGTGGTGGCCGTTTCTCAGTTACTGAGGGCGTTTGTCTTTGGTTTTCTTCTACGGTGGTATCTAGCGGTTGGGTTTGCACTGCAGTGACATCCATTGGAGCTGCATTAACTGGTGGCGTTTCCACCGCGGTTTGAACCGGCGTTTCGACCTGCGCAAAATCAACGCAACGGTCTGTTTCGAAGAACTCATTGGCGAGATCCCTGTTGGTTGAGGATGACTGCGCTTGATCTTGTTGGTGTTGCTGTTGCTGCTCGGAGGACGTCGAAGCCGGATGTTGCTGAGGCTGGTCTTGTTCATGAGGCAGTTGCTGGGGCTGTTGTATTGTCAATGGGGATGACATACAGCTGTATCCGTCGCTCGCTATAATCTCGGTTTGAAGGCTGGCGCCGCATTCATTGCTCAACTGGGTGATGTGCTCAATGAGTTCAACAGCATCGAGTGCCTTGTCAGCTGTGTTGTATAGTAACAATGCGTCTTGGGCACATGTCGAATGCATAGGATAGTTCCGTTTCGATTTCCGTGGCATCAGATTGTCAATCAATGAATCCGTCAGGTAGAGATTCGGATTCGATAACTGTAAGAACATTGTAGGTTTATAATAAATATATATAAAACGCATAAATTGATCGTTCACGAGAAACGGTTTTAAATAGATATTGATGACTCTGGCTAATCAGGAATCATATGATGCAATAATCACCGAATAGCGATAAAATCACTGTTGAAACAACGGAGATCGCTATAGAGTATAAAACCATACCACTTATCGAACTATACAATATTATCGATTAAAGATTGAAAGATAGACAAGACCTATCTTAATATAGGGTGAAAAATATTTCTATTACAATTGTCACGTTGTAGCGTTATTTTATGGGTTAGGCTAAGCGAAAAAGTTCAAAATTGTGCTTATCATGCCGGCTAACCTCGTTGGCAGTTGGAATTAGAACGGTACCCGTCATCTGCGAAGCTGAATGCTGCTGGCGGCTCGTAGAGGATTCCTGCCATTGACCACTACTCGGGTATCGTGGTATTTTTGGCTTGCGGACCTGGCATAATTGGCCTGTTACATCCTGGTTCGGCATCGCAGCTGGGTGTCCTGCCGGAACGACTGCAGCAGCCGTTAAGCTGCTTAAGTGTTGCGCGTCATTATGTTCGTTAACGAAGTGCTGAATGAGGATTTCTGAATTTGAGAAGGTGCTGCCGCAGTCGAAGCACTCGCAGACATTTTGCTGAAGCCGATATCGCTGTATGTAGGCGTCTGAATACCACACCTTGAGCTCGGTTTTCGGTAAAATCTGTGTGACAACCTTGAAGAAAATTTGCCCCCCCTGCTGAACAATTGCCATATTTTGTTCCGAAGGTGAAGCGGCTGTACGGACAAAGGACATCCAGTTTGATCGCTCCTCATCGCGTGTGTCCAGGATCACGCAACCGCTGACGTCTTCTGACAGCTGTAGATAGTGAAGAAATGCGTGAGGGCAAGCATATTAGTATATTACGTGCACTCGTTAAAAGCATAGTTCAGAAATGGAAAGGTCTCTATTGCAAGTATTAAGATCAATGAAAAAACAAAATCCATGGCAAAGGGAAATGATTTTGTTACCGTATCACAATGGAATAGCGGGTAAAAAGTTTCATAATTGAGGATTGCGCACTCCTCAACGAAGAATATTTTAAGTATAAAGAAACGTATAAAGAAAGAATCGTTTGAAATCTGTATCCCAAAAGCTATTGAGCTTAATGCTGTTTTATTCGAATCTACCTGTAGTTCATTATCTGAATACTCTTACATTTCAAACACTCAATTTTAACTAATTATTTCACCAGTCCACTTACAAAAATTGGAAAAGGCACGTTTGGTTTCTGGGTGGTCTTGATTGGCACCCCCTCCATTGGGCCGAACATTGTCCGTAGCGGAATGACGTTCCTGCTAAACACGGCGTAAACGGGCGGACCGTTCACATTTGAGGCGACATTTTGTATGACTAGGTGGTTCGACGGAAGCGTCGCAAAGGCTCTTGATTGGATTCGCTCGTCTTTAATCATCAGGACACGGTGTTGGGAGCACTCCTTCTCGTAGAACAGACCACATTCGTCGCAGAATGTACCGCAATCGTCCTTTGGCTGCGGAGACCTCCTATTGCTTTGAAGGCTGCTACGGTCTTTCTTTGGTGGCCGTAAGACACTAACGCCATCTTGTCTTTGGTTCACATTTACAATCTGTGACGGAATACGGTTCTGAGGGCACAGCGAAGTATTGGCATGGCTTTTCGAAAGTGATAGGTCCACGCCTACAATTGTGCCTTCTAGCAGATCGTTTGGTGTATCATCTTTGCATAAAATCGTCTGCATAGGATCCTTAAAATCGATATCGAACATTATTAGTAATTTATGAACTACAAAAAATATAGCTAGCATTATAGAGCTTTCCACTGAGTCTCCCCAACATCGCTATAACCCTAAACTGGTAACCTATTTTTATTAATGGGCCTACAGTATTAATATTATAGTTGATAAACAGAAGATAAAGGAATGCAGTTCTATAGGAAGATTGTGCCAACTCATAACCTAATTCAGGAGATAATAACAACGATAGCAGCAACAACAAGAGCCAAACATAGGAGATACGATACTGACCACAGACCCCATGTACAGCTGCGGATGCAAAAGGCCTGTCGAATCGACGCCGCCACAGTCCAGCTGGAGACTTCCAAGACAGTTCACACCCCCAACCCCACTCACTCCAACGACTCCATTAACTCCGAGAGTTGCTGATGATGATGTCGATGTTGAAGACGCCGAAGTCAGGACTAGGCCTCCTCCAGACGATGCTGAAGATCCTCCCATCAAAGTGCCAAGGCCCGACCCACCAGTCCCTAGCCCGCCGAGCCCCCCAATCATTTGCGAATACGCGCTGTTCTGAAGCTCTTCTGCGGCATACTTCTGAGCTAGCATTTGCTTATGGTTGATTGGATAGTTCTGATTTTGGCTTTGACCACCTCCCGTGGCGCTGCCGGCTCCGACACTGCCATTATTGTTATTGTTACTGTGACCTACATTGTTCGTCCCCCCGTTGCCATTATTGATCAGAGGCGAATTATTATTCACTAGATGATGAAACTGCGGCTGCGTTTGAGACGAATGCTGTGAATGCGATTGCGGTTGCGAATGCTGTTGCAAATGCTGCGAAACATGTTGATGGTGGCCCTGAGCCTGTTGTTCTGGCTGTTGTTGCTGCGAATGCTGGTGTACATGCTGGTGGTGGCCAGCAGAGCCGCCTGAGTGGTGGGATCCAGACGACGCAGAGTGGTGCGAGCTTAAGCCTGATTGATGATTCTGATGAGAAGTATTATTGTTGTTAGCATGGTTGCTTCCGCCATGTTCCCCGTTGTTATGATGACTGCTATTGCCACTGTGGTTACTATGGACGCTGTCAACTCCCTGATCATTGTTGTTGTTGCTGGCGCCACCCTCATCTCCACTTCCGGTTTCAACAGAGCTCGAGCCCGTCCCTGATCCCCCACTCGAGCTGGTGCTACTACCCCCGTGTCCCGTCATTCCGATGCTGGTAATAGCAGCGATCGTTGATGACGTAGCTGAAGGAGATGATAAGTGGTGGTGGCTCCTGCTGGCCGCATTCGAATGGTGTCCGTTGGACGCATGGTGGGGGGCGCCGGTGAGGTGATGGTTGCTGCTTGAACATGCAGAGTGGTGAGTGCTCGAAGAAGAATTACATCCATGAGGATGCGGTTGATGGTGATGCTGCAAGGAGTGGCTAGCGAGGGATGAACATACGGATGATGGAGTTCCTATGTTTACCCCTGTCGGTGTCAATGACGACGAAAGCGAAAGTGACGACAGCGATGCGGAACCAGAGGGTGACGTTGAAGTCGACGATGATGTTGATGAGGAGGGTAAATGAGGTCCACCTCCGCCGCCACCATTGATTCCATTTCCACCAGGGCCACTATGCGAGGAACACGACGAGGGATGGACGAGGTGGCTGTGGTGATTGACATGGTGATGATGATGATGGCTTGGGGAAGATGAATGGCTGGATCCACCAGCATTATTATGAAGGTCGATGCTGGGGCCAGTTCCTGAAACTGGACTACCATTTGTGAGGTGACTGTGGTTGTTATTACCAGTGCTGAGATGGTGGTTGACAGGAGGCGCTGCGACAATTGATACTGGCGAGTAATTATAGTTTTCAAGGCTGTATGAACCGGGCGACGCCTGCGATGTGCCACCGGAAGTGATGTATGGGGCTGTTAAAAAAAAAAACGTGAAATGGAAGTTGGACGTGAAAAAGAGAGCAACGGAAAAACCCCTGCAAAGTGCTGAACCAGAAACGCATATGCTAGAAGCGGCCGTCCATAAACCGGTAGTTTCGTACTATACTCACGAATGACAATTTTTATGGAATTAATCTGATAGTTATTTAGAGCACTCATAGCGATTTTATAAGAAACTCGAATTTACAATTTTATGCGTAATAGGTGACTCACCGATTTGTCTTTCATAAAGGTTTTATAAAAATAACTTGTTTGATTTCTTATAATACTGACATAAGACTGTACGAAGGGTCGCTTTCGTAGTTAGCACACTTTGATCTCTACATATTGTAGAAACTGGATTGTTGAGCTTCTTATTGGGTATGTTTCCCGTACCTGAATGCGAACTGGTTCCCTGAGAGCCTGCGCCGTCGAAGTATCGCTGAGTAGACGGACGAAGTTCGGGCGGTCCCGGCGCTTGAAGCAGGTCAAACAATGCGTTTTTGTCAAGATGATCAAAGTGCAGATTCGGCAGTACGGCCGTTTGTAAGGCCGACGTTGGGTCCTGCGGCACTAGGACTAAAGATCCAGCACCATCTCCGGGCTCCTGCGTGCAGGCCATGGAACCTCGGTGTGACACAGCGGGTTGATGCTACACAACATCAAAGTAAAGAAAACTAAACTCTTTATTTCTGATCTCTCTGAATGTGTTATCAGTTACCGTAAAATTACTTCAAAGACAGCTTGCAATGTGATCTTCTATGCCAGAAGATAAATGAGATTGGATCATTTCCATGTTCAATAGCAACATCCTATCCTACATGCTGTCAAGAGGCAGTAGATCCGCTCAGTTAACCAATATGCACAGCATGGTGGTCAAGTCAAGTGCTGTTCAAAAGAAATACAACGCCGCTAACAAATGATGCTCATAATAAATAACAAGCAGAGACAATAGCTAAAGGTAAAGTAAGGCGTAATGCACAGTGTGCAGTCTTTATTTCCAATACTCTATCACCAATCTACCAAACTGCGTTGAATAATAATAAACGTAAATCCTGAAGCTAATTTCATTATATCAATATATTTCTTAACGCTCCGTAACTGTCTACATTCAACATTAGCACATTACATAATAGAGTTGAATTAGGCATCAGCTCCAAGTAGGGACTAACTTGCTTAATAAGATCTTTTTACACGAACAGAAGACGGCGTCTATTCGTTCATCATGAAACGTAGCTAGTCTATATTAGAACGTACCAAGTCGAGGACTTCCGGTAGATCAGACATATCAGCATCAGTGGCGATATCGTCCCCAATAGCGAACTGCGGTTGAAGACGAGCAGCCAATGCTGCCACGTAAGCCTTAACATTCAACGCAATCATCAAAGACGTATGGCCAAAAAAAAATATTATGTTAATGTTGGAAATGAAATTACGCCACTTAGTTCTCTGTCTATTCTTCGTACGTACAATGCACGAACGGCACTTGTTAAGCAATGCTGATGATAGCTCTAAATGTTGTCATTTAATCGCAATCACTAGATATTCTCTTTGTTTTTTTCTTTCTGTTTGACTTTTAGTTCCGCTCGAGTTGCGGAAATGTTCAGTTCATCTATACGCATAGATATAATACGATGATGTGATTCTAATGAAATGATAGTAATCAATCTCTTTTTAATTTGCACGCATATGTATGGCGCTTGAATGAAGTTAGAATTAGATTTAGACTTAAATTAAAGTTATTGCTGATAGCGAACAATATACAATATTCAATGTAACGAAAACAAGCACGAGCTGACTATTAGATTTAGATAAGTGTAATTATATTACTTCAGCTATGAGTTTCGTGGTTCCTATGTTTATGCGGGCCAGATTCATCAGCATGAGGCTGTCATAAAATGCCATGCCAGCAAGCAGCTTAACGCATGCTCAACATACAGCTGGAGTAGCCATTGCAAGGCAGGAATAATCCCAATTATCGTTTCTATTATTTTATAACGAACGAATTTATCTCCACGGTGCACTTACGCAGTAGGAAGACTACGATTGTAAATCTACAGACGCGATACAGAACAGCTGTATTTGTATCATCTTTTTTAATTGCCCAGTCAACTTTTTCCTCTCTGATATAGCGGATTGGTGAAGACAAACTGTTTGCATTGGACTAACTTTAAATCACTGCTATATTACTTGCCTGTGCATATTGCTCGTTTACCAGTTGAGGATCGTGAGATCCCGTTCCAGCCGTTGGTTGTCGATCTGCGGTTCCCTGATGCTGCGAATGATGGTGCGTATGCGGATGCGTGTGTTGGTGCAGTGAAGCCACGACACCCTGCGGTGGTGAAGCCATCTCGAATACGTTCGCAGTACCAACTGGACCTTGGCCTCCAAGGGCCGATACCCCCATGCCTGATGCCTCAAGGCCTCCGGGGGCTGCTACGGCTAGTGAATTGAGTCCGCTAACGCCGGTGACGCCGGCTGGTCCTGCCGCTCCTGGAGGCGCTAGACGGTCGTCGTAGCCGTAAGCTTCAAGGTCCCCCGGTGCAAGGCCGGAGGGCCACACCACGAGCTCCTGACCTAGAGACATTGCGGGAGCTTGACCGTGGTCGGCAGCTCACAGAGGTGCTGGGTCGTAGAACAACATGAGATTACACCCGGGAACCGTTCGGGGTTGTCCGTGACAGTCATTCATTTTGGTAAATCTTTCACTAGAATTCGGAAAGCAATAGCATGACGTGACATGAGTGGTGCAGTCAATGAGTGGAAGTGACTGAAGAAGTAAAAATTTGCAGGAAAAACTTGCTGATCTTAGTAACAACAATGAATGCACATAGCTTACTAAAGTCAAGTCGATATTGCCAACCTGATATACTTAAATAAACATAAAAGTGCGTTTTATTGTTTACTGGAGAACACTATAATATACACTGTATATTATATATATATATGGACATATAATCTTTATATATATATATATATATATATAAATATATAAAAAAAAAATTAAAAAAAAAATAATAAATATACAAAAGCTGTAACATAAGAATATACAATTTAAGCTGTAGTCGAGATATAAACCTTAAGCTCTAAATAATGGTATATAATTAGTTTTTTTAAAAGCATTTTGCATAATCTTCTTCTTTTAAGCAACTTCTTAAGCAACTTTTTAGGCAGTACCCACTTTATTTGGATAGTTGATTTTCTCCTGAGGTCAGTTTATAGGATAATCTATAAAATAACCTTTTACATAATAATTTTGCTGTTACTTGTCATCTGTCAGAGTTAATATATTTTTTCTGTGATTTATTTAACGTTTTCTTGTGTTTATTAGATGTATTGGTCCATTTCTTTTTGGGTACGGAGAACCACATGGTAAAAATCCTCATCTTATTTAATTCATATTTTGAAATATTAACAGTTATTGAGGGTCAATGGTAACCCATGCTGATCGCCTACAGTAATTTTCATAGGATCTGTTAAACGACCTAATGCTCTGCTTCCCTTAAAAAAAAACTACCATTATCTTTCACCTATGACTTTATGAAAAACTCAAAAAAGAATATATTCTTTCTTTCTAGTTATTCTCTCAGCAATGAATGAATAATTCAACAATTTATATTCATTATCCCGTAAAAGGGTTATCAGACGATTTCTCGATCGATGAGGGTTGTGACAAATTATTTTGCTTTGTTAATGAGTTTTATGAGGGTTTTAAGCCATGTTATCTTACGATTTTTCTGTGCAAACAACGTAGCAGAAAATGCAAATTGATTTTACCAGAGATGACAACAATCGATTTTATAGCGGTTCATCGATCAGTTACAGCTAAATAGATGCTCAAGTATTTGTGGAGTTTATAATATTTTAGTAACGCTCGCGAGCTTATTGACTACCTAATTATCGGAGTGTCTCCAGTTTTTCAATCGCATTGGGTAACTTGATCAAACACTCTGTGCCAGTGAATTATTTCTCCATTTCTTTCCATGTCACATGCTATAAAACAAACCCTAGAGATAGCTAGTTTCAAAATTATCAATCGAAAAACACCACACATAGTACACGCAACAGCATGCGTACATCCCAGTGTTAAATAGAGTGCTTATACCGATAAGAAAATGATCGTACTACGACTAATGGCTAATTGCATAAAGCAGTGCAAGATGTATCCCGTGAACAGTCGCTCTTCTAACACCTTGGCTCCTCTAATGCAGCATTACTTGTAACACTGCTACCCCAAAGTAGAGCCATCATCGGCACTGATTTTAGCAACTCCTTTATTTGACCGGTTTCTATTAGCAGAATAGCAATATGTGGCTTAGCGGTGTTCAACTATGGACAACTGGCAGTCAGTAAGTCAATGGCAGCACTGGTAATCATTGATTGAATCATTTACAAGTTTTCGGGCTTTGAAGGCTCTAAACTGTGCACACGTTTCCTGACGCTGTTAAGTTCAATATATACTGTTCCATGTATACGCTGTTACTATAAGGAGAAAAGACGTACAAGCCGTTGGTTTACGTACAAGTCTGCTAGGCCTACTTACAGGTCGTAATCCATCTATATTGCATTTGGCATCGTTACATTCTAACGTGATATCAGAGAACTATCACGTACCTCACTAGAATATGCAATGGGATCAATTACGGCATGTATACGGTTACTACGAACGTCATAAATAGATCATTAAGATTAAGTAAACTTGTACTATTTGCAAAAGACGTAATATTAATCACAGTTAATCAAGTTTTAATAGCAATAATATCAAGTACATATTGGATGCTAGCACCACATTAGTCACTGTGATAATAAGTCCGACAATTTCATTTGCTGCAAGCGGTATCTCGGTAGCGGTTGGCACTAATCACGTTACCGACAAGGATGGCAACGTTCGCAGCTTTTATACCTTTTTATACAGTCACGGTAAAATGATAGTTGTAGATGAAATGCTTAATTTGTAGTAGTTTCCTCAAATTTGATAGGAAGTCTTAAAAAATAATTGTCTTTCATTACTATTGTTAAAATCGCCAATCATCTCAGTAATACGTACACGTCTACCAAATGCGTTAAGTACTTCCTTTATACAATTATTAACAGGGATCATTGTCCCTGCTTGTACACCTTCCGCAGTTATCTCTCCAATAATTAATGCCGTGTGTGGTGCATTACTAATAGCTACAAAAGGAGGGCATTTAGTAACATGAGCTTATGCTAAAGATACTGTGGTTGTCATTTGGTTTACTTTTAGATTTCTCATATATTTGTTCTTCTACACTAGCATCACTTAAAACAGCGGAGCAGTTACCTAGCGTCGCATCTTCTACGCGCCTATACCAGTTTATATCATGTTTATCACACTACCAGCTCCAAACAATCAGAGATTTATATTTAATTTGATGACCTTTATTTAGCTCATTATACCACAGACTGACGAATATGAAAACAGAGCTATTAGTGCATTATTTCTAGAGCAAGCTTTAATTTAATATTATTAGTTAACATAAAACGGATAGCACTAGTTGCATAAAGGAACGACGAAATTATACTCAAGCTATGAATGGCGTTCGCAATAGCCGTAGATCATTAATGGTTACAAAAAAAAAAAACGAGAAATTAGTTATGATATCCTTAGAAGTTTCAAATATCTTCACCTGCTTAAAAATGCCGTACGTTTATCTCATTGCACTAACGGTATTATGTAAAGACAAATTTGTCAACGTCAAGAAACATTAATTGAAGCATCAAATATAGTTCCTTTAAAGCGAAAGATCATTTATATTGGTAGAATAGAGACTTTAAATGCAATAATGCATTTATTAAACATTGACGTCATGCACATGAAGGTCTTGATTAACCACCTGAAATGCCAAAGTTTGATATGACTTGCTTTTGGCCAAGATGAATATATTCAGATAGACTTTTTTTTTTTTTATAAAAACAGAGTAAAATAAGTTAACAATTATTCAACATAGATATTTCTATTAGTATTTTCAACTATGAAATCTATAAGTACACTCGTTTAATTAAAGCTAATCGTCAAAGAGTTAACAAATCTTACTGCTGCAAGTGAGCAATCTAATGCCACTAATAACATGGAGCCAACTGCAATAATCGCAGCTATGTGTGCTGCCATAGCTTGAGAAACTTTAACTCAGTACTACCAGTACATACGTACTTGGTCTACTTAGCTCACAAAAGAATTCTATAGAACTAGAAGATGGTACGGAAATTTGCTTTAGGGTCCCAGATACTTGATACATTTCTGTAGATTCAGAATAAGCCCACTTTATAAACGCTCAAATGTTCAAGAGACCGGGTGCAGTAATTATTTTATTCGTAGAAATCTTCTAATTCACCTAATTTGTAGAATATGATTGTACCATTTACTCGTGATGGCCTAAACGATAAGACCCGTAAAGGACTAGATAGCCTCTTTGCACATGGGCGATTAGAAAATATAGCTTGAATGCTCGAACTTATATTGCAGCAACTAATCACAAGATTTGTCATATAGTAGTAGGAACCCATTTACGTCTGAATGTTGATTGCAACATTCGGCGATTACCAGTAACTACATAAACTAATATCGATATAGAAGCATTCCTTCGTACAGAAGGAAACCTAAAAAAATGGTAACGACTATTACATTTACGTCGTACATGGTACTGATTCTGGCATTAATTTTACTACGTCACTTAATAGCAAGCACAACACCGGCTCTACAGCTAGCAGCAATAGCTTTCATCGATTTGGGGAAAATGTAGTTGTTATTCCTAACCACCCGTTATTAGGCTTTATAGCCAATGGTATTTGCCTGCCTCTGTATAGTGTTTTACCCTTTACGGCATACACTTTCGGAGGTTTGGTTTACCCTTAAAAAAACAGCACCTGTATTTGGTGTCATTGTAACTGGAAGTAGCCAATATATGCCATTTATAGAAGACACGTTAAGGGTAAATAAATTGTTACTAAAAGATGATGAGTTTACAGAAGGTAGAAATGAAAAAAAAAAATCAATATTTCAGGCGCTCTAGTTCCACAAATCTGAAAAAAATATATATGTTAATGCAAGAAAAAAAGGCGCCTGATCTCGATGCGAAAAACCTAGTGCAATTAATTTGTTATCGTTCTGGCAAGCTCCAACAGTAGCGGTCACGTATCACAAAATGACATCAAGGCCGATTGTAATAGTGGTTGTTATATTTTAGGAAAAGGAAAATATACAATTTACGATATAAAATACGATTACTAGGCCTCACTTTGGTGCTTATTGCTACACGTAATACTCCTAATCGCAATCGCGGATGTAGCTGCCCACGTAGATTTTTTTAACAGCTTTAATGCAGGAATACCTCACGTATTTTAACATTAGACAGGGTATCTATAAATACGCTTACTATAGATGAGTAGTACGCAATAAAAATGCTAAAACGCTTACTCGAAGATCGTTTCAATAGGCTCAAATTAGAAAGCTTGCTGAGAACAGGTCAGAAATTCAACATAAAACTGATACGGACAGTTAATTAAGCTATCCATATAACAAACGACACGTAAAATCTCATCAGGATTTCCACAAAATGACTGAAGTTACGCAGTTCTACTCTACATCCATGTCTCCAGCAGTCAATTAAGATTATTCTTTATTCATAAATTAATTTTTATAGTAGAAAGCAAAGCCAATTTCAATTGGACCATTGGCCTAAGTCCATGTGTTACTGCGCTGACTGCTCTGATTTCCCGACAATTGTTAAAACGATAGCTGTCTACACAAAAGTTTTGCAAGTTTATTATTAACAAATCGTAAAATTGCTAAATGTACATTCTTGATATAAATGTCCATCATCGTTTGTAGTCCAATAAATACTATAAGCAATTTAAGAGCTCTTTCCTTAGATAACTGAAAGTTGGCTTTCCATTATCGCAACAATCTTCCGCATCATTGTGATACACACTGTAAGTACACTCAAACTTGACGAATAAACATTTTTGTATTATATCAGTAAAATGAACAATTATACAATGAAAACCTATGCTTTGTATCTCTTAAATACGACACGTCATTAAAATAACCATTATTATTTATTTTCATTGATAGATTATTCACCAAAGGCTCTATTCCTTTGTTTCTAACACGACTTTCTAACAAACCGTTCTTCATTTTCTTCATAGCTGTTAGCATACATAATTTTAACTTAGAGCTATTTTTATAGGTTTAGCAGCAGGATCTGACATTACATCTCTGCCATAGGAGTATTCCACATAAGCCCATGGCACTCCCTGCGATACCACACATTAAACCAAGTTGCAAAATCATTTAGCACTACTATGGAAACACTAATACAGGTGCAAAGCACAGTCAACGCGAGTAATGCTATACTATATTTAAATAAATTCATTCAGAAACCTTTGAAAAACCTGCAGTAAAGGGTACAGCGGTAATAGGCATAAATTGCCTTCCAGCTAATTTAAATTTGTCAATCCTTTTCCTGTCAAAGCTACCAAGATGGCTAGTACAGTTTAGCAAAGCTCATATTTTAGCTATTATTAGTATAGTATGGAAGGAACTGTATCACAGAGAATAGGTATTTAGTACCCCATTATTCTAGCTTGGCAAATTACCGTCACAGTAGAAAACAAAACAAATCAACATAATACTAGTAACCCACCTGCCAGCTTTGTTATGTAGCCTTTCCATAATATCTTTAACTGGGTAGAAATATAAATCGATTTCATTGCTGTAAATATCAGTATGACTATAGTAATATTTCTAGTCGTTAACTTCCTGCTACTCCTGGTAGAACTTGTACTTAAATTAACAGCAGCAGGTAATAACAATATTAGAAACGCTTTTTTTTTTTTAGCTCCTAACGTATACTCTTTCATTGTTTTTATGGACTTATATTTGCATTACGATAGCTATAGTTAGTTATAATTTATTATCTTATCTTAGCCACTACAGGGGCTACTGCATGCATATATGTCTATAATACTTTTCTAAATATAAGACACCAATGCTTTAGCTAGATTTTTCAGCACTGTCACCATCAGGTTCGTACCTAATAGGCATGAAGATATATATATATGCTAAAACGATTGATTTTATCAGTTCTAAAATAAGCATTAGCTGCACTATTGTTGACGGTATCATTTTCTGTACACATGTTGATCTCGATGCTTACCAGTAGGGGTAATGATGCAGTCAAAAATGTTAGACAAAAATTAGATTCCTCGTTACTACTATTATTATTATTATTATGATCTGTACAATTTAAACTCAAAAATGAGTTTTGCTTCGCAAGATCTTCAACAGCTTTTTTATGAAAATAAGATTTGCATTACTATTCAAATCTTAATTATATTATTGATATCTAGATTCAGCGTGAATATAAGATAAAAGAAGTGTGTTGTAGGATCATAAATAGGCAGTTAAGTAAAGTAGGCCTTCTGGTACGGTTTCAAAATCGCTAGTAAATTGCATAGTTACATTCTACATTTATCTATCAGTATGTAGTAGTGCCTCAGTCAACCTTACTGTAATCTATTTTGCTAGTGACTTTGTAATCTGCGACTGCAATACCTAGCCATATATTATTTTGAAACTACTTGAGACATCCTAATGAAATAAGAAACGGTCTTCTAAACTTACAACAAATCTATCTATATAAGTTGTACGGTATAAATCAAATCAAAATAATCACTACATAAATCATCTTTGAGGCCAGTGCCTCTTAACTATATCACCTAGGCTGCAGGCATATTTGACAAATGACTGATATAATCAAATTCGGATTCAACAGCAATAATTTTATATTTTTTTTAAAATTTTTATTATTAAAAAGCATCAACGTGCATTATAAGAACAAATAAATAAAGAGTCTGTATTTGCTTGTTTTGTAATTCGTAAACGTTCTTTGCAACGCTTCTGATAAAAAATGTACAATGATCGGTTGTACTGATACCTTTGATACTGTGTTCTGAAACTATTTCTATTATTGTTATGTATAAGCTGCTGTAGATTCTTTCGTATAAATGAAAAATGCAAATCTGTCAACGGTAATAATCTAAGTTTGCTCATAATGCTTTTATATGATTTAGCTATTTTATTTAAAACTTCTAATAGCTTGAATTTGTCTTACATTCACATGCACCCATGCAAGATGATCATTTTTTCCTTTGAGTCTATACCTGTCCTTTCAAGCATTTTTTGTTGAGTAGAGCATGGTGCAAAATATATACCACTGCATATGACACTTTCTTTGCTGAGCTTTACCCTCATAAATGTTGCTCATCCAGAGGCTCAGTGCTCGCAAAACCAAGTACAATAACTAATGTACCAGTTCACGTACCGTCCGTCACCTATTGCAATAGCGCTTTTGACAACGTTTACTACCGATGTGCTTCACAGACAACTTGTTGTCCCCCAGCTGCGGCTTTTGAATCCACAGTTATTCTAGCCTCATCAATTGATGTGAAATTAGACCTATAATCAGAACTTTGATTATCCCAGCGATTATGTTAATCACTGCAAAATTACTGATTAATACAAAACATTGTGTATCAGTGATCGTATTTCGACTACCATATAAGTTTTTTAAACCAGCTATTCAAGTCCCAACTGATCACATTGCATAAACTGACCTAGTTGATGATGTAAAGTCTACCCCCTTTACTACTATACTATAGTACAGACTGATATAATTTTGGATGTGTTAGAAGTTAAGAGATTTTAATGATCATACTTGTATGTAAAAAATGTAGTTATTCAGCCAGTTATGCAGTCGGTTACTAGGAAAGCTTCCGTAAACCGATGTCTTAATCACCAGGGTAGCAGTAACTTGCCGTAAATGAAGTTATTTATGTGCTCCTCTGCTACATCTGGAATAACAATAGCTTATTCTACAAATGAGTAGTTTCACTTTATTGCCCTGTACCTAACAAAGAATCAGTATTTCTAAATCTATCCTGAATTATTGATTTTGATTAGTTCGCAACCTATTGAATAAGGAAAGTAATATGTTGCTGACAACATCTTTGTGCTCTTGATTATCAGTAATCAACATTATAGCGCTCATTCACAGCGTTTGTCAGCACTAAAACACCAACTCTCTCAGTCTCAGAGGACCGTTCATATAATTGCTCAAACACTCATAAGCTGTCACCCATCATTAATTATGTAAGGTGGTACTAGTTTGTTGTGTATATTCTGTGTTTTACTGACGTAGTACGAAGCTGTTCTAATATTTTTTGCAGAAGGAAATACATTAATTCAGTTTACAAATTTTTTTTTCACCCTGTTGCCGAAACTAATGCTTTTCTTTATAGAAGCTTAAAATGCAATATTGTTGCAAGTCAACTTATATGAATGTATGACATCTTGATTATATTTCTCGTAACTCTCCCATGGAGCCTACCCAATCTCTAGCAAAAAAAAACTAAGTACAAAAAACATTTTTGTTATAGTACCAATAAACAAGTTATTAAGTTCTCCAATTATTATTATAACGAGTTATTAAGTTCGAAAATGATAACTACTATATAACACACTACAGCTAATACTTTGATCCGAACAACCGTATTTTTTGATGAAATGCATCTATTATTTTACCTACTCATACATGCAAGTCGCTTCATGAAGTTTTTTGGGACATTTTATCAGAGTTCTCAAACCGAGTAAGCTTAAGTATCCGCAGCATTGAGTGCGCTACGAAATTCTACTCATTTTACAATTAAAAAGATACAGGTAATCTATATAGAACAATCGATACCAGCATATCGTCTATTCTATCCATAATTCAGTTTATGTATTCTTATACATAAACGAAATTATGGATAACATTGGCGGTGGCATCGAATCACATCCCGATCATACAACAGTTTTGTTCGGTCGTAAACTCGTTGTTACCACAGTCTAAATACAGATGGCTCGTTTGTTTAGCTTTACATAAATTGCTCCGTTGTCAATCAACCTTGGATATACCTCACGTTCAGAAGCAGCGTGTAAAGTGGATCACAGCAAATCGGCACTCACCAAGTAGGGCTTTCTTCACTCAGGTCCTGCTAGCCACAACAACTTTTTGTTGTTGAGTCGCCATTACATGGACTAGAACCAAAGAATATCCTGGATTCTGATCCGTACAAATCACAAAATTAATCGTCAGTTAATTATCGTAATCGGCCATCCATTGTTCTTCACATAGACACGTCTAGCAATTGCCTATCAGCATAAGTTCCGATGCCACCTACTCTCAACCAGCCTTCAGGCTCGACCGAAGGCATTCGCTACTCACACATGGGCTCACACAAAACACGGAGCCTTCTCTCTCTCACCCGTCACCTTACCTGCCATGGAATATTACACAGCCCAATACTGCCCTCTCCCTTTACATGGATACATTGGCCACAGACAAACCACAGGCGGCCACCACGCACATTAAAGAAGGTGTCACTTCAATCGATCTAAACAATAATGTCTCTCAATAAACAATAATGTAAAGATCTCAAGACTGCTCTACTCCGGTCGTCGTATCAGACCGCGCGGAGTACCAGTCGCGATACAGAGTCTGTACAAAGAAGCAATGAGGCGAGTACAAGAAGGCATTTGGATTTTTATGTTTCAACTGGCTTAGCCAGGCACACGGCTAAAAGTCTCTACCAGAATGAAACGAATCGTGTGTCTATGCCTGGTCTTGAATTAAGAACTCCTCACTAGGCGTTTGTAACTTTAGTATCAGGCAAATACGCTGGCACTGTGTCATCATGGGGGCGATAAGGAGGCCCGGCGTGATTGGTAGTAAAAGGCAGAATTCCATGACCGAAGCGCGACTTGACTATCTTTCGTATTGTGTTCCGAATCCTGCTGCATTATAAACATATAGGGGGTTCTAACTTTTTTCCTAACTCGCACAGAGCAGAGCTCTCGATGCCTAGAACGAAATGAAGCTTCTACTCTCACCTTCGAAGCTAGATCTCCTCTCGTATCCCTAACATTAACAAGCAAGCACATTACCACTCTACCATGACGGAAACTTACGAGCACCTAGACGAGCGACCATTGGCTGGTTGCAGCTGCATCGCTGTATGAATTGTTGATGGCGTGTCTGCGGAGCAACCGCGCCGAGCGATCAGCTGTTCAAAAAAGTGGCGCGCCTCCCCTTGCCGCCAGCCGCATCGATACTAGAGTCTCTCTCTTGACCTGTTCTGTGTCTATTACCCACTGCGGTGCTTGCCGTCAGCACTGTAGCAACGTCACATAAAACATCGACACAGCAGCCGTGCTTCCCGACGGTCTGACGCTGGAGTGCTCTAATGTTCTTAAACAGCAGGTAAGCAAAGAAAGATAGAAGACTTATACATTTTTGCGCTTTTCGGACACACGAGGATTGATTGCGCGGTAGGGCAGTAGCTGGATGTCGCGAATTACCTCATGTGATACCTCCCATGGAATTGAAGTAGTCATTTTTCCACTCCCTTCTGAAAAACGAACGTGTTAACTTGAACAATTTTACAGCAAACAGTGGCTGACCTGAGAACGGTGTCTGTTTGGACGACGTGAACCTCTACAGTTGATGTCTCCCAACCTTTGGACAAGATTTCGATTAGTCAGTCACGCTGTCGACCAGCTGGACAGCGGTGATAGGATCAGTGGTGCCTTATTGTTCCTTTTTCAAATATAATTACCCCCTGAGCAGATGATAACAGCGATCAGTGTGATCTATGCGCTTCTACTGTAAATGCATTAAGCTGAATAGTTGCGCCCCTAAGCAGTACGTTAGGCAAACAGGTGTTCTTCTAGGTTAACTCCTGAGGTTGATTCGCGCGCATCAAGCTTATCGGGCTAGGTGTCATTCAATCTGAAGCGCCATCATCAAGTGAGTCTTCTGGAACGAACCAAAACGTCAAACATAATCTAACCCTTTCATCTCTGTGTCTTGTTGATTATTGCCGGCAATCACCTGACCGATAATTAAGACAATGCAGTAGTGTTTAAAGCATATGCCTATTGTGTACAAAGCTCAATATGATCTTATATGGTTGATAAGAAATGCTCGCGTAAGACATTTCGATCTTCGATATGTTAAGTCATATTAGTGATAAAAAACCAGTATGTTTTTCTAATACATAGGCGTAAGATATCTAGTTTATTGTCGTCAAACGATATTATATATGAATGAAGTCATATATGGAGCTAGGAGTAAATAATGACTACTTTTTTGGACCGTCCATCCAAAATGATTTATTATTTAGCGGTAAAACACGCCGCTGAATGAAAGACTTTATGCCGTAAAAATTATGGCTACAAGTGGAACATGTGTAAATTGCTCGAAATAAGTTCATAAATTGTGAAGAAGAAAGTTATACCTATGTTCAGGTTTATTCTAATTAAGAACCCTGTTACGGTGAGCATGTGCCTGAAAAGTCTGCTGCAATGTGCTTCGAAACCCTAACAATTAGAAAAAGAAAACGCGACAAGTGAGTTATTACACCGACGGCTGTGGTCCAGAAAAAGAAACTCATAACGAACATTTTTTTCAGTCGTGGAGCTATAGTTGTTGGCGGAAAAGACAAAGAATCTGTTTGTTAGGCTTGACCGCTGTAACAGCCATTCAATGAAATTCGAGCCTGGATAAGAACACCTAGTTCAGCCAATACGCGAGTTAAAATAAAATCATGCGTATTTAATCGCATGGGTCGCGTACTTTAAACCTCTAGATAGATGTACTGTAGTGTATGAATATATTGTCGAAACTAGCGACTGACCTGTTCAGTTCGAATGACACGTTAAGCTAACTTCAAATTCTATTTGTTAGCCGTTAGATCGATCGCTATCGACTTGAAAATTACGACGCTACGGGTCACACAGAAAATGTATGGTAATCATATTGACGTAGTCTAGTGTGACGCTACTACCCGTTGGATTCATCTATATTCTGCTATTATGATGTGAAGTGATCCGACTTAACTAGCCCAGCTGCGTTCATTCGTTAGTAGTCACCTACACTTGCTTTTTGGCTTGTGATATGCCACGACTTTCGCTTAAGAGGCGGTGGGCTTTGGTGCGCTTGACGTAGATGGTGCCGATGTGTTGCTCTAATTTTTGCAGGCAGTGAATCCGAGTGGTCAAGATGAAGATAAAGAGCGTAAACCGCACAGCGAATTGTGCCTGGTCGCCCAAGGATGTTCACTGCGGGATTTTTTTGGCGGCTGGAACGACCGCACAGCAGGTCGATGCTTCGTTCAATACCTCATCGCAGCTGGAAATCCTGAGTTTCGACGTGACTTCACCTGACAAAGGGCTCAAGCCGGTGGCGCAAACATCGTGCGAGCATCGTTTTCATAAGATCGTCTGGGGTCCTTTAGGCATTCAGCAGGGTAATGCCCCTTTAGGGGTACTGTGCACAGGCATTGATAACGGCTCGGTGCAGGTGTTCAATGTGCAACGATTGCTTGATAACCAACAGGCGTTACTGGCCGCTTATAAGACCCATTCCGGTCCGGTGCATTCGCTAGATATGAATCCGTTTCAGTACAATTTGCTAGCTTCGGGTAGTCGCGAAAGCGAAGTATACATCTGGGACCTGAGTAGTCCGACAGCACAGCCATACACACCCGGAACACCATGCCAACCAAAAGAAGATGTGGTGTGCCTTTCCTGGAACCGACAGGTCCAACACATTCTAGCGTCAGCTATGACCACTCGTTGTGTGGTGTGGGATCTTCGCAAAAGTGAACCGATAATCCGGGTAGGTGAATCCTCCTCAAGATTTCGGTGCAAGGCTGTTACCTGGAATCCACAGGTTAGTGTGTTTGGGATCAGTAATGTGCATTTAACTTGACAGCATATTTATCAAAGAGAATTGTAATAATAACATTAGAGGAATAAGTCTACTGACAGAGTTCTCGGTACAGCGAGCACGGTGATGATACTACATATTGCAGCATGTCGTCTTTTGCGTCATTTGCTGTAATATTACAGGTAGCAACCCAGCTCTGTTTGGCTTCCGAAGACGACCATACGCCTTGGTTGCAGATCTGGGACTTGCGCTACGCGTCATGGCCTGTCAAAACTTTAGAGAAGCATCGCAAAGGCATCTTGTCGCTTGATTGGAACCCAAAAGATCAAGACATGTTGCTATCATGTGGCAAAGATTCATTATTGTGCATCTGGAACCCGAATGGCACTCAGGGATCAGAGCTCATTTCCGAGATTCACACCAGCTCCGACTGGAATTTCGAGGCGCAATGGTGTCCACGTAATCCTGCCCTCGTTTCTACGGCGAGTTTCAGCGGCGAACTGGCTGTCTACTCGGTTATCGGGGGCGAACAAGGTGGTGCTGGGGATGGCGGCCTTAAAAAGGCCCCGTCTTGGCTTAGTGGCGGAGTGGGCGCACAGTTTGGTGTAAGTATGACTTTGTGCTCATAAATTTGTTATCATTAGCTGCTCCCAGTTGATTCTCCATATTAAAATGGACATCTTGTCATCGTTTATGAATTATTCTTGTGCTATAGGAATAACAATTACACATTTCATCAACACGTATACGTCAAGAATGTGCGTTGACAACCAGAGATCTAGGTACTGCCTCACATTGACGAAATTACAGCTTCCCAAACGACTAAAACCAACTTGTTCCGATATTCAGTTTTACATTTCTTATACTTGAAGGATGCTCCTATTTTATTTTAGTTCGGTGGCAAATTGATCACGTTCTCGAAAGAAGCAGGCTCTAAAGTTGACGTTGCCCAAGTAGTAACAGACGAGGTGTTGATCGAACGAGTCAAAGAGATGGACGAGGCGCTCTTTAAACCATCGACTCATGATTTTGATAACACGGAGGGCCATAAGCAGCCCAATTTCTGGCAAAAGAAACTTGTCGGAGAAGATAGCCGTCTTTGGCAGTTCATTCAGGCGCTTTGTGGAGACAATAGAAAAAGTCGATTACAGGAACTACTAGGTTATCCCGTACAATATCAGGTATGTACAGAAATTAACAACAAAATAATATAGAGAAGACATTCTCGATAGTTATTACCCGTTCTGACAGAACAGCTCAAGCACATATTTCTGCGATTTCGCTATTACTATCACGTAACTGGAGCAGTTTTTGTTTTTGTATTTGGCTCCATCGTCACCAGGGAAATGATTTGGTTGAAGATCTAGCCGATGCATTCGACGAGACCGTCCAGGTCAATGGAGGATCCTGTGTTGGTGAGACCGCGTCGACAAAGAAAATCGGCTACGCTCTGGTTTCCGGCGATGCACGACGAGCTGCCGAGCTGTGTCTTCATAGTAAACGTTTCGCAGAAGCTCTGTTTCTTGCCGACTATGCCCACGACACTGCACTCAAAGAAAGCGTGCGCAAAGAATTTCTCAATGTTTATCGAGCAGACTCGGTATGTAGCTACGTAAAGCTTTTTCGAATGTATAAGGAAAAACGAAAGTTTTTTTATATTTCGAGAGTTTCCATCGTATATATATATATATATATATATATATATTCTTAACAGGTAGATAATAAATCTATATTACTTGTCTATTAAGTGATTTTCTCAGACTGTTTTCCATCTGCAACCATTTCATTGTTTATTATTAACGTATGTCTAATCCTATACGTTCAGACGGTAATTTCCTGTTAAAAAAAAGCGAGACGTTCAGCGTTGTCGCCAAAATCTACAACTTTCTGGATGACCTGATTTGTCCTTCATCATTCCTCGTGCTTTTTATGTATGCTTTGATGTATTCCAGATGTGCCGCCTAATCGCGTGTGTCTCTTCCGGTCTATGGGAGGAGTTGACTGAGCTGGCGCCTGTTGATGAATGGCAGACAACACTGGCTGCCATATTGGGTCACGTTACAGCTGACACTCAGCGAGCAATTGCCTTATGCTCGACTGTAGCGGGTATGCTTGTAGAAGCGGGTCGCCGTGAAGAGGCCATGTTGGCGTATCTTCTAGCCAGAGATCCTGCCAACTTGGTCGAATGCTATCTGGCCATCCGAAATAAGCCCGAAACGAACGAGCATCTCCAGACGTTTATGGAAGTGATCACTGCAGCCAGAATTGTCACAGGAGTACAGCAGCTTCCGAAATCGATATCACCAATAGTCGCTAAGTATGTCGGACTTCTTGCGGAACAGGGGTGTCTTCCGATAACGCTGCACTATCTGGATGACCTTGATGATAAAGACGCGAAGATGATTCAGCTGCGTGACCGGATTCTGCAATCTCAAAGCGTACCAGACACTAAACAGCATTTGCAACAACAAGGCATCAATGCACAACAACAGCAGAACCAGTTTTCCATTCATGGCCGTAACCGTGACCGGACTGTGAGTGGGTCGTCAGGTTTTGATATTGGATGTCCCCGACCATCGACTTTTCAGCCAATGGCGCCTGGCGCACCCGCTTCTATGGCTGGATACCCGTGTAGCAGTCATAATAAACAGACTACCCCATTTCCGTCGGCTTATCCTGACGTCAATTCGAACTTGCCAATCACTACAAGTCACCGCATCCCAGGACCAATATCCAGTACCCAGGAAATCTCGCCACCACCTGTTGATCGGGTGGCGCCACGCCCTTTGAGTCGGGCCGCAGGCAAGTACCCAGCCGTAGTCGATCCCTCAATCAAAAATTCCGGTTCAGCTTACGGTAACTATGGCTCGCCATATACTCCAGCTCCCCAAGATTCATACGCCACTGGATACAACCCTGTTAGCGCAAACCAGTATAATCCGTATCTGAATTCTCGTTCTGGTACCCCAGCTATGGATCATTATAATGCGCAGTACGTGCCAGCCAGCCTTGGTGCCGGTGGCAGATCGGCGTTTGACAGTTATCCAACGGCTGCATCGACTTCGGTTGCCCCGGTTACTCCGATGGCTCCGTCAGCTTCGAAATCCCCACTAATGAATTTGCCCAGTGGCAATGATTACACTCGGGATGAGCGGTACTCTGCTCCAGGGTGGAATGACCCACCGCCGTTAAGGCGCAGTTCGAAACCATTATCTGCTCCACCGATTATTCCGGAAACTACATGCGCTCCGCTAACCAGGCCCCTACCCGAGGTTCCAGCTACCCCTGGAGTTGGCTCTAGCAACTTCTACAGCCCTCAACAGCAGCATATTTACCAGCAGCATCAAACGCAGCAGCAGCAAACAACTGGCACGCCTTCAATTCTCCAGCCGCAGATTCAGTCGACGATAGCGTATAATCGTGAGTAGCCTAAAAGTATAACCTAAAGTATAAGTATGCTTTTTCTTTCTTCTAGTCTGACGAACAAATTGTTGAGAGATTAACGATATATTTAATGATAGTTTTGACAAATATTTATTATTTATTCATGGCAAGGATAACTCTACATATTTAAAGTAAAGTACACAGTATACAGACAAAAAGACTAGATTTTTAGACGAGTGAAAATAACGAGCAAGCACCATAACAGAAATCTCTGCAAATAAAAAGTGATTTTTATTATCTTGATTACTTCTGTAATGGTAGCAAAATATAACAGTGGAGAAAACTCTACATTATCTAATATAACAATGAGGGGGGTTATAATGCAATGGGGTTACTCTTATATCAAAGCCGTTTTGTATTCGTGTTGAAGTCTGATGTCTAATTTTAAATCTCAGAATTTAGTAATAGTTGCAGTTGGCAATTATCGAGGCTATTTTTTGAGTGGTGAAACCAATAACAGAACATTTATGGAGAAAACTATAGACAATATTAAGAAATTTCACTATTGGTATGTAAGACTAAGAGACCTGTGCCAATAACAGACACCATTTTGAGCAAGTTTACACGACAAGGCTACCCAAATGACTTCAAAACACCTAAACTAATGCAAATGGATTACCTGTTCAATAGATTCTCGTGAAGACAAGAAGCATTCAATTTATCTCTAATTGGTGACAGTCTTTTGAGTCAAGATTCTCCACAATTGATGTTATAATGATTTTAACTGCAAACATTTGCCAGAAAAATAGAGTAAATCGATTAAATTAAAATACCAATGTACAAGTAACATACAAGCACTAAGGTAGCAGTAATAAATACACAGTAAACATAAGCAGACAATGGAAGTTGCGATTTTTTGAGTGTAACTTAAATAGTAAGCAAAACTATTTTCTAATGGACAAAGACTGCTACCGAGTTTCCGCTTACTTCTTTTTCCATATTGCAGCTGCGGTGCAGCCGACGCCACAACTTCCACTTCCACCCGTGGAAAAACCTCCGATTCCACCCCAGTACAAGATGCTGTACGATACTTTCGATCACTTACGGATTGCCTGTCTTTCCATACAGAATAACCTCGTTCAGAAGAAAATGGAGGACATAACAAAAAAAATCTGGAATCTTGGAGACAAGTTGCGGGCATCTGAGGTAGGTTTGTGTGAAGAAGGCTGTTAGGTTATACTGCTTATTAACTTGAAATTTATCAAAATGAAATTTACGGACTAATCGATATGAGTGACGCAAAAGTCATTTTTATACAAGTGCCATAAATTGAGCCATGGTTTCGATTCATGTATATCATTTGCAAAGAGTAAAATTTCTCAAGGTCAATATGAATACCAAAATGTTTTCGGTGTTGTTTTATCACTTCCCTTTTACACCGCAATGTGTTGTTCATTATCCATTGCGACAGTTATGCATATCGCTTATACGTATTCTCTTTTTCTCACTAACACCATTACAGATAACGGAAACGACGATTTCGAATTTGCAAATTGTCGCCGAGGCCGTGACACGCCACGATTACCCCTACGCACTGCAGGCTTTCAACTATCTGGCACAAACATCGAATTTGACTGAGACAAGCGCCTTCCTGCCAGGCATCAAGACACTTTTAGCTATTGCACAGCAAAATCAAATTTATGCTTAGAGTAGTTCACTTTCCGGAAATTTAACATCTGCTTGTGATAGGTAGATAAAATTAATCTACAAACGTATTCTACCTGCAAAAAACGCCAGTTTAAAGGAGGCATCATTGAGTTTTCTTTTTCAAAACTCTAAACTCGGAACGCACTGACGGGTCCAACAAAGGACGCAGGGAAAAGATTAGGTGCAATCTCTCTGAAGCTGTTTTGCTAAAACTGTCTTAGATAGAATGCGGCCTTAGCCATAGATAAGTTTAGGTAGTTAGCATCGAAGCCCTTCTCTCTTTCTTGTTTTCCTTTAATAAATGTTTCGGCTTTGGACGTTTAATAAGCAAACAGGCCTTGGGAGTGACTATGTAGGAACGAATATGATTACTTTAGATGACGAATTTGTTGACTGCATATTTGAGCGTGACTAGTGATTGTGGTGATTGGAGGTGTCATCAATCGTTGATTCCGAATAGACTGCTACTGCACACCATGAAGCGTTGCCCAGTACAATGGAGGAGATTGAGACAAAGTTAACTAGAAGATTAAGCGATAGATATTAGGACTAGTGACGCAAGCTGGGATGTTATGCATATTGTAGCCACAGGAAACGATAAGGCCGAGATACAAATGCAAGGTCCAAGTTATAGTTTTAAAATGCACCTTTAGCCCTTGTTTTGATATTTTTTGCTGATATAAGATGCGAGCTATACGAAAATATGAGACCTTTTTCTTTAATCATCTTTCGCATTCCTTCTAGCCGCGAACTTCGTGGATGTTACATACGTTACGTTAAACCTTAAGATCATTTCCGTTTTTCTGTAAGTGGGGCCATGACAACACCATCCGTCAGAGTTATAACAGAAGCTGCCACGAAGTGTTTTCTTTTGTACGTTTGCTCCTCAACTGCAATATTTCTTTGCTTTTACGCCTTGGTAAAACTGGAAGTGCCGAGAAAATCACCTAGAAGCGTTGTATCCTGCGTTCGACAGGACCTAACTAGGACCTAAAGAGTTGGCGCGGTTTTCGCAATCCCTTCAAGGCTGGACGTATCAACTGGTTGAATTGGGAACACCCATATATCTGTAATCTGCGAGAGCGGAAGAGAAAATTTATGACTCGACAGTGCACATTCTCTAGTAATGGCGATCCACAAGTTGGACTTCTGTTCGTAAATACTTCTATTGACCAGCAGACGCATAAATTGCTAGTGGTTTTCAAAGCTGACAGGGTAGGCGCTTTATGAAAACATTTCTCTCACACATCAAGACTCTCTTCTGGCCCGGCTATCGAACCAGCCAAAAGAAGAAAGCAATCAGAATAATATATAAATTTACACCATGCAGAGTATTCAGTTTCCGAATGATGCCATCATACGGGAGGTCTAATCTAAATCAGAACTGCTAGGGTGTCCTACAACATTTTGAAACTAAGCCGCCCCCCCAGCCAAGCAATTCGTCACCGAAGATCATCTTCGTTCAGTCACACTCATGTCGCGAGTTCACTTTAAAACTGAATGTCCTGTATCGTCGGAATGACAATATCTTTGAGTGGAGGATGAAGGAATAGACATAGAAATAAATTATTAAGCACAGATATGCCTAAAATAAAGGAAAAGGCAGCCGAAAATGCAACTGAGACAAAATCGATCTTTTGCGTAGGATGTCAAAGAAGTAAAACAATGGACGTATTTTGAAAGAAAGACAATTTTAACATATTTTGTGTAAATGTAAGCCTTTTAAATAAAACACGAAAAAGTACGAAAAGCAGTAAATAAAAAATAAAATACGAAAAGTAGTAAGCAAAGCTGGTATATCATAGGAGAAAATGCGAGTCTGGTCGAAGAAAATAGATAACACAGATACAAATATCAACACAGTGTGTGTGTGCGACCAGTGGAGAAGATGAGGGTTTAAATAGAATATATTATGTAGAAAATACATCAGAAGGTATAAATTACTTGTATTTAGCAAGTTTCTGCTGCTGAAGGTGTAAAAGCAATTCAATTTACAACTTTCTTTACTGTAAACTTACTACGCCCAGCGAGCGATGCCAGGCAGAGGGAAGCCACTGTACTAAAAAGGCCCTTGGAGACCCTGCCTAACCGAAATACCTAATCTGCTGCAGGTAATTTTTTTGATAGTTCGGCTAAAGCATTTTATGCACGACGGAACACATACATACATACATTGTCCGTCTAAAATGGGCCAATGAATATCGAATGTATCTTCGACGGGAAGGCGTTGTTTTGCTGATACTTCTATCCATTCATTCTCAGTACCTACCGTATATGTTATTACAACAATCTGGACTTCTCTTAATAGTACTCCAAACTATTTGGAGGGAATTATACTGTGGTATATCAAGCTAACTCGTTCGCAGGTAAATGGACATTATAGACGATTAAATATTTCAAATATATCAATTTTTTTTAACAATTTTTGGTACTCCTACTATGGAAACATGGCTTTAGAATCATCTCTTCGATGTAGTACTGAGGACTTCTTTCACTGAATCTAAGAGGGATGGGTGCTGCTGGATCTATTTCTTTCTTCGATCATATGAAGCGATGTAATAATCATATGTGTTATTTGTCAACGTTTAAGCCTATGCATATCCATGTAATTTTCTTTTTCTAGATTGATCTTCTATTGTACACTCATATCACACATTATTAACACTGGAGATATTAGGCGCGGTGATATACGGTTGACACCCAATGAAAATTAATCATAGGCTGATCATGACGTCGTTTCAGTAGGTTTTTATAATCGTGTTCGTGATAGCTTAGTGGGAAGCGTATTTGGTTGATAATCTTAGAGACACCTTGTGGTCTACTTTCAATTTTGAACATAGATAGGCATCGTTACGTGTTGGGAGCCAGCCGTCCAATGGAATGCCTAACGGAGATACCGGACATAAAACTCGTATCACAAAACTCTTATGAAGTCTGTTCTCCAAATTCAGATATAATGGAGAGTAAATAATATAGTACGATTTAAGCTTATCTTTTGAGGAAAGAAAAAATCTAGTAGGGAACAAGGTATCGTTTGGCTTCTATAAATTTGATAATATGTATGGTTATACCGACTATTAAGGCAGAGTCTTGATTGCAGAGGATATACTGTGTTATATGGCTGAATAATAGAGGAATAACATAGACAACAAAAGTTATGGGACCGCTTAGAACATTCAGACTTTAGAAAACTGAAAATAACTATTACACCCCCAACGATGGGATCTAAATGTCAAAATATTCGTCAACTTATTGTATCATGTTTTCTATCTCATCTATTTTAGCACAGCATCGGTTTATTTTTCCGTATTTATTTTTCACCTAATTTTATTAACAGAAGATGTGTGTATACATAGCGCTTTAGAAAGAAAATTTCTGTACTCACTTTTCTGTCATACATCAAGCTTATTTTATGTTTTATTTTCCTTCATTATCCTTCAACATATTGTCAATGCGAACTGAAACGAAGTTCTTATTTCATATAACGGCAATGTGTATTTTAAAAAAAAGTGCGCAGTTTAAAACGTCTTGCTGTATGCATCCCATACAATAATACATACGTTAAAAATTTATATGCATTATCGATCTACAGAGTAAGTCTGTTCACTTTATCGTACCATCGGTTTCCACTTGGATGAGCTTCTTCGGTCATTCCTATAGTACAATAGCTGAACTACATGTGTCACAATGAGTGTTAAATCTCTCCTTGACAAAATGTTTGAATGCTTTTTTTTCGTTTTTAATATTCGTATTTCGATAGGAAGTTTATCGGGTGTTTTTTTGTTTCGCCACGTTGAGAACACAGGGATGCCCAAAATGTCGACAAGTTGCTTCGGGTGTATTCATTTCGAACCGACTATGATATTTCCAAATGTCATTTGATTAAAAACTATTATTCTCTAAAAAATAATAGGTTTCAAGACTAAATTACAAGAGAGACAAGCTCTAAATTTTCAATGGTGAAAACTGGGGCCGCATCAATAAACGATGTTTGCTCGTATTGTTCGCTACTTTGTTTATAAATAATAGTTACTTACTTATTATTTTTTGGCAAAAAGAATCTGTCCATATACCATATAGGTACGATATCAAATAGTACAACCTGTGAAATATTAAATAGAGAGGAACAAGGATCAGAATAGAAATGGCATGAGGAACAGCGCATGTGAACGACAAATACTATTATGGAATAAACCACTTAGTGCTTATGACTCATTCATAGTAATAATAGTCTATGGCATGCGTTTATGGTCGCCATCGATTTATAAAGATCCGCCGTCGAAAAACCAAACATCTTTTTTGGTCTCCTCAATTTCAGTTGGCGTAAGATGTGAACATATGTGATCTGAACAAATAAGCACACAAGAACAAAGAAACAATGTAAATGCAGTCATCCACTACCAAGTATCATTCTAGTCTAGGTTTCCACTTTTTCGCTTGTCCGGATTATTGTTGTTTGGACCTCAGAAACCGGTCGCCTGATTGGGTTTCTTGGGATCTATTCTCTCACAGAAGGTGTTACAGAATCTACTTCTCGTTGCCTCTGCAACTTGTTTGTACTTTATTAAGGTGCCGTTCCAACTAAACTAGTATTATCACTGTAGTCAATCAGCAGCGCATTTGCCTTCATTACAAATCACCACGAGGTGCCTCCATGTAAGCAACGATGATTCTATTTATCTATCCGATGCCCTAGCTTCTTTCACTGTCCCCGATTGACTAACAGACCCTCCGCGATTCTTTTCGCAGAAGAATTGTGCTTCCAGTAAGTCGAGCGATGAGCGCTGCACGTTTGTTGACGTCCAGTTCGTCCCAGACCTCGTTGAGGACAGAGTCCGCCATCTCGTCGTATTCTCTACGGTGCCGGCCCTCGACCTCTTCGGATGTATGCACCGTAAAAATAAACACAGCTCGTTCACGGAACGGTGAATTGTAATAGTCACAAAGCGAATGAAAAATCGAAGCGGTATAGGAGTCGATCTGTTCAAGAGAGTCGAACTGAAAGAACGACAAACATAGCAGAAAACAGATAAGACAATAGTTGACCTAACATATGGGGTAATCTTCTGCTAGGAATGATATATTTAGCACAAATGTATAACGTGGAATGCAGACTTCAATGTAAGACACAACTTATGATACAATATACTGAAAAACAATAGCTGAAGATTTTTCAGCAAAGGTGTTAACTTGTCATTCGATAACATGACATTTGCTTTACTCCTATTAAGAGTTGTTATGTTTCGGCGTGAATTAGAAAAAAATTATTTTTAACCAAAAGTAAGGATCCCTAAAGAACATAAGCAAGATCTCATTTAACGAATGCTTACTTAGCTAAGTTGAGATATGGTGTAATCATGTTATTATACTTCTAATAGAAGTTTTTGCTTCAAGGTACCATTACTTGTTTGTCATTATTGTTATTACCTGCATAACAAAGTTGTCTCGTTCACGAACTGCTTCATCTATGGTATGTTTGGCTGCCACCGAATTGTGTGAGCGACTCAATTTAGCGCCGTTCAATTGTATCGGACGTTCTGTCGGGTTGAATGTTTTTGCTAGTGAAGTGGCCAGCTTTTCCGCAAAACACGAAGCGACATGTTGATCTTTTTTAGATGCGAGAATGATCAATACCGCGGGACCATACTCGTAGTGGGAATTGTTCAAAACTTCTGCAAAAGCTGAACGAATCACTCCCCAGTTATGGGAGGGCTGTGTGGGAAACTGGGCTTTAAGGTCAGCCAACTTACGATCGAAAATGGGCATCAGATTTGGCCGGTTTACCTATATAACGAAAATTATTAGTACAATAGAAAAAGAGTTCTTAATTGCAGGCTTCAACATAATGGACTGAGTAAGAACAGTTCGGGTCTCTGGATGAGACACATTTTCATATGGGACTCCAATTAATTGGGACTATAAATATACCAGCACTTTGAAAAGGTGAAAAGCGTGTCCCTTACGTGGTTACACCGACTTCCATCACACATTCTAACTCATTGAATGCCGCTTAAAGATAATAAGAGGATTTTCGGTGACTCGTTGAAGATGAAACCCTATTACGTGTATATAATTAGCTAACGAGGCTAGTGAACCTTAATATAGTAAATCATCCCCGTGGTAGGTCATGGTAACGTGTTTGCCATGGTGCAATGGTGATCTACGATCGAATTTGGGCTTGGATATAATTCACGTCGCGGCATTTCTAACGGCTTAAATACCGGATGTAAAACTCACAGTAATTAATATAACAAGTTACCCTCTGAATGCCTCTCAGTACCAGACGTAATACTTGAAACATTTATTTACATTTATTGGTAGATATTATTTATAGATCTTCTTTTGTAAATTATTTCATGCATTATGGAAGTAGCGCAAATATTGCTTCAAAATAATAACTTTGTTTTCTATGTTTCAAATTGTCCGATCTTGACCTTGGTAGAAGTTTTTGAAGACGATTAAAAATACACAAAGAGAGAAGAACTTGACGTAACTATATATAGTATCCTACCTTCGCAATGTAACTCCGGTAGGCATCATAACGGGAAGCGCCAGTGTACGCTAGCAAGACAAGTATTGCAATGAAGATTATCAATGGAAGAACCCTTTGTCGAGTGGCCATACAGTCGTCGGATAGTGGAGGCTGCGAGCAACGTTTTTGGCTTTCGGTAACGACATTTCGCTCCGACGATGTCGATCGTGTTGTTTTCGATGGCGACCTAGATTTTGACTAAAGTTTCATTGGCAAAAAGTGACACAAAATATGAGCATATGTTACTGGTTGTTAGAATAGGATTCAGTCTAGCTCAGGCAACTCTCGTTGGAGGTCGAGCAGACAGTCGACGCTGTCTTGGCTCGCTTGTTTCTCCGTAACACACGCCTATCGTCGATTCACGTAGTTCACTTGCAGATTTCAATCCAGCTGCACAAGGAAAGTCACATCGGCAATCGTGCTAAATTACTACGCTTTTTATCCAATTTTGTGCTACCCGCAGCACTACTTCTGCGTAACCTGATGTCTCTCAAGCATATCTCATTTTTATGTAAGCCACGCTCGCTACGATAAACCGATACATGCGATGGACAAAAACTTGGGTGGACGCTAGGTTTGTAATAGCAATAAAGTACCTTCCTCCGTCGGCGCAGTTTCATCCGAACGTCGTCTGTAGCAACGCATTCATTCTCCTTGTCGCTAGTGGCTTCGCGACTGGACTCGGACTTTTATCGACGGATTTTTCGATCGGAGGTCATTTTGGCAGCACCGGGAAAAGAACGGCATGGTAATTATTAAGCTCAAGCTATGCGCATAATGAATAACAACGTAAGTATGATGAGGTCGAATTTTCGCAATGCTATAGAATTAACAAAAGCGGGGAGATGAGAATGGTTCCGAAACCCCAAGGGAAACAGATTCAGATAACGCGACGCAGTAAAAGATTCATAATCGGCTTTTTTTTTTTTTTTTTTTTTTATCATACTGGGAAGCTCGGCTAGTGCTGAAAAAAGAAATGAGATCAGGTAGCATATATAACATAACACGATGAGAGTTTGGACCAATGATTTCAATGTAACATTTTGTTCGTTGTTTCCACAGTGATGACTGTGTGGTTCGCGCTTAAGATAATAGTTCCGCTGAAATCGTGGATATCTGTCAAGCATAAAAGGTGCACCTGTCGTACACAAGGTAAAACGCATGGTAAAGATAATCAGCAACGGTTCTTAAACGCGCATTAATGGTACTGTAAAGACAATGAATAATTCAGTTTTAGGAGTGTTGCGAGATGCCTGACTATTCGAAGCGCCGTGGACATACGAAAATTGAGGTAGTTAAGCAGATGAAACGGCGGCCATGCATTAGCCTTATAATGGTATACTGTTAGTCGTCTACCTGAATATTCTTTACGTTGTTGCCCTACCAGGCATCCAACGCTATTTCTATATAGACCGTATGAGCCGCTACACCACGTGGTTGTTACTACTCTAACAAAGCACGGACGAAAGAGAACAATGGAAAATAGTGAGCGCTTCATAACGGTTGTTTAAACTTGGGAATCGGTATTGTCGTTGGTTGTGACACGTTGGTAAATTACGCTTAAGCTAATACAAACGGATGTTCTTCGGCAATGATTGATCAAACGGGTAAATCTCCAAGCGTTGTTTCAGCACGTGAACGCGATGATGTTTATGATTTTTATAATGCGGAACATGCAGAGAGACAGGACCAACAGGAAGACAAACGAATGGAAGAAGCCAGACACTTAACTAACATACTGTACCCACTGCCTTAACCTCAACAGTGGCAGAGTAGGCACTGAAAGGTTTCACAGTTTACAACTCGTATTCGAATACATGTGCTCGCGCGTAATAGACGCTTCATACTAACTGAGTATAAAATTTTTGTGGTATAATACTGTACAGTAATAATGTGCCATAAAACTATTGTGGTACAAGCCATGAAGCTCATAAGATAATGTTAAAGGTCCATTAATAGGGATGTTAAAAGTTGTCATATGAGCGCTCGGATGTTCGAAACCATTTAATACCTATTGAAGACGCGGATAAATGCTTGGTTACGGTGCAGATTGCGGCATATAAAGTAGGCTTAACTACTGAGTGCGGATTATCGTAATATTTGCCTAGTATAAGAGAAAAACAGCTTCTGCTTTATTCAAAGCTAAAAACATATCCAAAATTTATGAAAACATTCACTGGGTGTAATATACAACAACATAATACGCTCTTGATAATTACGTTCTGTAAACTGTTTAACGTTAAAAGAGATGCCAGTTGCCAACTTTGATGTATGAAAGCTTATTCCAATCTACTTGAAATGCTATTTCAATATGGCTGACTTTTTCCCTTGAAAATAGAGGTATTCGATTATTTTGTGCTATATTTTTTTGACGTTAATGAGCTGCCGAACAGTTATAAATGCGGCAATGTAATAGATTTTCATTCGAAAGACTGTGATTGACTTTAAGGAGCTGGACGTGTTGGAATATTCGGTTCAACTGAAGTGAATGTTATAAATTAGAAATAGTAGTTCGGTAAAAACGCTTAAAAACAAAACGCATTAAACCAATCGAACACCTAATCTTATCAACTTCTTCTTCTTCTTCTTCTTATTATTATTCTTACTTGAAATTATGTTTACAGATACTATACGACAAGTGAAGAAATAAACTATAGCTATTATCGAATAAAATACCTAAATACAGTCTAATGAAGTACTACGAATATAATACCGAGACTACAAATAAACACAAAGCACAAACGCAGTCGCTGTATCTTGTATCTGTACATATTTAGAAGCTGGTTAATTATTGATATTAGTTAAAATTAAGTTTGGAGAAAAGTTTTATGCAACGAGATCGTAAGCAGTGCTCGGTTTCATACAAAGTACCTCAAAATAGAAGAAAACATAATTTAACTTCGCCATTTTTATACCTTAACTCTTTGCTTTGTGGAACATTCATGAGAAGAAAACAGCAGTCACGCGATGTTTAGACTCAAAAGTTTTTGCACGAAATAATGTTACTTTGATATCAGCATATCTCCGTACCACGCCTAGTTCCGGATGCAATCTTATGTTGCAAGGTCTCCAAGGCAATGGAGTTGTAACGTGTTTGTTTTTTAAATTTTGCGAGATATGTGGTGACCTAGGCTCGAAACCGGGCGTAGATAAAACTTCGTTTCATGCTGGTATAAAAACTAACCAATTAAATCAGCACTATTTAACTAAGGTAATAGAACTGAGTACAAAATTTCAAACATTTTGCCTAAGCTTACCTCAATTTCCGCTTGTTCCTGCCTTTGTTTTGCAAGCATCTCAATTCTTTCATTTTCTTTAATTCGCCAATGACTCCATTCTTGCTCGATACTCTCAATGGATCGAGGATCTTTTGGTTGACCATACAATTTGGCCCAGTCTTCTTCCTCAGGTTTTTCGGCGCGGGGGCGATCTCCGACGGACAGTCGACCAACGCGCCATTTTGCACCCGACATCTCTGCTTTATTGGTAGTACCGCTAGGGTTTACAATAACTAGTAGTCAAAGTGCGCACGGTGTCTGATCTTTATGAAGCGTTGTTTTGGCGTTAATTTACTCGGACACGGCAGCCTTCTCCTTCGAGAACATGTAGTTCAGGCAGAGTTATATTTCATTTCTGTTGGAAACACTACACTGTGAGCCAAACTAGCACGAAGGCACATATTCACCACCATCAGCGCTTCAAAAGCTTCGGGAGAACATTACGCCAAAAAATCCCTTCAGATCACGAGTATTTAGCGAAGAGCCCATAACCGATTCTCGCACACTTTTATCACATAGGTTTATAGACCTGGATCTTCCCAGGCAGAAGGAAGATAAACAGCTGAGAGTCGCCACCGCTGGTTCGAACTATTTTCTATGGCCGCAAGAAATTCGAATCGAGGATGCGACCCGGCCTGGCGCTACGGGCGTCGAAGAGAGTAGCCGACGGTGGCTAGCAGTCGGGCAGGGGCAAAGATCTAAAAATAGCTGCTTGTCGCTTAAAGCCATGCGTACAAAAGTGAGTCATATTTTGGGCAGTCCCTTTTTCGCACGTCCATACGCAAATGATCACCTAGGAGGAAATAAACAAGCTTTTCGTTAGCACCGTCAATAGCAGAATTGTATCAATACGTCGCTGCAAAACTTATCCTTAGGGTAGCAGCAGCTGATTTGATGGGGCACGAATTTGTAAACAACGTTGAATCGCTGGTAAGCAAAGTACAAGGGAAACATGTGTGTGGGACTAGCGGAGTATCCAGATTGATGGAGGGAGCAATCGGACTACGTAAATCAAGGATAATTATTTTTAGAATGCATTTTTGGCGGTAATCGTTGACAACCAAGGAGCATTCACGTACGATTAGTTCGTGTCGTTATACACTAAGATATTGAGGTGATTTCCTCACTTTGGAAGAATTAAGCCAATGAAGTATGATGTACTATTAAAAGACCTTAGACATTGCATTCGTCTAATTTCACATCATGTCATTGTCAGCAACAACAGCGGAACAGGAAGTAAGAAATTCTGAAACTCTATATGTTCAACGTTATAATAATTGAAGACCTGGCATATGAATTAAAGCGAAATATTTTTCATTTCTACATTGCGAGTCTTTCCCTATATTCCACCTCATTAAATCACCGCATAACAACCATTATTCCATTTTAATGCTATAACAGATATATCACCAGATGCTCTGCGCAAATTAGGTAGATCCTGTCAGCATTTTCTCGCCTTTATAAGTGGATATGGGTGATTTTTTTCTTTTATTCATATTTAAAATTGGCGCGCCACCCGGCCACATCCGTCGGCGGCTTGATTAAAATCGCAGTCGTCACAGACTACGAGTCTGATCACCACACAGGGCATGACGTAAACAGACTACTTAACGAACACAACAGTAATACAATAGCCAGTTAGCTATTCTGAAGTCCGTAAGCCAGCCAGCCAGCCAACTAGAAGTGTAGAACCGATAAGTTCTAACTGAGGATAGTTACTGCTGGCGAGTTTTGAAGAGCAAGCCACGGTCAATCAATTCGATAGGGCTGCAATTTATCATGGATATGTGTGGTACTCGGTTGTGTTGTTCGCTATCTTTCTATCGCGGCCAAGAAAATTAATTGTCGTAAATATCTAGTCTGTACGGTGTGAAGAGCACAAAAGATAGGATTGCGTACGTGTGTCTGTGTGTGTGTGAACGTGCTTTTAATTGTAGAAAAGCTTTTTTTTTTTCGAATGAATTTTACTTAGGCCGCTTAACGTGACGGACGGAATCGGGTTAATAAGGCAAAGACCTATCAAAGCCGATCAACCCGGTTAAAATGTCGTGGTTTGGCGGAGCGTCACAGTTTAATACGTTGCTTGGTGAGTAATCATTAATGATCAAGTGTTGAAAAAGAAGCAATCTACCTTCTGGACTATTTGACGCCGATCGCATTCAGCATATATGGGGTAGTTGTAAAGGGAAAATGAAAAAATTAATTTTATGAATATACTGTCTATTATGCGTGCAAGCTCCTTTAGAATCCTCTGACATTGGTGTGTCAGCTTAGTTAGAGCAGGCAAAAAGGGTTGTTTTTTTGAATTTTTCCTCCAGAAACGGCTAACTAATGGTTACCTCAAAAATAGCGTTAGAGAAATATTATAAGAGATAAATTACATTAAATTGTAACATACGTCCATGATGTGAGAACAGTATCAAAGATGAGTTCAAAGAATGATTCAGTTTCATTCACTATTGGTGCCTGCTTGCGGTGTTCTAATCATCTGGGCCTTCCGTTGTAAAGCCGGCCAAACAGAGTCAAACTATCAGTAGCATCCGTATAAAAATCTTGTGCCTGTATTTACTCTTACGGAATTACAATTTATACTTAATCGATTCGTTAATAGTAAGCTAGCATTTGCTGCTTCTTGTGTTCCGCAGAAAAAGCGACAAGCACCAAGTTGCTGGAGCCGGATTGGACGATCATCCTAGAGATGTGCGACTCACTGCGATCCGGTGACTCAGAGTGAGTGCTCCACCTCGCTAAACACATATTAGACTCAATATTAATAGCAGTAATAAAAAAGGCTACAAAATGATAACCACAGTGTAACTCAGCGGTCTGCTGTGTCGACCGATTTGTTTGGCTCGGCGCAAACCACACAAGATTACGCTCGTTCAATATGGAAGGAGGCAGCGCATTAGCAGGTGGTATCGGCGCAAGAGTCAGCCATAGCATTGTTATTGAATGTTGAAATAGTAACATTTGCGTTGTGTGCCGCTCAAGCTCGTTGAAATTGAATTCTAATTCCGTCTAGTGATAATAGGCAGGTTTTATGATAATTTGATTTTTAATCTCGCATTTTTTATTTTCTTTTCCAAAATGTTGTCGTTAATAGCAGTCGCTAATATATTCGTTCAATGTATCACTGAAAACTATAGGTACGTGGATGAAGCAATCTGTACCTAAGGAATTTTTTTACGTTCCTGTTGTACGTATATGGGGTTTTTTGAAAAAAACCTCTGAAGGATAGACATGCTCGATTTGCATTGAAACAACTGAGGAGAAACGATTTATTCTTTGGAATCACAATGAAAATTGTCAATTATCATGGTTTCCGACCCATTCAGTTATTTAATCATTTTCACAGATTATTAATACTGTATATACATATCCAAATGCTGCTCAACCATCAAAGTTTTTAGAATCTAGCTTAACTCTAGTTAGTTCGAAGCCGAGTTCCAATCGCAAACTTGTTGCAATTGCATATAAACGTTTCTCGGACAAATGAGCGCCAGTAGGAGACGTAAGCATCAATATTTGAGAAGATTCTTGAAAATCGTAAAGTTACCACCCTTATACATCCACAGAGTTAATTTACAAAATTTGATATGGTGTAAAGTTATATATGAACCCTTATTATCTTAGTAGTATCACACTCTAGCGGCAAAATTTCAAACCAAAAACAGATCACGAAGATATAACTTTATACCTTATCCTAGGTCGTCTGACGTTTGCTTCCCTCTCGTAACTAAATAAATGACTGTTTGAAAGATGTCAATAGAGCTAGTGGAAGGCTAACCAAAATACATAGCCGATGTGTATCAGAAGTAGCAAAGTTTCGTACGTGCTTACGTACAATTCCTTAAAATGCTCTTCTTAATCAATGATAGTAATTAACAATAATAACAAAAAGTGTGCATGAGTTTCTATCTGCGAAAAAAAAGATACATTAGTATGCCAACCAGTACATATGGAATAGACGCCGATTCATTACACACGGAAATAATGTACTCGTTTTGCGAATTAAGGTGACGACCAAAATATTTGTTTAGTTGAGGGACAATATGACATCTAGTCTAACACCGTTGTTCACAGAGTAAACGCCACTGTTAATCGCCAATGTAGCGATGATATCTTAGCAGTTACTATCGTGGTGATGTTATTATCTGAACACAACTGCTACGTGGATACTTTCATGACAAATCGTATAAACGGATATGCATAAGCAAGCTTCATCATCAGGAATTTTTATTACTAACTGGTAAAAAGATTCAGTGATATGGAAACTTCACTTCATCTAAACCGTGTCAGCTTAGACGATTATAGCATCTGGTTACTCATCCTTTTCCAACACAGAACAGATTTTGAGTCCACTGAAGGCATTTTCGTGGATATTTCGGAGGCACGAATTTCCTCTTTGTTTGTGTTGTATAGTATTTAAGATGTTAAATCGAGATATGAAATTTCGATTGACAGCTGTCTACACTGGATGAACAGCACACTGGAATGCCCAGCATTTGCTTGTGGGCCAAATCGTTGGGTCTGAAAGCTCAATAATTTTTTAAACTGTAATGTCAGTTCTTACCCTTATCAGCGTAAAGATTGGTTGGATCTACATTCTTATACGACATAAGAACATTATGCTCGTAAAACAAAATAGGATTTAATTCACACGAGCTTTCTAACGAGTAATGACTTTGCATTAAAAAATTTTAAAAAAAGCTCATAATATTATCCCAACTGATCAGTGCGCTAAGAGGTTTGAGCAATAGTATAAAGACAACTTCAGATTACTAACACCGATGATGAAAAAAAGGTAAATGTTTTGCGGTCCATAAGTGTACTGCTGAGATATAGTAATAGATAGCAAATAGAGCTTAATTACTGCTCAGGCAATCACAAATTTGAATAAAAAAATTTTAGAATCCAAACAATCCAATAGGGGCATCACTACTTTAGTTATAGAGAGGCGTTGAATGTTATCTGACGCTAGATAGTCTTAGTGATGCAACGTAAACGCAGATCACTCTGCCTAGATTTGCTTATTGCTGAAATGTCCATTGATTAGTTTTTACAGTCGGGTGACAATCTTTTTATTTTAGCAATTAATTACGCCCAGTGTCGATGTCCAGTGTCATCACTTAGTAACAAGTTGTTACTGCAGCTGAGTAGCTTCTGTTGTGTTCTGTATGAAGATGACAATGCCTGTGGGCATAGAGAATTTAGATAAATAACAGGTGTTGCTTGGTCGTTCGTAAAAGATGTGCATACTTACATGGCATACACATGTATATGAGAATTCATTACACATAGCAATCTTTTGAGTTAACGATAATAAGTTAATTTGTAAAACCTGTTATAATCTTATGTTGTGTAATATGGAAGAAACTTTGTTATTTTTGTTGTTTGTTTTAACTATTATCATTATCTGATTGATATTTTTAAGCAATACATGAGCTTCTTGCTTTTGTCATTATGTGCACCTGTTATCGTACCGAGAATTTTAGGGAAAAAAGACTCATAATGGTATCATGATTAACAAATAGTTTATAAGGCAACGATATTTTGACATTTTAGTAAATGAATACATTATCGTCGAGCACCTACATCGAATTGCTTGCGCTACAGCAATTTGTACATAAAGCTTTGTCATGCACAAAAGATTTTTTTTTCTGCGTTACAAATCGTAAAGGGAATCAGAGCCCCTATCAGACTTAAGTTCAGTATATTCAAATATTATCATTACTAAATGATTAATGAATAGTCACGCCCGGAGAACATTTTTGCATAGTAAAACGGTATTCAATGTATTAGTAAGAACAAATTTTTCCCTATGCCGCTTTTTACCATAATGTCGTAATTCTAGGTTATTCAATTATTTCAGGTATATCTGTAATGAAAGTTAGGAAGCTGGACCTTTTCATAATGTATTTTTAGTACCTGTGTCCTGTTTCACACCGTATAAAGTATCTCTGTTGCCTTTTATCGTGTTTAAATATTCTCTTGTTTTTTTTTTTTGGCTACTTATGTTAAACAGCCCATCCCATTATATTTTTGCTCGGCATTTCTGCCACCGTTATAGACACACGGACATGTCTGTATATATTAAAATTCTCGGTCCAAAGATCCAAATCGATCACTTAAAGGACCTAAATTGGGCCGATTTTTTGTGGATTCCTAAAATGCCTGGGAAATTCTACACCAAAACGAAGCTGATTGGCTGAATACTTTCTGTCGTTAAGCGACAAAGCTTGCTTTCCTCTACGAAGCGTAGTGTTAATTTAGTTGGTCTGCAGATTGTAATACAGACTATTATTATTAGGTTACAGCTGTAGAAAAGATAACATAGGTGATAGCTGATTGCTAGCACATGTTTCTGGTCCATTATAGACAAGCACATTATGTAAAAGTAAAAAGTATTATAAAATTAATTAGCTTTTTGTTTTTACACAAATAAAATGTGCTCGATATCAAACGAGGCACGGAGCGAAAACCGCTTCAGTATCTATGTGTATCGATTGTTGAAGTGTTAACAGTTTTTAAGCCGAAATTGAAGCAAATATTTTTTATATTTTAAAATAGTATTACTAAGTTAAATACGCACCATATTAACCGATGATTTAACCGTTACTTTTTTTAGTAACTTCATAATTTCGTTTCTAAAAAACCTTGCAATGTTTGAGCGAAGAATTGTAACAAATGATTTTTGTATCCTTCCATTGAAACTAAATTAAGAGATTTCTGAAGAGACAGAAAAAAGGTTATAGTTGTATGATTCAAGATTGCTTTGATGCGTATAGCATCCAAATATCGAGCCTTTTTTTTTATTTTACTAACTTTTTAAAATGGTTTAATATTGTTAGACCGTGGATGCTTGATTCCTTGGTCATGCCGTGGCTACTCCCGTGTTGATCCTTCCGCAATAATTTCATTAATTTTTTTTCGTAAGTAGGCGACTACTAGGATGAATCTCTTTTAAATCTAAATTTCCAGAAAAAAAATGACAAATCAGTTTTAGGCTGCTTCTTTCATGAATATATTTTATGGGCAAATTTTTTATGGGCCTGCCTAAAATTGTGCCTTTATCGTGATAAAGTTGTAAAATATACTGAATTTTTGCAGAAATTTCACTTATCTTCAAAACGTCTAGTTTGTGTGAATAAGGGCATTCTAACAGTGTAAGCACATCTACTGCTGTTAAATGGCACCGACCCATATTACCTGAAATATGGCTTGCAGCCATTTAGATAAAAAAACGGTTAATACTTTTTCGATAACTGGACATGTATATGTACACCTTATCTATTCGTGTTGCCTTTCCTTGGTTATCCTACTATTTAATTTACTGTAGTGTTGGCGATCCGAAGTGAGCTGACGTGACAACACTATATCCGCCGCTACAAAGATATGTATCTTTAGATAGCTCCTTTGGGTAGCAGCTGTTCATGTCTAAAAAACCGTACGACAAGCCCTGCGAACGTTTGCCCACAGTCCTCTTTCTTAATCGCGCCGCTTCGTTTAGTGCTAGTTAGCTCTTCTAGAAAATACGCGAAAACGACGTAAGCGGTAGAGAAAGAAGACATAAAACTTCGCTGATATTAGTTAATTTATTAGCCACGGAATCGCTGTGATGTGCTGGAGATTCTCTTGCTGCCTATCGCAGCATTTTATCTATACTACTTGATGTGGACATATTGGGTGGATCCAGAGGGAGGATGATCTCGGCGTTGAGACACGCTGTAGCTAATAACGATGACACTCACAAATCAATTATGAATCAACAATGAAGAAGCGGGAACATTATCAGATGAAGCTGAAGGGCGTCTGCTAATAGCTGACAAATATGCAGTTACATTGGGGTTATCTGATTTTAGCCGCAACTGTAAATATAATAACTTGGCGCAATTATAACACTACTCGAACCGACGAAGTGCAAACTCGGTGGATTGCGCTTGGTCGTTTTTCGTTACGAGTTCGAGTTAGTTACTTTATGAGTTGGATTTAACCAAGCAGTGATTATAAGGAAATGTTGCCAGGCTAATTTGCATTCACTTATTTCAGTCGAAGGACGACCCTGTATTAGAACGACACTGTTATACCTATATACAACTGTGGTTTAACCTGTGATCTTTTTGATCGCGACAAATATCTACAACGATGGTGGCGTTGTGAATCCTCGAACAAGGTACCTTGATTAGATCAAAGAGTACTTCGAATTGGAAAACGTATTTTCCACACAGAATTTCTGCTTTTTACAACTTCTATCACACGCTGACCAAATGTTTTATTTGTTGAATAGTATTTTTTTTAGAAACTTTAATGGAACGTATAGATATATTTAAGTGTTTTCACGGTGAAGCTTGTTCTGTCGTGTCTACCTCTAGTGTCCTTTACTTCGATCGAACAATCAGTTCAAAAAAATCTTAAAATTGAGTGGATACATGACACTTTAAACTTGGGCTCTCACTCGACTCTTAGCTTTCAGTGAATCTCAGCCTGTAGCTCTGCGCAGTTCTGCCAGGTCATAATCTGTCGTAAATACTACCTGCTTACCTCCAACTAACAGGGTCTTTTTAGACATACCAGCTGTTAGGTCTACATGGCCCGTGTCAGTTGGTTGAATCTAATATATAAAGATAGATCCAATGATAACACATGATTAGATTCAATGACAGATTTGTCCAATATACGATTATCAAGTCTAATTAAATGTGTGCGTATAGGTCCTGATGTCGTCCTATGTAAAAGCCGATTTTAGTGATTGGGTACCAAGCGATCATATGTAGAATAGATTAAGAGCGTTTAATAAGATGAGGTGGGTCATGGGCAGAAAGCCGTTGTTTTTAGATATAGTTGTACCATAGAAGCGCGAAATGGCGGTGTCGGCTTAAACGTTTGCATTATGTTCTGAGCTAATTTGAGCGCGTCCTACTCGCTTTTGAAAGAAGCGTTTGTCGCAGTTGAAGTTTTCGTAAATGGTGCACGCATTTTAGAGTTGCAACAATATCCTTTTTTACGATGCAACAGTTTATGACAACAATGCTCGAGATCCATGAACGACTGTTATTCGCTAACTTCCAGATGTACCTCCTCATAAGATTCTATCATCCAACTATTTTGTGGATATTGTGGCTTATACGGTAAAAAAAAGTAGTGCAATTGCTACGGATATAACTCGATGTTTCGAACTCGCAGCAGCAGCGCTACCTTTTATAAAAGGAATAGGTAGCCGTTTGATTTTTTCCAACGAGCCATCGCTTGTGGCTGACCTTTTCAATCTGACGTTGAAATGATAAATTCGCTCCGTCTGTTTTTGCTTGAACTGTTGTGTTTCTGGTGTCCAAGCGAATTTTCAGCCCATCAAAAGCAATCAACAGTTGTCGTCGCGTATTGATTCATGTTGCTGGTTCACAAGCGACAAAAGCCTGTCAGTGGTATTACCGTTGCCAGCACTACTGGCCTCATTTGGAACAGAAGGGTTTACCAATGCAGCTTGATGCTACATATCTCCGGCTTCTTTGAATCTTTATGCCGTTCGTAAAGGTCAATATACTGCTTTACATAATACTTTGCGTCACTGGAACAATAGGCAGAAGGCCCCGTCTACCGAAATTTGAATATGTTGCGGGTCATGATGAAAAATGCTGCAACAAGCCGAAAAATCTCGACACAATCTATTTGTTGAAATGTTTGCCTCGGCCCTTGTATAACATACGGATTTGACAATCTAGCGCAATCTGGTATTAGTACGTAGATAGCAATCGGCGTCTTTTTTGGGCATTCGACAGACGTAGATTGTAGAGAATTCCTGCACAGATATAACATCAGTGAATAAGTTTATGATTTCTAGAAAGTGGTCAATTGCCAAAAAATAGTTACCATTCGGACAAACTAACCGAGTGATAGTCCATAATAGCATGCACGGTCAAGCTTCAATATGATACCTACGAAGTACTCGTTACTATCAATATTCTCAGATTGATTTTCACCTCTTAGGTATAGAAACAATAGCGTTCTAGTGGCTTCAAACTTGAACACATAAAACTTAACCTACATCCGACTAATAGCGAGCTCATTATATGCGTGTAATTCTATTACAAGAAACCAGCACATCACCTCCTCACGTAGGCATCTCTATCTGTCACAGCGTCGGTATGATTTTTTTCTAATTATACTTGCATGTGTACATAAGGCTATCATACAAATTTCTTTCACATATTGCTTTGACACTATACTAGCTGAGTATTTCCAATACGTGTCGTATGGTTTTAGTCCAAAGGCGGCTTTGAGTGCGGTAAAGAAAAAGCTAGCATCGAAAAATCCAAACGTCACTTTGCTGGCTCTCCATTGCCTGGAATCAATGGTGAAAAACTGTGGCCATCCTATCCATAAGGAAGTGGCTACGCAAGCGTTCATGGATGATCTAAAGGAGATTTGTAAAGCTACCCCGTCGGGACCTGTCAGGGACAAGGTGCTTGAACTAATACAGACGTGGGCACACGCCTTCCGTAAGGAGCCAGCGTACAGGTGAGAAATGTTCTTCGCTGAATCGGATTCCCATCAACTCTGAAACAACGATCGTATTCGACGTTTCATTGTATTAGTGTATCAACAACAATAACAGTTAGATGTGTTTGTTAATGAAGTAAATTGTTAGCATAGTGTGCTATAATACAGTTATGCAACGAGATGAAGCTTAGGTGCTAAGCCCTGGATTAGTGATACATTTCAATCGTAAAAAAAAAATGTAACGTGTTTCCGAATTAAAAACATGCGAACTTTTTAGGCATTCGTAAACTTGTTGTTAAGTTACACTTCAAGCCGATACACACCACACACACTGTACACACATCTACATACTGCTTTTTAGTATATATATATACACGTATACGTCTTGACTGAACGCTAAAACAGTCAGCATCGTATAAAAATGCACGTAGAACTACTTGACTCCTGTAGACAACGTCAAAGTAGTTTTGAGCGCGTTAAAGCCATAAGCGGGTAGAAATCTAGCAATTTGAAGAACGAAAGTCTGGTGGCTGGCCGAAGGCGTTTTGGTGAGCTACCTAAGCCTAACACAGCTGCGCTGTTTGTGCATTTGAATATGCGATTCAATACTATCTTCTCTTTAGCCTCCTCTTGAGAGTAGCCTCTTTTCGAATTTTCTCTTATCCTTTTAACGTTACGAGAACTCACATTACGTATCTTGAAGGATGTCTCAAAAAAGTTCGGCTTTCCTATTCGTTTTGGTTCCTAAATGATGTCTTAGAACGGATATCTCAAAGTTTGTTCTCCAATGACACTATAAATGAGTTAGCCAAGGAGAGTTACTTGCCTAAGTCGATGAAGCACTTTGTTGGCTCGCGCAGAGTTACCTGGTAGTGCATCTGCTCACAGTGGATATATTTAATAACACTACTTATTAGTTTGAGTTAATTTATAAGAGCACAACGCATTCCGTTGGATTCTGGGCAGTTTCGTCCAATTCTCAGCCCAGTCTTTGGCCTTATCGCTACGAGGGATGATATTATCCGTTAAAACATGTTGCTCTTCATGCAATTACACATTGTTTTAGTATGCATTATATATTCATTGTGTCATACAATACGATTGGCCGAGAAGTATTTTATTTCTTACTCCCATCGAGTTTACACAATTACCGTTTGTATATTTCTCCGTCTCACCCTAATTTCCTCAATTGTTTATCCTAGCTTCGCCACTCTATTCAAATTAATGTTCATAGCACATAAAATCCCAATGCTGTATTTTTATCAAAGAAAAGTTGTCAAAGACAAGACCAATCAGATCGACGTGTACACGACAATCCGTCATTTCTTCAATAGAGCTTCTCTCCGACAGCTCGTTGAGAATTGCGCTGGGACAGAAGCCGCTTGAGGTTTGGAAGCGATACGACCTCGACATATTTCGTTAGTTTGACATTACTCCGGTCACCCATGGGCGATGTTCCTCTTCTGTGTCTTCAGCGCCAGCAAACCGCTAGCAAGACGCATTTTCGTTTTTTGCAAGTAGTGTTATTATTTTTAATTTGAACAGAGACGAGTCAGCTGATATGTATGCATGCTATACGATTGCAATAGAAAAGAGATAAATACGCGGACCGAAGCGGGCTGAGATATTTGTAGCATTTAGCGAACGGATAAAAAACCCGTCGATTCTGTATTGAAGAAGGGGGACCTCCTGTGCTCACATCGGTAATGGCATTTTGGGAATGGGAAAGCAGATGTACTAGTAAGTTACTGGAGAAGTTTTTCTCGTTAGCTGTCCATAACAGCGATACCAATTAAGAGAAGCTGCTTTGCTTCTCGTGACGACGGGAGTATACCTAGGAGGAAGGTGCGGAAAACGTCAGTTTAGAGGAAAATACAAGAAAATGGTGTAGGCTCACCATAGATTGAATGATATGGTGTAGTGATTCGCACCAAGCCGAAAACGCCTCAACTTTGACGCCGTCTAATTCGAATCAGGCTGACAGATGACGACTAATTAGAGCTGTACTTAGACATACGTATATAAGGACAAATACATACACACATATATGCATATACCCAAGGGCCATACGCTCAGACAGGTAATATAAAGACATATATACGCAAATGCACAGGTACACGCTCTATGTCATTCATGCCGAAAGGATTCCGTGAGGTCCGTATTACGGCTTTGTGGGGTTGTCAGAACCATAACTGCCAACGCTGTCTTCTAGCTTCTCTACCTACATACAAGTGTAACGCTGATTTCGTCTACTAATGTTCCTTCCATTAACTCTCAATTCATAGTATCTTTTGTCGAATGTAGCAATGAATAATGACGGCAAGCATAGGAATCATCGATCTGGCAAATTTAAAAAAAATTCAAATAAAAACCAAACCGTTGACTCGAGCGTGACACAAGCTACTTTCGCTGCTGCTGACGATTTCCTGCAATGAAACGATCGAACTTTGTTGGTTGTAATGGATTATGGTCAGCGACAAGGTAACGACAGATACGCGCCCGCTGCTGGCACACAAACGCAGCTGAATCAGAAACAGAAGGAGAAAGGTAATGATAAATCAATACGGGCATGCGTAAGGTGTGCTGTTTCTTGATTGATACCGATTGCAGCCATGCTGGGCCTTTCCTCCTCCTCGAAGGATAACCGGATTTGTTACGGGTCTTTGGACTTTCCCGTTGATCGTCGTCATTTTTTCTCGAGTTCAGCGAATTTTCGCCCATGCCTGGTAGCAAAGCTTCTGGCTTAGCACAGCCAGCCACTGTCGCTGCTACCATTGGGTAATAGCGTTCTATGAGTTGCTGTGTTATTATTATTAGATAAAGGACGTCCATGTTGGGAAGGTCCTTGTTGCGACATAGCACTACTCGCGACATTTCTGTACGGCGCCCTCGTTTGGCCACGCTGCTGGAACAGCCGTTTAGACGTTTCGTACAGTGTAGAAATTGTTCAGTGAAACGTCAGATCGCAACGAGCGTTGGTGCCGACAAGACGCTTCGGAGTAATTGTTTTCGTAGTTGATGCCTCGAGCGCCCTGAACACTAACGATTCGCGGATACAAAAAGAAAACAAAACAGCAATCGATAAACAACAGCGCTAAAGTAAAAAAAAAAAAGAAAACAAAAAAAAAGTGCAGTACACGTAGGTGATTACGATGGCGCTATCACTTTGTATGGCCATGCCATTCACCGTTGCCCCGTTGTCTGATCCGTATTTCAGAGCTGTGCAGGACACGATGACAATTATGCGAGCGGCTGAAGGTGTAAAGTTTCCGCAGCTTAAGGAGAGCGATGCGATGTTCTCAGCGCAGGTTCCTCCAGAATGGGAAGATGCTAACTGCTGTCACCTTTGTAGGGCGCAATTTTCAACGTTCAATCGCAAGGTAGGTTGCTCTTCGCTGGATGAAGAGCGAAGTACTGCATAGTTTATAGGTGAAGTTGCCTCGTTCTTGAGCGGGTTCATATGCATAGTGTTCCAAGAGAGTCATGTTCTACAGAAGTATCGTTGATGGCGCATGTAGTTGAAGACCGATTTTTTTCTTTATATACGCGACGTGAACTGCTTGTTTTCTCTCTATAGAAACTAATTAGCTTGAAACTAGTATTGTTTGCTACTGATACTCAACGCGAGGCCAGATTTTGGCGACTTTCAGGTAAGGTTCAAAAGGTAAGCAAAGTAGGGCAAGCACATCGAAAAACTGCATGGCTTCTATGGCATATGCGTCTATTCGTATAAACATTTACGCCTACCGCCTTTCACTTAACTTCATCTGGATAGCCTGAATATATTATCAGGATCGCGTCTACTGTAGTTTCTTATCCATATCCGGCGGGAGAACCTCGTACGAATGTCCGCATGCATCTACATTGAGTTTGTTATGCAGAGTATTGAGTCTTAAGAACTAGTTGTTAATAAATAACGTACACTATCGATGTTCTTCATCGATTACTTATACCATTACAGTTCACTATTAATGCATAATAACTGATTACAAGATTACATCTGTTTGTATCTTGTTACTACGGTTATCGATTAAATTTTAGCACCACTGCCGTAAATGCGGGCAGGTGTTCTGCGGCAAATGCTCCAGTCAAACCGCGGCTCTACCAAAGTTAGGCATCGAGAAGAAGGTTCGTGTATGTGACACCTGTTTCCTCGAGGTCTGCCAGGACGAACGAAGCGTCCATTTGAGCTCCGTTTTACGAGGCCCTATGAGTACTATGCAGGGTCCAACGGTTCGAAGTCCAACGAGGGCTTCAGGTCAAGGAGCTGCGACTACCGTTGAGCAACAGACTGTCGCTGCCAAAGAATCCAAACTCAAAGAAGCGCAACTTCGCGAGGAGGAAGAACTACAGTTGGCCTTAGCGCTAAGCCGGAGCGAGGCCGAGTACCACAATCAAAGGGGAACCACTCGCCCAACCACTGTTCAGGATGACACTAATAGCAGAACAGTCGACGATCGGAAGGAGAGCGAAACCCCGACCGCGGGCCACTGGGCAAACAACCACAACAACAGTACCAGCAGCACTTACCCGACAGGTCGGTGCTATGGCCACAGCGGATACAATCGATTATAGGACGCGTAGCAAAACCGTAGTGATATAATGATTGCTAGGAGAGAGCTGTATGTTTTTGTTTAATACGTACGTTAATAGATAAGGGTAATAATAGTGATTATGTGTGTGCCTGGAAAAAGCTCTTGTTAAATGATGATATTATTTATTTCTTTTATTTGTGATAAGACCCGCTTGTAATGTCTATGCAATTTTTTTCGAGCTCGTTTTAGGGAAAAGCGAAAAATGAGATGGCAATGCAAATGAAAATGTGTTACATCGTATTTCGGAACCAGCAATAGTCACAAAAAGCAAATGACTTCTGTGGCGGGCAGATATAGCGTAAGCGAAATGTAGGTAAAGTACAGAGAAAAAATGCTACCGTGCCAAAAAGAGGTATCGAAAATCTGGCCTTATACCAATTGTATATGTCTTAGTCGTCCAAATTTTAGCTATCTCTCCTAAAGCAATCCCCGCCGTTGTTCGAAGTGCGCATGCCACCGTTGATTTTGGTTATCAGGCCCAATTATAGTCATAGAACTAAGCTCTGCCGTGGTTATTATTAAATGTCGTTATCGTCTACAAACATTTTCGCTTCAACCGTTTACTGATTGTGGGGAAAATAAGCTTCAGGGGTTTAGACCAGATGGATACGGAAGTTGAAGCGAATCCAGCATCAAGTTTTCCTCCAGAGTGGGCGATACAAGTGATTATGTGTGAAAGACGAACTCTCCCCGAGCTCAGGCCGATTTTGTCGGACAGCATCGGGTAGTCGTCCTGGGAATACTCCTAACTACTTGAGAAAGAGGAGGAATGCAAGGCTGACCGTTGAGCTGTACTTTGCGACTCGCCTCGGTCTGGGCTCGCTTTTTGTATGTATGAGATGCTTGATTCTTCCGCAAACAACCTGAGAGTGATTGAGGATAGTTTTCCAGCGAGAATACCTTCTCGTTTTCGTCCTTATTACAAATACTCCAGAGGATGAATTAGTTTCAGAACTTCCTCGTTCAACCGTGAAATGATGAGTGCCTTTTGTTGTGTACTCGCTATCAGCTTGGCCTAGCCCCACAGACCTTCTATTGTATAAACGCGACTTGTGAGTGTTGAAATCGTATGTTTGACTTAATGTACTATTTCACTCATCTTCCTTCGGGGGATATTGTTCCCTATTGTAAGGGTTTTCGATTCTTCATTTCTGTTTTTTCTTCAAATAAAAGAAAAACGAAACATAACCGAAGGTTTTTGGTGTGTACTTTTGAATTTTTTTTTTCAAATATGAAGTCCACTTTTAAATGCGATAATAGCAAGTGCAGTCTGCGAGCAGCAGCCAGGCAAAAAGGTGCGCTACCACGAACGTGGTTATTATTTCTTTGAACCGTCATGTAGTGATTTTCGTCCCGTACACGCATAAAGAAAAGAACTTTTGTTGAAAGTAGATGCCATGCGATAGTAAGCGACGGGAAAGAAACAAGCTTTATGCAAAAAAAAACTTGAAAGGGAAGAGTATGAAAGGAAGCATAGTGAAGTCTAGATAAACCGACGTCTTTGCCCAATAAAGCGCAACGCTATATGGTTCCCTAGAATGATTCTATATATACAAAATATGTCAAAGATGTGATTTTTATCACGGTACCTGCTTTTAGGCGTAACTGAGATGTCACACTGGTCTATAGAAGAAAGAGACACGTTAATTGCAACAGAGAAATGTGTTGATTTTTCTAAATGCATAGGAGGCTTAACTATTGTCGAGCGGATTTCAGCTTCGAGCCAACAGTAGGAGGTAGAAAAAACAACCTTTATCATGTTGGCCTTTGACTTAACTATCCCGTCTGTCTAAAACGAAGCGGTACATTGGTTTGGCGGCCCACAATGGCTTTTGCTGGTAAGCTTGAAGGTAACGAAAATAAAGTGTGAATCAAATATTCGGGAATGCGTGACGTTCCATTCGTAGTACCATCCCAGGCTTTTCGAGGGTACTTTTTTTTTTGTTAAAATACCGCTAGCATTAGCCAAGAAATTAGAAATTCTGTAAAGGGAATAGCGTTTCTTGAACAAGACCGGCAAAAAAATTATATTTTGCTTATCGAAAATAGAACAGAAATCAAGCAATATTTATGTGCGACACCATATATATATGACCGTATAGGTCAGGTTAACTAGCATTGCGATCATAATGCGATGTTGTTATTACCTCACCTCAGCGTTCTTCTTATTCAGCGGATTCAATTTAGCTCGAATTGAGGGTTCCGTCACAAGTTATATTGGGATTGTCGAAAAGGCACGGATCATTTCAAAACCAAAACTCAAGCGAATAATATTACTAAACTATATGTCCTTTTGATTTATGACATTGTGTAGTTTTTCTCGTGGTATCATCACCGTACAACTTCTGTGTTTTCCGAGCGAAAAGTAGCGACAAGCAACTCTTGCATTCTGCCATTGAAACTAAATTAACAACTAAATAGACGATAGCCTGATATGGCCTAGATTCTTACCGAGTAACAAAAGATTCATGGGGTTTGGTTTGTCATTGTGGAAAGCGACGTCTGTCCTATTTACAAGGTTCACTTGATTTGTTTCAATGGCTCGTTGTTTGTTGACACTAAAAACCCAAATAATCATTTCGCCTAACTGCAGACACTCACAATTTCACCTTCTTTGGCCTCAGTTTAGGATTTGCTGCAAACTATGGACAACTTCATTGTTTTATTACTTGTAATTAACCGCTTGCGACTTCACTGCGTTTCCGTAATGTTTTTCAGGTGGAAATACGACATATTTTTTTTGCGTCACTTCGTGTAATGTCATGTCGTCTTTATCATATCGATTTTATCTATAGATTATATAGTTAAATAACAACTTAAGTCTAACAGTGGATACCTGGTCCCTAGGGGATGCCGCGAATACTCACGGGTTAGTCTTGCAGTCGGTTTGTGAGCTCTTTTCGTAACTGGTTGATCGAGTAGGAGTAGGCTCTTTCACATGGAAATTTTTACAACAAAAGCGCACCAAAATGCATCTTCCTTATAAATCGTCACATAGTTTTTCATGGAACTGGACAGCATTTTGGGCGGCATGTAATAAGCCTGTAGATGTCCTTAAGTCCATAATGTAAGCACATCTATACCTGTTAAAGCTTAGCTTTTAAATGACACCAACGCCGACTTATGTCACCCCATTTAGTTGGAAAAATGGTCAATACTTCTTCGACGACCCGATATCCGACCGTGATAGCGCAGTGAGGACGTAGTGGGATAGCTTCAAATGTGAACGTTCGCACACTTTCCTTCGTGAAAGAGCCGTCTGAAGCAGTGTTCAATGACTTAAAAACATACACATAGTTACACGTATAACGTAAAAAAATAGGAATTTATCTTATTTTGTGCTTTTTGCCTCTATTGTCGAATAGAACTAGTGGAAGCCAATGCACCGACACGTAGCGAGTGCGGTTCAACGACAGGATCAACGGAATCCGAGTTAACCCATTATTTCGATCGAAAGTACTGGGATGAGCGAAGCCATCGGCAGGGGGAAAACGATACGCCTAAACACTCGAGTAAACCTCTCGAAGGCGCATTGGTATGTAACTTCCTCAGTATGTTTTTGTTGGCGTATCGCCGTCAGTGTCTATACTATTGCGTACTCTTGTATACCGCAAGCGTATTTTAGGGCTAATTTTACTGCAACAATAACAATTTTTAGCAAATGAATGCTGCAGTAATAACCAGTACGACATATTCTTGTGCGGCATACGTTGGACTTATTTGGATTTTGTTTTGGTGCACCCGCGTGCGGCCAGCCCACACCGACGGTGCAGCTGGTTGGAGCCGATGCCGGAGACAACTTTGAGCAGATGCTTGAGAAGACACTCGACACGTTCGAAGTTAGACTGCGGTCCAACGTCATGCGCGGACGGCCGGTTGCTAATGATTCCTACGTGCAAAGCCTCTTCGTCCAGATCTCGTCCTTACACGCCCGCCTATTGCAGTGCGTGCAAGAAACTGACGACCAGCGCGGTAGGTTATAGTGACCAGAGTCAAACCTGAGAACAGAGTTGATGAAATTGTGAGTTAGTCATTGAGTCACGTGTTTATGAAAAAATCGTCTTTGCTTTCGTGATAGGGCAACGATAACATGTTTGTCTACTGAAGTTAGAAACACGAAGCAGTTTGGTTCGAATCCGGGTTTCGAGTTGGCAGGCAGGGGCCAACCGTCTGAATCACGCCCACCGGCTAAACTGCCGGACGTAGAGCTGAACACACTTAATTCCTGCACATAAACACACAAAAGAAAGAGGGACGGGCATTCCTACTATTGACATTAGAAAAGAAACTAACGCAAGTAAAATACCGATCCACATGCGTATCCCTTCGATATTCCTGGAAAATGCCGCTGTACAAAAAGGCGATACACAATATTTTCACGCTGACCAATTTCCTCGAACACTGTAAATTACGTATTTGCTTAATCACGACGTGGTTTTTGCGTACTGTTGCTGCTCGTTGTATTCATTATAGCTTACTACGAAAGTCTTCAGGATAAACTACAGCAAATTTGGGATGCTCGAGCTGCCCTCGATGCGTTACGAGAAGAGAATCGCGAAGAAGAACGGAAGAGGCAGGAAGAAGCCGAGCGAGCCCGACAAATGCAGATGGCACACAAACTCGAAATTATGCGACAACGGAAACACGTAGGTTTAGAGAATATTACATGGTTTTTACAAACATGTGCTGCTTTGCTAATAGTGTGGGTTAAGCGCTGTACAAGCCCTACAAGAGAAATATGTTCAAAGCTTTCATCAGAATAGTGCTAAGTTTCAAATCTGCGTCTTTGGCTCTCAGCTTCTAATCTCCAATACCATCCTCTGTGATTGATTTTGGCCGATATAGGAGTATCTTCAATATCAACACCAATTAGCGATGTCAAAAATTCAGGAGCAGGAGATGGCTTACCGTGCTGTCGGAGCGCCTCCACCGTCACTTCCCCCCGGTACCATGGCGATTCCACCATCGACAGCACCTGGACAACCACCTGTGTACGCCCCTCAACCGCAATATCCCCCTGGTAGGTTACTACGCATTTAAATAGAACGCTCACGTTTCACAGCCTAAGCTGTTCTCATACATCACTACATCATGCGGCAATATCTTCATCACTTGGCTATTTTAAACCAATCCCGATTTTTTCGTGTCATCTTGCTTGCCAACATTTCACTACTACTTTTGCCCAGAGCGTGAGTCTGCTGTCTGTTTCTTGACTTCAAGTTGACAATAAGATGTATAATATTATGTCAACCTCATCCGTGCTCCTTATAGCCTGCACCAATAATTAACGACATTTACAAGGCAAATACATCGAATAAACGTATAAATGTACAACAGTTGAAAACATGTTGTTTGTCGGTGAGTGTCTTTGTACGTGTTACCTGAGATTTTTTTGCATCTGATGCAGGAATGTTGCCGCCAGGTCAACAACTTCCCGGCCCTTCACAACAGGTGATGCCTCCTCCAGCTCTTCAACAATACGGCTCACAACCTCCTGTGTCACCTCCACACAATGCAGTCCAATCTCGTATGTATTAGCTTGGATTCGCACAAGAGCCAAACATGGGAATATCGGACAGCTGACCGAAAGACCATAATAACCTTATGAGCATTTAAGTAATCAGTACCTGCAATGGTTGTTCTAGTGGTTAGCTATGCTATAATCATGTGATATGTGGCAGTGAAATAAGCTGGTGATAAGTCCATATACGTGTACGGTTTTCACGGAAAATTATATTAATGGACTTCGTTTTATTAAACAGTCGTTGCCTAGGAATCTGACGTCACGTCTTCAATTATATGTATATAGATATATTTTCGCTTCCGCTCTGAATTATTTTGTTCTATTTTATCTATTCAGCTGTTAGCACAGAACCGATCCCGCTACCTGGACCCCACGGTGTCACAGCAGTGACTTCGTTCTACGGTCCAGCGCCTAGCTCTACCGTTCCTCCTGTACCGACGACCGCTGCCCCTGCCCTGGCAGTCGCCGCTGCGACAGGCCAACACCAGACACCAATGCAGACTGTTCAACATCAACAGCCTACTTCAAGTGCGTTAGGTCCCGGCCAGGGACAGCCGGCATTCGAGCCCTATAGCGTCGTGCACACAATATCCCAGCTTCCGGCTCCACCGCAAACGCCTTTGCCTCAGCCGTGCGCACCTCCTCAGACTCCAACTCCGACGCCGATGCAGCAGCAGTTGGCACAGCAACCGCCTCCGATTCAGTCACCTCAGCAGGGCCCACCACAGGAGTTGAATTTGCCTTCGGTGCCAACTCACGAGCCTGGCGGTGATCGACGTCCCGTAAAGCATCATCCGCAACCTGCTGAAGAGCAATTAATTTCCTTCGACTGAGCAGAGGAATGAATTATCGAGGAAAGTGGACTTGGTACCTTGTGGTTCCTTTTGTTGATCGATTGCTTATCAATAAGATCGTTAGTGCGTCTAGTAGCTGCTTAAACACGGCTGCTAATGGTAACAAGCAAGAATAACCATTGAGGGCAATATGTGGTTTAGGGATGTCTGCGGGTAACAAGCCTGCAAATACGATCGAGTTGATACAAGCTGCGCGAAGCCGCCATGGCGGCGTATCGTAGAGGCTCTCTCGCTTGATGACCGGCGGTCCTGTCTGATTAGGAGCATATGTGTGTAATACTTGTCGTATGAATGCTTGGGTAGGAGTTGGTCTCTTGGTCGAACGAATTTGCGGTGTAGGATAGAATAATGATGAGTACACGCAAGCAGAACATATTCACAATAGCCGCGAGTACATTTTTAGATCATCATATTGGGTTGTTACGTTTATGAATTATGCCCATGTAGTATTACCAAAGTATTTAATCGTCCTAATGCTAACAGGAACTACAGGAACGGATTTCGATGCAGACTTTCTTCACAAGCCAATACCTGCTACTGAGGCGCTCCTATTCTGCGCTCAATATAGAACCCTCATCGAAGAAGTTCGGCAAAAACCTAAAAATCCTATTGTCAATGACAACCCGAGCAGAGTCAAACGGCAAAGTAGATAGTGACCCGCCCAGCATGGTGAAGTAAGGAAAAACGCGTCCTGAGAGAATACAATAGGCGCGTTGCTTTTGCTTTTTCAAGTCTTCGGAAGACGGCTTTGAAGCTGTAAAGACCAAGGAGTATTAGGTAGTAATGTGATGACCATTTGAACAGTTTCTGTGTTGGGGCTGACTTCATTCTCCGGTTGCCGAATATGCAGCAGGTATCGAGTTGTGACAAAGATGATATCTGCTTAAAATGGTGGAAATCAGAGCCACCTATTAGGGTAGATTATAAAAAAAAATAGTAAATAAAACTTTCGAAGTAGCAAGAATCAGTAGCCCGCATTGGCAGCCGTTCAATGCAGCACATCCCCGCAATGATCCGCATATAATGTCACTAGCGTTTCGTGTTTGACGACACGAATTTCGTTAAGTCTTGCCGGTTTTCACTTTTAGACTTCCTCTCTGTTTGTCTCTTTTTATCTAGCTAATCAGGACGTTTATATTGATTCTATCAATGATTACCGTTGTTGAGTTGCGCAGCTTTGAGTTATTGTTACCTAACCAAGGGGGAGATAGAATCCGGGATGACATGTTTTAGTATCTGTCTGAAACGGAAGCAATGTAGTGGTTACATGTATGATGTCGTACAGTGTCGTAGAGACAGTCCGCCAGGCGACCTTTTGTGGCCGCGTAATCACCTACAAACGGTCACATGACAAAGGCCGAACAAACGATCGACACAAAGCCGCGGCACGATGGCAGGCCGTCGATCAGCGTGCAGTGATAACATTTTTCGCGACCTAGACAGCCCAACAAAGGACACCAACAATGCCGGCGACAAGCTAAGTTTACGAATGGCTAATTATCCGAAGTTATTGCAGTGGTAGTGTCCAATAAAGTAAGAACAGTATGTGCAACTAAAAAGGTGTAAGTAGCGTAATATTTCGGTAAATGGATTATGATCAAAGACAACGGCAAAAAGAACCCACCTGCTAAAGACACATATATACATACTTGTGAAAAGATTTCATAGGCGGCTGGCAGACAACTAGTCTAGAGGGATATGTTAAGAAATTATAGCAAAGGACCCAACTATAGGAAACAGGTGAACGCAATGAATACTATATACATACTATGGTGATCGATGATGGCCTTGCGATGTTGAAGAGCAGCATGCTGACTGCCGTAATGCTGTCCATTAATACATAGAATCATGATGTTATCTTAAAGGCGGACCTCGGCGTAACAGAAAAATTATGCATCACTAAAAACTAAATAAATATTTACTTGCTTTCCATAGATGATTGCTGGTAATTATCTAATTACTAACTACAAGTATAATAACAATGATAGGCGTTTAGTCCCTATAAGATGTAGTTCAATCTACAATGTGTTTATCACCTTTGACCCCGTATCGACGACATAAATCGGGTGTTATCATACGAACATATATGGAAAAAAAAACAATATAATAGGCTTGTAGCTTTATATATAATAATAATATAATAGGTTTATAATAGGTTAACGGTCTTGTTGTAGCGACTAACCTAGCTTATTTAGAATCTCACCTAGTTTTTACATTACGGAATGTTAGCGCTTTTTCAACCAATATTCTAATAGTATTTTGCTTCAGCTCAGCTTGCTGCGTGTGAGCAGATACATAATTTGTTCAACAGTTCTACAAATGGGTCTTTAAGGACGTGAAACGTATTAGGTTTTACGCGATTCCAAGATGCTTTTCTGAGTCTGTCCGATTTCGCATAGTAGATCATCAATACGCAGAGGTTTATTTACCGGGACGACAGATTCATATCGTAGACAGTTTGGTGACTTGTCTGCTTGCTCCGAAGTTCTCCGAAGCTATACCGGTAAACAGTAAATTTGTTTCCCTTGCTGTGCTAAAAAATCCAAACCCTAACAACATCTACACACTTTTTTTAAGGCATGGAAATCTAAGGCGTAGCTAGAAGAACTATTTCAACAATCTTATGGGATTTCAATGATACTTTCGTTCAACTTACCTCTTGGTAATATGGCCCGGTATTGAGAATCTACATAACTTGAAAGAACATTGCGCAATACCAAAATAATACGTATTATACAATACGTAAGTCCATGAAATCAAGGGATGAATCGTAAATGAAGCCAAGGAATAAACGCTCCCGAAAAATCAACATGCAATACACAGATGATTGTTAAATTAGTAGATTTATAAATTAGTAGACTTCATCTTTCAATCAATGGTTTTCATCTCTTCTCGATTGGAATTTGATAACGGTTTTCATTTAACGGTATTGCGGAATGCTTGCAAAGGTGATGTTTCTAGGCCAACAGGTCGATGGCATTTTCTGCTGAGCTGTCTCTATATCTGCTTATTATCTTACCCCCCCCCCCATTTGAAGTAGCTTTTTTTTATTAGCCTTAAACATGCCCAACCCAATCAACGGCGATCCTAATTATAGGAAAAGCAGAAAATGAAGATGGTCAGCTCGCGGAATAGCTTTGAACAGCGGTCATTTCGGTAGAAAATAGACGCACGGTTTTTTTCTTCTAACATTTAAAGACCTCAACAGCGCTTGGAAACGCAATTCGAAAGATTTTTACCAACGCCTTTGTCTGTACACCTAAAAAACAGCACGACTAAGCCTTCTTGAAAAACACTAGCTTTACGTAATCTATCCATTTGAAGTGTGTGGCCTACTGGAATGTGCTCCACGTGTTTGCTTTAGAAAAATAACATTGTGCTTGTATTCTATGGAGGTGTTTTATGAATAAGTTCATCGCAGGTTTCGTTCATGGTTTACAGAAGTCTTCTGTTATAACTGTATTATTCGACTAGTCGCGGCTCGTGTCGTTCGCCCGGCGATATCCATCGGACCGCCAAACAGACCCCGTATTGCGCACAAACGGTTGGGTCTATTCAAACACAGGCGGATATTCATGTTTAAATCAACATGAGTAGGAAAAATAGCACCTTGTTGACTTACTCTATTGCACTAGTACATTCTATCCCATGGAAAGGAGATTCCCGCATTGGCTCATCGTTCTGTTGACAACAGATACGACCAGATCCAAAATGCTCACTTGTTTTTTACTCTATCGATGGTGCTGCTCGATCTATAGTAGAAGAAGTAACCTCCTTTATTTACCTTTCGAGAAACTGAAAGGTGATACACTAACGCTCCCTTGTTGTAGCAGGCGAAGGCCCAGGACAGCGAATGGTTTCCAGTTTCGACCTTTTTCTGCATGGCGCTTTTTAACACTGCTCCGTGGACTAACCAGGGGATAGGACTCGATACCATTAACCTGCAGGTATCAAGCCGCAAAAAATAGAGTAGAAGAGGAGTTAGGGAGAGCAGCTTTCGGCTAGGATAGCGTTCGATTGTTGGCACTCGAAAGGACACTGTTTATTCGTGATGCAATAAGCAGGGTAAGCTAGCTATGAGATATCAAAGATGCAGTTGGCACATTGCGCTTTTTCGAGCGGCAATGAGCTGATCTAGTTACTTCGTTACCGTTAGAAACTTTTCCTAGTTGAGAATTTTCGCGAATATGGATTGAGGTGCTCCCCGTCAAAAGCAGGAAAAAAGACCGCCCACTTTGTGACGCTATATAGGTACGAAAACTAAGAGTGACCCTACAAATATTCCCAGGCGCGCTCGCATTTGAAGACGAGGTACCATTCGTTCTTGTTTGTGTTTCATGTGGAGTTATAGCAGCGGCCATAACAAGAAAAATACTAAGCGCGGCTGTGACAGCAGTTGCTGCGAACCTTCTCTATTATTTGAGTTATTTAACTAGGAACTGAATTTTTACAGAACAGTCTTCAACGCATCTTTCCTATTCCTATATATAAACGCGATGAGATTGTACGGAGCTAAGTAGCTTTGAAAAAGTCGCATAACATTGTCTAAGGTAGAATAGCGATAGCTTTACTGTTTACACATTGAAGGAAACGCTTTGAAGGCTTGTCAACAGTCGTACACTTACCATTTACGTGACCTTATTTCGTGTCGCTACGGCCATTTTTGTTTAAAAGAAACTACAAACAAATGAGGCTCTGCTTAGAAGAAAACAGCCGTCTGAAGCAATGATTAATTACTGTAGTAGCATCGGGCGTAAAATTAGAAGAACATTTTGATTATATTGGCTGATATTTTTTTTTTCAGTCATCGTATTAGATCAACCGTTGCCGAGCGACAGCGGACGAAGTCATGCAAACAGTTTGTTAAATCTCGAAGTTAATCAAAGACTTTGTTAATTGTGTTATTAAGTTAAGATATTATTATTAAGTTATTGACTAGACACGTGGTACCTGTTGAATTAATTTCAGCTAGCGGGTTGAAAGGGTAATGTCATTTTTTCCTTGCAGTAGTAATAAATGGGGTACGTGTTACCTTCATAATCAGTTGGTTTCATAAAAGCCCCCTAGCTGTTTCTCATATAGTGGGAAGATTTTCATTTCACCAACATTTCGGGTAGCGCTGTTTTGATAGTTAGAGCCGATGCTATAAGAAGCTAAGGATAAGATACTGATGTAAGTTTCACTTACCCTATAATAAAGTACATAGTAAAAACACAGAATTTACGAAATAGCAACCTTTTTGGATTTCTGCGGCCCGTCACAGTGAGTTTGGCATCTTGGTGTCGAATGGCGGACACAGCCCAATCGCTGGGGTGATAAAGACGAAAACTTTGTTCTCATATAGTGATTTTCAGCATTGAATTTTCGCGGCTTATATTGCTCATAAGCTTCCTATCACACGTTAGCCAATTGTTTATCATTACTACTCAACCATTAATTAAGCGTATGTCAAGAAATATGAAAATATATGGTAATATTTATATGTTTCAGATGTGTGTTTTCAGACAGAGTAAATGTCAAATCATTTGTACGATTGTTAAAATCCATCACTTTCTTGATCACTATACCTAACTTAATTACACTTTATTACAGTGTCCACTTATTTGGAAATCGCACAAACATGAAAAAACAGCATCACTCATTAGATAGCTATACTAGAGTTCGTTATGTTTTAGATCGGATCTGTCATGACGATGGGCGTTTTCCACCCAGAACTCGTTCGGCAACAGGCCAAGGAAGTGGTCGGAGTTCTGCACGATGTCTGTCCGCGTAAGTTTTGTGTCACGGTCCTGATCCGCGAAGGAGATGAATCTCCAAGCTTCGCCTTCCTCACGGTCGAACTGCGGGACAACCCAGTCCCTCATCTCGCTACGATCGAGGCTTCCGTCCTTGTTTTTATCAAGATAAGTCGTGAAATGGGCCTGTTGCTCTTTAAGCCAGCTATCGTCGCTCTTCTCCGGGCCTGCGACACTTTTAAGATGGTCCATATACTCCTCTAATGAGATGATCTGGTGGGAGAAAAGTGATAATAGATGAGATAATCAAGACGTTATCGTCAGAATAGAAAATAACGTATCAGCTGTCTGGGCCAAGCGTTTTGCCTTGCGGTTAAACAAGGTAGCCTACTATATATGCTGATTAAATAATGAAACAAAAGTAGCCTTTAATAAACGGGAAAATGGGGTTGTCAAGGTTGCTCTTGACCAAAAGTGGCTCGTAGCGATTTTCGGGACTTCCAGGCTCCCACCACGGAAGGCATCATAAGGCGCACACGTACGATCCCAGAGACATAGATTGGGCAAATCGGAAAAGAATAGGGTAAAATTTTAAAAACTCGATGACTGCGTATAATCACCATATATGGTTGTCTTAAACAGACGAAAACGCATTTCGCGTTCTCTATTAAGTTCACATTACGGTCACTTGGACGAGACTGCACGACCGATTTCATATGGCTCGATCTATCCCATATTCAGCTGTTCTAAACAGGAACTCGACAAAACTAAAAACAATGCAGTAACTACCCGACCCAAGACAAGCCGGTATTAGAGCGCCAGCATTTCATAGCAAGAAAGTATGCGAAAAGGCTGTCTTCTCACCTGATCATCATCACTATCCATCATGTCGATTGCCTCAGTCACCACGATGTCACTTTTTGATGGATCCTCTTCGGGATGCAGAAAAGCTCTAAACTCAACCTTGCTGAGTAACCCATCCGCATTATCGTCAGCGTGCTTCCAGCGACGCTCTACAAAAAAAACGAGACCGCTATTATGGCGTGTTGCACTGTTAATTGTCAGACACCGCTTGTAAACTATCGATTAGTTCGCCGGCATATACCCAATAGAACATTGAAATGATGTATTCCATTAAATTTTCGTTCCACCTGACAGTATATACTGGCATTATCAATTTATTCCGGATGTATCAATGTCCTTTGCTTGACATTTGAAAAAAGTAGGTTTTTTAGGTTTCATTTTCATTAGCAGCAATACTGTCATTGCCTAGAGACCAAAGATTACATCATGTATTGTCTACTGCGTTCTTCGAACCTTACGATGCTAATCTAAACAAAGAGGTCAACGTGCCATAACCAAGTGTCATAAACATGGAGGCACGTAGAAAAACTAACCTGTTCGCACGAGTTGCTCATCGTACTGCTTCTTCTCGTCCGGCGTCAAACCCGCTTGTTCCTCATCGTTGAACGTTACCTTACGATACTCATTCCAGGACAAGGAGTCACCTTGAAGCTTGTCAGCAAAGTATTCCCATTGTCGATCGATGTTGTCAGTCACCATTGAGCCATGAATTACCTGTCGTATGAAAGTAAATGTAGTCAGGTTGTGCTGTACACGAGTCTATAGTCGAACAGTTACAAGCGTATGATCGGTAGCTTCCGTGAAGTGTAGTAAAAGCAAAAAGGACGTTTATTAACTACTGCACGAATGCTTTATTTCAACCATCACTAAATACATTACAAACGTTAGATAGAGTATGTCTCTATCGTTTCTAGATGAATTTCTTCTGTTCTTCATTAGCCGATGCCCTTCGACACAGACGACATCTGATAGAGCTTTATATTGTTTATGCTGAAAACACATGACATATTTATTCCTAAATGTCATCTAATTATAAAATGTACATCATCTTTATTTTATGTCTAGCATACGATTATTTTTTTCACTTTAGATAGCTGCGCAGTGTTTTACGGGTAGCCTTCAGTTATTTTGAGCCAGCTCGATTAGTGCCGACGAAACACAAGACACAATTATAAAACCAACTCAAAAATACCCTATTTAATAACAACGTAAGCATTTTCAATGTACGCCTCTATATACAGTTTGGCGTGTCTCGGAAAATATATGTGCGTGTATATATTCAAGGGCTATCCTATGATAGATGCTCGGAAAGGGGTCGTCTAAGCAAACAAGCTCGATGCTTTTGCTAACTTACGCTATTCCCCTCAGTCTTCAGATCAATTGGAATGGAAAAAAATCATAACGTCATTTGTTACCTTTAGCCATGTTTTGATTTCTGACGCGTCAACATAGTTATCCTTGTTTATGTCAAGTTTCTCGTCAAATAGTTTCCCGAGAGCTTCTTTGACCTTCTTCGGATCGGGTGGCTGATAGTATTGAGGCGGTTCATGAGAATGTTCATGTTTTGTGGGATCAGCCCCATTAGGTGCCTTCGGGCCTTGGCCATAAACTGTCGTGGTGAACAACGCGGCAACGAAGGTCGCGCTGATTAGAGTCACTCCAACCATCCTGGAAATCACTAAGAATAATATAGGCCTAAGTCAGTGTATGTATTAAACAAGAAATTCTTGCGCGCTGCGTGAGCACAGCCTCGTGCAGGCTAAGAGGGTAGACTTAAGTGCTTAGTACGGTGTCTCGGCCGGCCGAACCTTTGGCCTAAAAAAATCAAGAGTCAGGGTTTAAATTCTGCGAACGACATACTGCACGACAGGTACGACCAGATAAGTGAAACGATTACATGCTTAACCAAGTCTATCAGGATAACAATGCTGAGCCTGATATCAACAGACGCAATCGATAAGCGATCAGCTTCTAATTTCATCGTATCTATTTGCTGTTAGATCAATAGATCAGACTTGTAACGAATAGATTCTGCTTGTCAGACCCCTAATGTTAGTGTGCAGCGACGTAAAGAGGCAAAATCATTAATTTTTGGCAACACCTAAAAAGCGATTGGTCAGGCATCCTTTGTAAACGCTGTCATACGTGGACAACGAGCGGTGTTCCAGATACGCAGCCGTGTTTAGCGGCAGACGAACTGAGACTTTGCCATGTGTATCTTTCGCTGCAACTTCTTTCCGCACGAATCAAGACTCTTCCAATGCACTAGATACAGGTTAAGAAAACACCTCTGGAGCGCTAATTATTTCAGTTTAAAATATTTCTATAAAATAGTACTCAACAATTACGTTGTCGCTACGCTTGGTTAATCGCGACAAATCATCTTTGTAAGCAGCCAGACTGGCCTATGTAACCGGTAAACTTTGCATCCACAAGAAGATGTCTCAGCTATATACGTTTATGTATTGTAACTAACACAGCCTGCGAAGGCCCGAAACCTCAGCAACAGTTATTATATCCAAGCTGCTGCAAACAAGTCTATAGCCTCCATTAGAAGTGGAGTCTAAGCGAGGACCAGTCGACAATATCAGTCATTGTAGGTTCAGGCTAGGAGAATTCTGGACGGCGTCACTTGACCTGTATGTAAGTAAAAAAATATTGAGAAGCACACAAATCTGCTACAACTATCATGCATACAATTAGAGCTCTAACAAATATACTGGTAGCCTCTACTTTAAAATCAAACGCCCACAACTAACGAATATACGAGCATGCTTGACTCGAACGAACCAGATATTACAGCTACAGAGCAATATATTTTTACCAGTTCTTCTTTATTGTACTATAGTGTCAAATCTTTTCTGGGGCTGTGCTGGGCAGGGTCAGGGTGCTGGCGGCAGAATGAGGACTGGCAGTCATCATGAAACATTATCCTTTTACAACCCTTCTGCAACAAACGGATCTACGAAACCCGGCAATCATTATGCCATTATATTTCCAATAATAAAAACATGGCGAGGCTAGCAAGCGAGGATCCTATCGCGTCCATTGCGATCAAGCTTCGACTCTATTCCCTACATTACCACAAACAAGCTCCGCACGCAAACAGAAAAACACAAGACGCATGCCTACACTGATAGATCTTTCATGTAATAACACTATTATTATTTTAGCGCGTAGCATCTTGTACAACACACTATCCAGGACTACGTTGTGTTCAATAGATCTGTCAATTTTGCCAGTCAGTATACACTAATAAACGGAGTCCTGCACGTACATCCAATTGGGAATACAACAGACACTAACCTTACACGTCACCGTTGATGCGAAAATCAGGGAAAACGTTCAAATGTCCGATCCTTCAGATCTACCGTCGCTAAAGTTAACAAGCGACAGCGCCAAGTTTGGCTACCTAACTCTCTCGATCCAGGGACGAGTAGGAAACACCGGTTTTCTATGGATGGACAGTTGTCCTTCAAAGTTTACAACTGCAATAACAACGGCTGCATCAGCGACAGCAGCTTAGCGACAAGAGCGCCGTGGAGCATTCGGGCCCTAACGTGGTTCTGCTAGTCGCTCGAGCGTCGCTGGTACCGATTGGATCAGCGACTCGTTGGCGTTTTCCACAGCTGGTCGCCGGTGGGGCCAGGCGAGGTTTGCTCTGGAGTGCTTGCCTTCGACTGAAGTCGGTGCTGCGACGCCGGCAAGCACCATTCATGCTCGCAGTTTCAACAGTGACTGCTCCGAGGACTCCGTTAGCAAAACAGTCGCACGCTTTGAAGTAACAGGTCAGACCAGACTAATCATCAAAGGGGCCGCAACCTAGTGAGGGTGGCGCGACGCGATGCTGAATGAAGGCTGTTTAAGTTCATAAATATACGATCGCGGAAGAAGACACCAATATAAAACAAGATAAAATGCTCTCATGAATACCGATTCCATTTTAATAATCCTATTTAAAAAGGGAGGACTAGCTAAGAAATAATTGTGAAATCGTTAAAGATACTAAAGTAACTTTTCGAGGAATCAGCTAATAATAATAATAATAATAACAATAATAGTTTTTTGAAACATAATTTTGTAAATAAACTGTTTGAGTGTCTTTTTTTAGGTTATGTGTTGATGCAATTGAGGATCGAAAAGATGGTACAAAAGCTGGCGATTAAAGAGCTACGGTATATTTAGTTATATGGGAGCGCTAATGTGGGCTCCTGGTCAGGGCTTTGGTCGTACTGTCGTAAATTCACTAAACAAAATAATTTTAACATTGTTAAACTAGTGAACCTTTTTTTACCTTTGTCTTTGAACCTTTAAGCGCTATCAAATTAAAATTAAACCTTTGCATCCGCTTGTGTACTCAGTCGTGCTTGCACAGAACCTCTTTATGTAGTAGGTCCTTTATGTAATAATATAAAATGGAAAACAGCTTAATATATGACTAATTACCGGAGTAAAAGTACTTCGTATAAAGTAATATTTTATACGAAGTATTTTTAAACAAAATTTATTTATTCAATACGTACAGGGGACATTCAAGAGGTTGTAAAGGGCCCCATGGTAGACAAAAAATATATCTCCTAATGCAACGCTTCTTCTCTGATCAGAAATCATAAATTCAAATCTAAAATACTGCAAAATCTCCCCATCAGTTGTCATTCAGTTATCCAAGCTACTAAAGAGTAACTTATTGTTATAAAATGCCTGGTTGTGGTTTACTTATATTCTAGTTTGGATATAAAACATGTTCTTCCATAGGCCTCCATTTGACTGCCGCAATACCACGGTAATAAGGACCCTGGACTTACCAGAGAATCCAGGACTATAGGGTCTCACATTTTATCTCTAGATGAGACTCAGTGGTTCTTTTGACTTTCTAATATCAATGCATCCCTTAATTTCGTTAGATCAGCGTAAATGTCATTAGTCTTGCTTATAGATGGTTCTCACCAGTGCCCTACGCGATCGGCGTTCCTCGTGAGTGTTGGTGTTGAAAGGATTTATCTTTGTGTAAAAAGATTTTCGCTATGAGTCTGCAGTATCTGTGTCATTATTAATAAAAAATATATTCTATACTAACTATATAAAAACATTTGTCGGTAGTCTGAAAAATAAAGCACATAGACTGTAATGAAGCTGCGCTTTTCGGCGTTCTTTTCAAATGCATTAGGTTTAACTAGCGTTCTATTTTGAATAGAAAGTCAAATTGATGACGATAGTAATAATAATAATAATTTGATTATCGAGGTTGACTAATACTTACCACGAGAGTTTCTCTACCTGCACTTCTGCGAACCGCGCCGCTAGTGCCCAAAAAATTTCTCGTGTGTTTTCATTTACGCTACACGTTTTTCAGGGTCCAGGTGTTACCTGCGGGCTGCATAGATATAACAAGATTGATTTGTAAGTTTAGCACCTCAGTGTCGCTTCACCCTCTTAGTAAACGAGCTCAGACAAAACGGGGCCTACATTACAACTACGCCGACGCTGACAGGCGGTGGGAAACGTCGCATCACCAAAAGAAAAACAGAAACAGTACGATGAACGCAATGGTGTAAAATCTATGGATCCATAAGGATGTTTTCCGAATACGGTTAAGCAAAAAGAAGTCAAGTGGAAACCAGGGAGGGTCTTAACCGGCTGAAAGGGCTTCGGCTCAAGTGCATTGTTATCGCACATATAGAAATAGCTGAACTAATGAATTTACGTAAGCTTCGTTTTACGTGGATATCCAGAATCATGTAACAGTTGAGCGCCTTGACTGCGATCAGTGGGTTGGCTAAACTATATATGTAGTAGGTATCTGCACAAACCACGCCATCGAACCATTCTAGCGCGAAAAGACATCACACGAAAGAAAGGGTCCTTATGCCCCTGGTGGTGAAGCTAAAGAGGGTGATTCTAAGGTGAGCAGTGCTGTTGAAGGGGCACTATTTCTGCCTTGCAAGGGGCAATTCCTCTGTTCATGAATCAAATAAACAGCTTGTGTTACTGCTTAGATCTGGCGGATATAAAATAATAGTTATACAGAATTATCTATGAAGATCCATCGCTAAGTTTTCTCTGCGTACACCTCACGGAAATAAAATAACGAATATAATGACTTTCTGCACAGGGGATTCTTTGTCAATTGCATTTTTACATAATTCTGTCATGTGGAGCATCCTTGAGTGGCTGCAGTTATCCATATTATTACAGGGTCCCGGTCATTCAAAATTATAATGTTTACAGTTAGCCCGTCCTCCTTGCCAAATACGTGCTATTCTTTGCTAAATCAGACTTTTCAGATGCTATCAACTTAACTACATCATAGAGCACGGGAACCTTATCCCATGTTGACCCCAATCGTCGATGTAGCGACCGCTCAAGCGAATAGAGGAGACATGTTCAACAGGGCATGTCATTAGAAAGGGAATTATTAGGACGAGAATAAAAACTTTATTCAGTAACGAAACGAAGATTTCAGGGGGATGAAGCAAAGTTGTGATTGCTTTACACGTTTACGAGTCACCTAAGTAAGCAAAGCTATTACATATGTACTGAAACTGAGAAAATCGATAGAAGTGCTAGATTTTAATGATGATGCACAGAGTGAAACAAGGTACTCACCAATATTGGGCATGAAAACGGGAGCGTGTTAATGAACCGACGAGGTAAAAAGCTGGACTGCTAATACGCAACGCTAATCTAACAACAAAAGTCATAACATTTTGATATTTTGAGACTATTACACTAGAGGGGTAATCGATAATTGCTTTCGTCGCTAACATCGAAGCTTTCGAAGCTCGTTGGAGTTATATTCTCTTATGCCTATTTATGAACAGTGAAGATACCCTTCTTCAATTCAATGCAAACGGGATAAAAACGATGCTCAATCTAGTTTGTATATAATTTATGAAGACCTATTGTAAGGTCTCCGTCTGGGACATAAATAAGTACATAATAGTCATCATGTATCGACACGACAACAACAACAGTGCAGCACAAGGAAGTACTTTCGACCTTAGCTGACTAGGTCTACATATCGCTTGAACACATAACGACCATGGCCTCCTTATTGTCAGGAAATTTACCATTTCTCTACACAATATCTCTGTCGTTTAATAACGCTACCTAGCTCTAGTATAAAGTTGTGTAAACTTTTTTATCGTAAAATTCGACAACTACAGACGAGCTCAGATCGAAATATCTACTAAAGATCTACGTTTTGAGAAGATCCGTATATACTATACTTCTGCTGTTCAAACTAGTCAATATGATTGCAAGTCAACCTGACTCATACATGAAATTCTGTCACGTCGTTTATGCTGTTTATTATTGGTTCGGTAATGCAACACCCACAAGGTTTTTCTATGCCACGTTTCGATCTCTTTTGCACGTGTTGTCAAACAGAAGCATTTGCCATATCATGTCTGCAATCTGTACAACCTTTTGCAGTGCTGGCAGCCAATAGTTGTGTCGATATCGTGACCTGATGACGTGGCATCAAGGGAAACGTGCGTAAGAGCCCACTGGTAGGAAAGGAAACCTTTGACAGCAGCCTAAAGGACACCAGTCCGCATCTATAGCTAGACAACTACGCTCGCTATTTTTTTTTAGATAAAACAGTAACCAAATATAGGCACTGTGTATGGCCCTGTGCACTGTTCTATTTCCAAACTCAGTTTAGCTTTGAAATACGGCACAAGAAGCGTGTCTGCTAAACTGTAATCTACGAGCGGACTCCCAATGATCGGATGCAGTATCGTGACAGGCTTTATTCGTGCTTGGAAAGCCAAGTCTTAAACCAGTGGGAGGGGAGCAGATAAGTCAGAACGTCATTTCGTGAAGAAGACCACGTTTCGCTAAGCACTGAAGATTTCGTTCTGAAGACTTCTTGAGCACTGACAATGGACAGTGACGCCACGAAGGACCTGCGTAGGAAGAAGGACGTAGAAAAGAGTAAGACGATTTCGTGTTATTACCGAGGCGGATATATGTATCTGTTCTTGTGAAGTTAATTGTGATCTTCATTACGAAGTCAATTTATGCATATTTGCACAATACCTAAATGCTCCATGTGATTTTGGTGCTTAATGTAGGGAGAAGAAGGGCTGGTCATCGTTCTTTGTTGCAATTTTCTTAAAGATATTGCACTTCCTTATGAAAGGAAAGTTCGTAGAATTTTCCGGGGTGCCTGTCTATGGCTGGCTTTTTCACTTTTACGTTTAACCTGAAGCGATAATTATTTTCATCGACTTATTAAATTGAGTGGCTGATTATAACGGATGTTAGAAAACTTGGATTGGTTAGGCTTACGTGACTGGGTCTAGTGCGCGATTATGGGGATGACCCAACGTACATCGTATTGAAATTGATGGACAGCCAACCACCAAATTCTATCATATCACAATAAACAAATAATTGCTTTGAATGCGAATACGAATTCAAAACGAACGTTAGAGACAGTAGTTGGTCAAACCCTATACCAATTCGTCCTTTTTGTGCTTATGTCATTCCATAAGTTAACGTAACTTCTACGCAATAATTGTATAAGAGTTTGCGAACAGACTGTGGTATTCGCTTTTCTATTTTTAGTTTTGTCTTTTGATTTCGAACAAAGTTCTCTAAATGAAATAAGCTATTTCTTCACACAGTTTCAGCCATTTTTCTTGTGCTTCAATAAACTATATTTTACATTTATATGGCCATAGGAATATGCTAGTATTTGTTGCGTGTGCAAGATGCAAGCACAAACGAAAAAGACCTTGTCACCTTATTATTATTGTTATGCATCTGTGTAGAAATGACTCTGCGTTCGTATTTCTGTAAAAAGATATTTAATGTGCTATAGCTCTTGATTTACATTAGCCGCACTGTCTTTCTGCTGTTAGCAGAGGCTATTGAGCTCGTACCAGCTATGCTTGCTCCGAAGACAAACGTACGTAACGTCGTTATCACTATTCGCTGTTACTGTCTTTCGTTTACTATCTTCTAGTCCGTCGACAGCTTTTCGGGCCAAATGGGCTGCCTCAAACCCCGCATAAAAAACCCGTGGAGAAGATAACGCTATGCAAATTCGACAAAAACACGACGTATGCTGAGGATAAAATGCTCCTTAAGTCATCAAGCGACTTCTACAACAAGTGGGGTTTTGACCCGAACACTGAAGCATTCGATCCGAACAGTGACTGGCTATGGGAAAAGCTAATAATGGAAGGTTGGTTCACCGTAATTTACTTGTCGCTGGTTTATTTAGAAATAGACAGGACGGAATAAGGGTGGATGCACTGGAAGCATAAATCCCAAATGTGCTAGGCGTTAGATCAGGTGCCTCGAATACGATAACAAACGTCGTTTCGTCTTTACAAAGTCAGCTCTTTCGTGATCCTTTTCGTTTGTTTTTAGTTATGTATCAGGCTTAAATGTGAAAAGACATGGCCAGTGTAGCCTTCATGGCCGCAGGTCTGAACCTAACCTTGACAACGACACGACGTCCAAGCTGTCGGGTTAATAAAAGGTGCTAAATTAGGCATATAATTGGTTTCCTCCATTGTAGACTTTTCGAAAGTGTTGTTCTGAGGCATGTGGTTATTAACGTTATAGCGTTTTGTAAATGCCTTATTAGCTCCATAAGGACAAATAATTTTAACATATATTCGTCGCACCCCGTCTGTAGCGGTGCATTTTTTGTCCTAGTGAGTCTTAGTCTTTTGTTCAATGGATCTTTTCAGATGGAACTGTTAGAAGCGTCGTTAAGTTAAATCCACCGCAAGAACCCGGTCTTCCTACAGACAATCCTATTAAGGATGCTGTTCATGAGCATTCGACCGAGCTTCACAATAATCGTTCGTTAGATCATAACCTTGCCAAGCTATTTGTTGATTTAACGCCGGCTGAACTTTGCAATAATCTCTCAAACGAAAGTGCTGATGACATCATTATGGAGAGGTCAATGGCACAATTGAGTAGCGATTTGGATAATCAGGATATCGTTCGTGCAAAATTAGCTGGACCACGAGGTAGTCTCCCAGATGACCTCATTAGAGAAGCCTTGCAAATAATGTCAGCCGGCACACGCTGCGGAAGTTCTAGTCTTAACGTTATTGAGCTATCCCCGTACAAAATCAGCATCTTCAACCGTCGACAGGGCAAACCTAATGAACTAGTCGGCATTTCACTGACACAATCTTTGTTAAAGCAATTCGCCTATCCCGATTTTTCGTGGAAAAGTCACGATTCCGTTCGAATTCAAGACGATACCGTCATCATCGTCAAAAAGTTTGAAAAGTTTATATTCACGGATACTATTCAGAATATGCGGAGAGACGGTCCCTTGGGCGTTGCACTAATCAAAAGAATGAAACAAATGTGAGTCGCATCTTTACGACAATTAAAACCCATAGATTTTCTATAATTTCAAATTTTGAAATAACATTTTTACTCGTTGATTAGAAAAAATACTCCTGTATTCCCTATGAGCATATATATGAGCTCTAAACGAGCTCTCGGATTGTGTAACTCGTGTGACTATATAGTAATAATTATGGCAGCTGCCGAAATTCAAACAGTGATTAACAAATTTTTGTAACATAAATCTATCAGATGCCCTCGTCAACCAAGAAGTTTATATTCGAGGCGGGGTTCAGCTCCGGCTATTTTGTTTGTTCGCTGTTAATGTGTGACAATATCCGAACCAAGCTGCATCGTCCTCGTTAAGAGACTAGCGAGAAATCATTCGCTATAACCTCTTGAATAGGAAAACACCTGAAATTCATGTGAGCCCGACGATATGCAGGTGAGTGACAATTTCCTTATCTTTCTACAATCTATTTTGCCGTTTATTTATGCCATTTAGCATTTCGCAGTCATACGATTGAGGTACACGTCTTAGGACTGAACAGCATTACAAAGCACCATATTGTATAAAAAATATTGTGGTTAGCCTTAACCATCGTGATAATCCGTAACCATAATCGATAATTATCACGATAATTGTGATTGGCCACTGATTAGCCCACAACTGGTATTTGCGATTTAAACCAATAACTAATCATCGAGCAAAATCGTTCGAAGGATGGCGGCGACAGGTTCGAACTTTTCAAATAAAAGATTGTTGCTGCCCTTGCCAAATTCTCTTTATATCGCTAACAATGTGATCTGAAATAGCGAAATATAAGTGTCATTGTGTATACATCATTTTTATCTGTTTTTAGAGGGGATAACCAACCTATCTGTTGCAGCTGCAACAAAAACATTTTGCAAAAATAAAGTTCTTGTAGCAATATTCGTATGAAGTAATGCGGATTGCCATAAATTATTTTCCGATTGCGTACCAATTGTTAACGGAATTAAAATATCTTGCCTAAAAGGCTTGTTGAATTAGACAGTTCCTAACGTAACATGACAAACCGCAATACGCGCATATTTCATTGTCTAGCCGCCAGAGGGCGCACACAGGTATTGTTGGCGCATGCCCAGCAAGGTTTGTATGTTAGGCTTTATGGCCGCATAGCTATCTTCGCCAGAGGTGGCAAGGGAAGCCTGAGTCATAGTTGCATGCCCTTGCCACATCGGGAAGTGGTTCGGCTGTAACGACAGCGCAGAGGTCCAGTTTACCAGACACGAAACGTTGCGCCAGTCTATTGAAGGAAACCTGCTGAGGGCGTGCTTTGTGTAGTTGTGATCTATCTCAAAGAAACAAAAGACACAATTGGCTCACTATCACTGCCGCGACAGTATGAGGACAGTTGTTCGATGCGAAATTAATTGATCATACTTCCTCTGTGCATCGGATAGGCATATACAATTTTACGTGGAGATACTGCATCGGCCTTATTAACTGGCAGTCTCGAAATTAACACCAGATCTAACCTGTGGTCTATTGCTTACGTAAACAGTATTGCAGTGTCAATGATGGAGTGTATGTGTAAATAAACGATAACTGGGAACCACACAAACTGGAACTCGAGTGATTTTGTGACGAATTATTTTCAGCAGTGGTGGACTATTTACGGCGGCTACTTAAGGGCTAAGGGCGTTTCGTTAACGAATAGTGACGAGGATTTATAGCATTGCAATCATGGAACATACCAAAATCGATCTGGTTGGCCGAACAAATGGTAAGTGAATATCATTTATGCCTATAGTGGATTTACCCGAGCATCTATTGCTCATAACTTTTTGTGGATCTTAGTGAGTTCTACGAGTTTTGTTTTAAGCAACTCTAAACTAAATAACTGATTAAATAATTGTCAACGACCAATTGACTCGGCTAAATTTCAGACCAGTATCGAGAGTTAATTTTTGTGCAGGAGGGTTTCGTACCCAGGAATTGCATGTGTTAGAACTCTTCTCTAGATATACCTGTTAAAAAATAGAAGGAGATAAAGCTCTCGTCAAGTCTCCGGAACACCGAATCGTGAATAAATCCTGTATCATGTTAGAACTTCAGTACTGATGTCTAAATATTTCATTTAGCATGTTATCGTGGTGGTAGAAGATCCAAAAGAATTAGAACCTGTCAAAACTTTATTTTTTTCTCATTTACTGGAAGAGAAATTGACTTACCTCGCTTTTTATATCATGTTTTTTTTCTCTTTTTTCCATTAGCTTATAATCTCGCTGAATATATAATTGTTCTAGCAATATTTCTATAAAACTAGGAAAATGTGTTTCATCTATACTAGATCAACTTTTACGTATGGAACAGATAAGAGAAATGTTTTGGGTGTGTACCGCTGGGGGGCCTGTTCGAGTTTCCATCTTTTACTATTTGTTGTGAAATTTAGCTTGGAAGCCCTAACGTACCTTTTGATTTAGGCTATGTGCTGTATTGAATGTAATTTGTGGAGTGCGTGAAAACGAGCAGATGAATCTCTTATTTGGGTTATGTTTTCACACATAATCTCGGAGTCGTACTATAGTGAAGTGGCTGTATGAAATAACGTTAGTTACTTTTTCTATTGCTGTACCAGGAAATCTAAGGAAGCAGAAGTTAGAAGTTTCTCAGTTTTAGATAAGAATTTGCATCAAGAACTATTAATAGGTTCCTGCTGTATTTTATTATGAAGCAAAGGTGTTATGTTTTTAATCTACGAAAGCCATGATGAAGAATATTCTATTTGTATGTTACCTCTTTGCGATTTTTAGGCTATTTGTATTGAAGTAACCTAAACTTAGGGTTGTACCTTGTTAAAAAAAATATCGGAAAGACATCTGTTTTTTTTTACCAGATCAGTCGATCCGCGTTCGGCTCTCTGGCGCTACGCTCGTATGCCTGTCGACTGTTGAAAAATTATATCCCAGAGGACTTGAGCTTTCCCCTTTTAGTTTGCAAACGCTTCGAAGTACACGAAGTTCGATCCTGTATTGTTGTTTGGGAAAAAAATAGAGTACCAAAAAGCATTCTCTGTCGGGAGGGAAGACAGATACTCACAGGATGCCAGGCCTTGAATCATTACCGAGTATGCAATAGAAGGCCAGCGGTTTCGCGATGGACGAAGAAAGCTTTAAAGACAACCCTTGCTCGCTCTCGATATTTCATAACGAATACAATCGCCGCAAAAGCAAAACTGCATATGCTAGAAGTCATCATCAGGGAGCTCGCATGTGTCATATAGGATCATTTCGAAAGGCCATTGGGAGACGGGATTACAGGCTATTTAGGTCAAAGGGTACGATGACTAATTCATGCAATAAGATACACAATACATTTCATGTACAAAAAGGTCTGAGCTGTAAATGATCATTAAATATGGATCAGAATTATGCCCAAATGTAGCTCAGGTAAATTCGTGTCTGTCGAATGAAACAAACACTAGCAGACTTAAAATCAGGGATTTATATAAATTGGATTTAAAGGGAACATTCAATTCAAGCCGTATAGGAGACAAATAATAGAAGGCAATATGTAAAATTTGTAATCCAGGATAATGGAGTTCTACTTAAGTGTAGTGCTAAACGCATATTGCACCTAAATCTTCAACATTTCATTGTCAACTTGTTTAATTTCCACAGCATCATGTCAGTGGTGCATTCACTTAATTTCCACATATGATCCACAAAAACTCAATAAAATCAGTCATTTCAAATTTACGACCTGTTAAATGTTTAGTTTGGGTATCATGTTCGGTATTCCCGTTAAGCCTTTCACTAAACAGAGGGCTGACTGACGGATTGGCTAGCTCCCAGCCATCTCGAAACGAACCGTCTCTCTATCTACCGATGCCCTCTGGGTTAGAACCTAGATCACAATGTATCCCTAAAACTAAAGCACAAATACATTGTTTACCCACTAAGATATCATCACGACCCGTTAAACCAATGCGTTCAATCAAGGACCTTTCCTTTTCTCCATGAGGACAGAAAATTACTCAAAGCTTATCACAGTAAGGAGACTCGCCAGCAGTCTGCTTGGGCGTACGCAGTCCTCTTTGGGCTAATTTTCCTGTTTATCTTGTGATTTTTGAGTTTAACTTGATATTGTTGGAGAAATGAAGTTCATATCCTAACAAATACTGCTCTTAAACTTGCAACAATTAAACCAATCGTTCAATTGCTGTCAGTAATTTGAGTGGCAGTCAAAAAAGAGAAAAATGATCGCCCAATCAAAGCCCACGGGCTAAAGATCCCCATGCGGCTGCTGAGTGTGATAGAAATGATTAAAAAATATCATGCTCAACGCGTTAATCAGACGGCAATATTTTTTCCCATAATTACTCTTGTGTAGTTTAGCGCATTACGTGCTACACAGTCGATGCGGGCAATTAACAGGCGCAGTTTGGAATATTGAAGGGAAAAGCCTTGTGTAGAATATGCGTATAGTTATAGCTATTTGTTTCTAACAGAGCGATTTTTTAGGGTAAATCTGAAAAAACTGTTCAACAACTCGACGCATTATATGTAGACAGGATAGATCGTTTGTTCCCAGAAGTTGTTAGTGCGTTATCCTTTCTTATGCGTATCTGAGGGAAATAGTCTCCGAGATGATTCAGTTGTAAAGTATTCACATGTTAAACATAAAGAAACGTGATGAAATGGCCTAAATTCGAAATTGCGCGTAACCACACTTAGTTTGATGCAGAAGGGGGACGAGCTTTCCGAAGTACTACCTAACTTAATCTAAGACATTTAATTATTTTACAGAAAAATGGCCGCAAACACTCCGAACGATCATTAAACTAGATATATAGCAGTAGTTTAAAAAGTATTTACCGGGAATCACCGAGAAATACTTGGTTGAAGTGTTATCTACCAAAGTTATGTATCAAATACTCGTAAAGTTCTGTATAAGTAGTGGGTGATTCAAAGTTGGCGGTGCTATAAGGCATCTAAATCCTGCCAATTTTATTGTAACTTTGTTATATTAAATTGGTAACAATCTTCGGCTGACCTTTTTATGTCTATTTTGTGTATTTTAATTAGTAGTTTTTGTTGCTACTGCTTTCTTTTGAATTCCGTCACTAATTCAACTTATCTATCTTGTCGTAGTCCGTAGGAATCTTTTTGGTACACTTCCAACCGACTCCAGGGCGTCCGTACCCGAGCGAATATTTAGTGAAGAAAAACAGAAAGAATTCTTTGATAAATGGGGCGTAGACGTACGCAACGACTCAATCGACCCTAACAGCCGTTGGGAATGGGAGCTCGTCGAGTTTGAAGGTTCGTATTAGTATTATTATTATTACCATCATTATTATTACTACTACTACTATTTTATTTACAATATCATTATGGGTATAGTAGTCGATTTTTATTAGTTATCCAGTACTCATCAAATTATGTAGCGTCCAAAAGACTCTAGACTTGAAAAATATGAACTACTCTAGACTGAGAATCAGCCAAGGATCAGAAGCTTATATTAATTAGTCTATACGTATCATTGTATTGCAAATACTGTGTGCGAGACTGATAATCGAGTGCCCCTATCATAGTGTCCCTTTATTTTGCCCCTTAATTTAAAAACACGTCGACTCTGTGCTGTTGTACTTGCACTCTCCGTGATTTTGTCGAAGGCCAACAAAAAAGACAAAGGTTAACTCGATCTGGAATTTCTACCTTTGATCTGAACTGACGTGGTTCCAGGGTTGATTCAGACATTAGCAGCTGCTTGTGGCTCTTTAGCAATTTTTTCATTCAAATATAACACAAATATTTCACGAGGTACGGCGTCAAGTCGACAGTTGTTTAGCTTCAAATTTGAGCCAGCTTCGAAACGCAAATTTGCAAGACATACGAAACCCAATCGACCGATAAAAAACCCATACGATCTATTTTATCACAGATCTGCCTGATGCGTTTAAACGAATGGGAGGATGCCGGCCGCGGCGGTATTCAGGAACCAGCGTCGGAAGTGGAGGCGATGTCTGCCAAAGCCGGAGTGGCTCATTCTCTATGCCAAGCGTCAGCGACGAAGGTCGAGCCCGCGGCCCACGCAGTGAAGGAGTATTAGTTGAAAAGCTCACCCATTTGAGTAACGTGAACCTTGACCCGGTTCGTGGCTGTTCATCCCTGTCAAGCTCCGCTTCTTCGAGAACACTCATTACAGGTTAGTGAGAAGGAGATTGATGCTAGACAAAACTCAATGGCGGGCGATTGTAATATCAACTGTGTAAATTGATGCAAAATTCAACTGTCTATAACAAAAAACATAACGGAAACCGATACGGAGCTACAACTGATAAGAGCTTTGTAGCAACGATATTCGAATTTCCTGCAGAGGTTTCCTGCTAGCGTCTTCTGCTTGGACTTAATAAAATTAAGTAATAAAAATATTACTTAATTGTAAGATTTATCGGTAAGTCCTGGGACTTCAGCTGTCCCTCAAATAACGGTTTCGTATACTACTTGTTCCGCCAAATAGCTATATAAACTAATGGGTTTTTTAATTCCCATCTTTTCCTTCCTCGTACCAGATTACCTACGGTCGCAGGCAAAGCGAAGTAGACGCAGCAAGGACACGATGGCTAGTTCACCGCACGGATCCCCAGAGTTGGTACGACATTGACGTTGGACGGGAAGAAACCGAGGTCTGAACGAATTTAGGTCGGAGAAAATGTTACCTAATTTTCGATAGGGGCTGCGGTCTGTTTCTGCGACCAAGTCCCGTAAAGAGAGACTCGAAAGCAAATGCATTCTGACCTCGTTCCGTGATACTGTTCTTCAACTTCGCCCGTCATCAATCTGTAAATATGCCACCTCTATTGTAGAAAAAGTTAGTGTTTAATATTTGCAGTAGTAATATGATCATTCTTGCAGCGTCTGTGAACGTTAAAATCATCTACATGTATATTAGTGCACCTTTACAAGAAAATTACCTTTGCTCGATAGTACTAATCAAAGGAAATCAGTCTCGGTTGACTTGTTCGTCTGTGATAACGTTCTCAATGATAATTAATATCAAATGAGAAAACTATCGCATTAAATACAAAGTATACGGGCTTCACGGGCGTGTTATGTTCCGTTCTGTCTTGCTTCCCAAACTTTATGTCCATTATATACTGATATATATTGGACTATATTTAAAATGGATTCGTCGATTCCTAGCTCTTTCAGTGTATAGAGGAGAAAAGCGCAATTGATCTGTATGCGGTACGAACAAGTGAACAGAAGTTTAGGTAGAAACACGGCAGTGATGTTAATTTCAAGCCAAACGTACTAACGGATGGGCATTTTGTGCTCTGGTGAACTGTTGTTCAATGTAGCAGACGAAATCCAGCTGACCACTGAACGCTTAACGCGCCTTGGAGTCGAGTTATCGGTTAGGTTCTGCTGTCTGTCTAATTACTCGGATGTTTACCTTTTCTTATTGCAGTGGTATCCGTAAAGCATAGCCCCTCGCGACGCCGTCAATTCAAAAAACATCGCGGCGGATAGAGGCTTTACTTATTATGAGTTATTACGTAGGCGAGTCATCGAGCAGCGACCGAATCAAGTGCTGTATGGTTCGTTGTTTAGTAAATTCGTGTATTTCCATTGATGATTTTTAGCGTTTTTAGCCAATATGTTTATGCTTGTAACAATCATTCTACCAAAAACATTCGTTCGGTATTAACAAAAAAATGCTGAAGACTAGTGAAATGAGGAACGGAGATGAATAAAGTGTAAGGCAAAGACAATGAAACAATAAAACACCAACCAAGAACACATACGCGTACACAATACGTACATAGGAAAATCATAGGATTCAAAGCGATAACCTTATATTTTTTTAACACTCTTCGATTTCTTATATATATATATATATATATATATATATATATATATATATATATATATATACGTACACATAGAAAGATGAAAATATATAAAGAGAAACAAATAATTCTGAATACGTATGAATAGAAAGATACGAATTATTTAGAAGTATCAGACCGGATTCTGATCGTTCCCTTTTTGCTATGCAGTTAAATTGATTTCATTGGCCATTATTATGTTTAATAGATTTTTATGGAGCGTACAGAACTGGGATTTGGATGCCTGCTGCGGGCCGGCCTACAGTTTGACCGCACATTAGGGTATATCACACCATATAATTTGGCAATTAGTGCTTAATTATCGCAAATGGTCTCTACTGACGAAATTGAGTCGGCCGGCACCTTTCGGTTACCGTAATGGACTCATTCATTAAAAGCGCGTTAAAACCTACATACAAAAGCTTAATATATATATATATATATATATATATATATATATTTATAT